TTAATATTGTAATAAATCAAACAGTATCAGAATTCTAGATATTATAAATGTCTTGAATTATTGTTTGCATTGTTTAAGCATTATAACGTAGGTATCTTAGTAGTTCTATGGCATATGATAATATGTACAGGAATTAAATAGATATTTACAGTGATGATAAGAAGGATCGTTTATGACAGAAGTACTTTTGTTTATAATATACCAAGATTTATTATTTGTTGTTTTTCATTACAAGCATGAAGCATGAGATAACGATACGACACGTGCTTCTGAGTAATGTCCAGTCCTTAATAGTATAGTCTTTATTATAATAAAACAAATATATTTAAACAAAATATAAACAATATGTGGTAATAATTCTTGCTAGTTATTTATGCATTTTTATAAATGAAAAATTAATTACTAAAATAGGCAGGCAAACTTCGATTGCAATCTGATTTGTTATTGAGTTGTCGACGTTATCAACTAACTTAACCCATTTCGTTACATCTGAACGTATTTGCTCGTTATTACATTTATGCTTTATTATTTAAGAACAGTACAATTTGATATAACAAACAATTTCCATTGAGAGCTGAGAAAATATGCCTTATAAATTCATATAAAGAGAACTAGTTAGAGTGCTACCATAAAAGATTTATTAAACGTCGTCTTCAGAGATTCCTATAACAGATAATGATGAAATGATAGAGCTTTTAATCTCTTCTAGGTTGGTATTTACTACTAATAATCAGGTGAGATTATTAGTAGTAAATACCAACTCATATTACAATTAATAATTACATACAATCTCAGTTTTTTAACGTCCTATTAAATTTTAACTAGATAGTCAGAATCCAATGAGATGTTTTCACATACTAAAAAATATTTTAAAGTTTGGATAATAACGACATTAATTAATAAGATATAACGATGTTTCGTTATAGTTGCAAACAACTAAATAATTTGTGTAAAGATGAAATGGAAGAAAAAATAAAGCATCAATCACATGAAGTGTATCATCCAAACGATAAAACAAATTTAGAACTGCGCTTTGGTCAGACTAATAATATTTTCTTTTCGAATCAAGTGGCATTAATTCACTATGCTGGAATCACGCAATCCTAATATTTATCTATAGAGTATTGGTAACCATTATAAGTGTTCATAGTCTATACCCATACCTATAGAAAGACTGTATACACAATTAGGGCTTTTATAAAAAACAGCCTGGATAACGACGCGACGCGCCGCGGCGCAACCGGCGGCGTTGGCACGAGACTGTTTCTGAACATCTTCCCATCTATTTTACTAAACATCCGCCCGATTCAGTATTGGACCAAATCGTCTCGTAATCGGTACGAGAGCAAAACTTATAGCGGGAACACTCAATTTTCTGCGACGCCATTTTCTTTCCCTTTATTAAGTGCTTTCAACTCGAAATGATATTCGGGACAATGTTGCGAAAATTCGTGGTGCTCTTATTCGATATTAAAGAAGTGTTCAGTGAATCTCTTATTAACGTACTTCTAAAAGATAGAGTGGAGACGATTTTGTAAATTGAATTTCTTATTTCCATTTATACATTTTATTCTTCCCTAAAGAAAAGTATTTAACTGTGTGATAACTTAATATAAGGTTAATAAAATATTTTATGGTGGCGCTGGTTTCGCCTTAGTTCTTATGTTTTGTTGAAACAATAATATATAGTTAATCGATTTTTATATTTTGTTAAGTGAACGATTTATGTCTCTCACTATGTCCGGACTAAAGAGATGTATAAGTCAGGTATCAATGTTAATGACTGGGAAGCCGATCAACTCGTCAGAGTCTGCTTGGAGAGAAGAGTCTTTAAGGTAACTTAAAAAATAAACACTTTCGAAGATCTTTGTTATTGTAATAAGAATGTAAATATTTCGTCTGACGCATAACGCATCACCAAAGCCAAAAGAAAGTTCGGGTCTTTGTGTAAATCTAAATATTTGCCAAGTCGAATAGTTTCCACTCAGAAACTTCTCAGAATAGTTAATATTAGCTTGTCAAGATATTATAATTACAAAATATAGACGAATGCCAAATTTACATATTTCAATATCGTACTTTAATTAATCGTTGTACTTTAATTTTATATTAAACAAGTTCGAATTCCGTTCTTTAGAAAAAACTGAAAAGTGATTTTACATTATCTATTATAGCCACGCATTTTTAATGTTTTGTGGTTTCCTTATAACCCCCTCGTTTAAATTTGTACGCAATTCATGATTTACTTAAGATAATAAGTACCTTCACAGTATTAGTGAAAGGTGGTTACATTAATCGTGTCACGAATCGATTGAATTTTATCGTTAACATTCTTCCACGGTACGTATTCAGAACTGCATTAATATTTATCATGGCTATCCTGTCGTAAATTTAAGTATCGATTTATACATAAATTTACGACAGAATTAGAATGTGATTTAATAAGGGAGAAAGGTTGTATTAGGTTGTAATTCAAATTAGCAAATAAGCATCCTCTCCGTAGATGGAGTGTCTATTGCAAATGTATAGAAGTCATTGTATGTAGGTAGCTCAGAACCGTTCCATATAGCAAGGAACTCCTTCTATCACTCCTGATAAACAACATTTACATTACAAGGAGACGATTTAGCAGTTAGCAATAAATGAGTAAGTGACGAATTGATGACCGTATTTATTTATAAATCAGATAAAACAAATTTTGTACGTTCATTATTGATAATTGGCACTTGACTAAATTTTGAATTCACAAATTCTTTCTTGTTTATCTGATGGTAAACGGTAAAAATTATGCAGACATTGAACCTTTACAGCAATAAGAAAATTTAAGTCACGTACTCCAACCGACCGAACCGATTCTGATAAAACCTTCTCCGAACCTTTGGTGTTTGTAGGAATTATAAATTCGATAAGTGTATTCCTTGGCTATTTTTTGTGATATATTAGTTTTAGTCAGATAGAAATTTACCCGATTTCTGATAAAAGCAGTAAAAAACACTAAAAAACCATCTAGATATGTTGGAATCCAGACTAAAGAACTCAGTTCAGCAAAACTTAAGAAATTTACTGTGAAGATTTAAATACATAGATACTATATTAATAGACATTGCCAGTTTATTATGGCTCAGCGACGAAGGATTTCGTCTAGACCTTAAAGTACTAGTACTTGTGATTAAAAATAATTGAGCCTGTGGTTGAATGATGTCATTGGAGGTTAGATATACGTATAGTGTACCTTAATTAGTTACATAACAAAAAAAGTTTGTTTGAACAACAAAAATCAAAAGGCGTGGAAGTTATGTTACAGTAAGATTCTTCGTTTACAAATGCTAGTAAGATCACAGCCAAAGTATGTTACGTTTTTTTAATATTTAAAATACTTTACCTTAATTCTTTACACTCGCAATTAACATAAGGATAAAAAATGTTACCCTGGGACAAGACTTAAATTACTAATTTAAGTTTTGTCTTTGTCTTTGGAAGGAAATAACATTCAGAAAGAAGATTCCTTTTATCGATACTATAAAATTATCTTGAAGGATTATAGTTATTGTTGTTGCTTATTAACAGGAAAATTAAATATTTGATAAAAGTTGCATACTTGTTATACGTATATGCAAAGTTGTTACTTGTTTCGTGATATGGCTCGTCCAGTTCAAAAACTTTCGTATACATAGTCTTTGTGGCACCTCATAAAGGTGGCGTAGATAAATACTAGTATTAATACTTCGGTATTAGCTGTAATTATTTTTTAATTTTACTTAAGTACGTACTATTAATTTAATATGTTATAGGAATAATAACTTAATAATAAGTATGAAAAAATATTTTTATACTCGTAAACGGATATTAAAATATAACGAATATATAAAGATTTTGGGAAGGCTCCTTTTTTATAGTACAGAACCGACACATGAAAAAATTATATAATACATTATGATATATTTGATACTTAGATTTATATACATTGCTTGCATATGAGAGATACGTTTATATTTCGACATCCTTTTTGTGCGACATAACAATGTTAATAAAAGTACTCATATGTATGCTGATAAACTTTAAGTGGAACATTTGGTTTATGGGGTGTCCTAACACTTGATAAAATTATCTAGAGTGCCAAGTAAATCCCTCAATATGCACTCACGTGTTATCTACATAAGCGAAATACCACTGACAATCACGAAATATACTGAACAATAAAGTATATAGAGATTCATTCGATGTAGACATTCAAAATAAGGCTAAATAGTATTAATAAATTTTAATTAATCATAAATATTGGCTTAAATAGCAATATTAATTAGGATAAACAACAGCACGGGCGGTAGTAAGTAGGGTAGAAATCAAATATCAGAAGCTTACAATACCTATATAGAAATGTATGCTAATTGCAAATAACACTTGAAAATGGTAAACATCGTTTACAAATATTTCGGATAAAACGATGATCTTAATTTGATTTTATTTCAATAGGAATCAATCGTAAGCTATTGAACTTTGACATTGATTAGTAACTATACCATATTTATTCATTTCAGTTATAATTATTATTTATTAAATGAAGAATAGATTTTGTATTGCATATTTGTTACTAAATTTTTATACAAATGTGTATGAATATGTGTTATACAAATGAATCAATTATTTTAAATTACATGGTATATTTTATTTTAAGTGACGCAGCCAAAACTGCCAATAACACTCATAGTTTTTAATTACTGTATTAAGCATTTGTTTTTATATGATCTAATTTATCGCTCTAAAGAGAAAGAACAGAGATAAGGAATAGAACAACAAATAAGTGATAAAATGAATATGAAACTAACACAAAAGTAAATACAGTCAATTGCAAACAGAATTTCAAAATTAGTTCTTTTACCTTTTCCTTTTTAAAGTAGCTTAAAATTAAACGCGAAATTATTAGAATTTAATTTCGTTCTTGTCAACTATATTTGCTTTTATTAATTAATATTATTAATGAAACATATATCTTATTTCAGATACCGTCAAGCCCGTTATGCAGCTCGTCGTGTTAGAAAGCGTGTCATCTTCAAGCACGGAGACTGCAACGTCGTCCAATGGAACGTGGCAAAGCGCAGGCGCCGATACCTTCAGGACATCTTCACGACCCTTGTGGACGCTCAGTGGCGCTGGACGCTGCTCGTGTTCGCTCTCTCCTTCATCCTCTCCTGGCTTTTATTTGCCTTAATCTGGTGGCTTATTATTTTCACACACGGTGACCTTACTCCCCAAACCGGTTCCAATGTTACCTTCGTTCCATGTCTTAATAACGTCAATACCTTCACCGGATGCTTCCTATTCTCCGTCGAAACTCAACACACTATAGGCTACGGTTCCAGAACCACCAACGAAGAATGCCCGGAAGCTATTTTTGTTATGTGCATTCAGAGCATAGTCGGAGTCTTTATTCAAGCTTTTATGGTAATTTGTTTTATATATTACATTTGTATTATATCATTTTTATTATCATGTTAGTCAACCATGGTATATGCATAGACATTGTCCTATTTAAGATTATTTTCCACGAGATACCAAGCCTCTCAGATATCTTATTACATGTCTGAAAGTATATAAGTATATTTTTAAGATATTTTTACGAAACTTCTCTCGTATTGACTGTGATTAAATACTGGAGAATTCAGGGATGAGAATGCACCACCGGGCGCCTCTCCTCTCTCTTTAAATACACCTTTGTAGACCAGAGGGAGACTTTGTACAAAAGTCGATTGCTTGGGTACCTCTGTCCCATTCGTGTTTCAACCGTGAAGCAGTTGTGTTTGCATAGCTGTGTTTCGGTTTGAAGGGTGGGATATGGCGTGAAATTACTGGGTACAGAGGAATAACACCTGAGTCCTCAGGAATGGCAACGCATGGGGAGTATCATGGGCGAAACAGTATACTCTATGATGTCCATGGTACTGGACATGTCTATAGGCGACGGTTACCACTTTCCATCAGGTGGACCGTCAGCTTGTTTGCCATTCTAAGTTGTATAAAAAAAAACCTTTACTACAATAGGGCGCAGCGGTACAAGAAATATCTACGCCTTCTACGTTAATATCAATAGGTACTTTTTACTTGAGGTCGTCGCTCTTAATTCTAGATTTTTCATGTTTACTAAATTCCATTGTTTTTCTCAAGGAAATTTTATTATTGTAAAGTTGATTAAAATACACTCTGTATCTATTCAAGAAGTAAACATATCAAAGAACTATAAATTAACGTAATATCTTTCCTCATCATAAACATTGTTATATGTTTGCTACATTGTAATCAACTTTAATTGTGCGTATTTGAAAAAAAATATAATATGAAGTCTATACCTGTTTTATATTTATTCATTTTATGTGCTATAATTATAGTTAAATAATCTTCGAACTTTGAAACGATTATGATAATAATAAAATAAACTTGGCAATATGCCAGACAATATAAAAGTAGCAAACTCTATAATCCAGCCGGATGCTCTTTTAAAATAATTACCATCTTTTAATATGGCACTCACCGTTTATTAATTTATAATATCAATCAACTATATAACTACATACACATAGTTTAGTCATTTTAATAAATTTGTAATTTTAAATATTGGTAACCTCGGGATGATGATCTCTCTTGTCCAGTGTAACATGACAGTTTGCAACAAGGTTGTTCTAATTTTAGGTGGGCATCGTGTTCGCAAAGCTCTCTAGACCAAAGAAACGAGCACAAACTCTGTTATACTCCCGAAATGCTGTCATATGTTTACGAGATGGCCAACTATGTTTGATGTTCCGTGTTGGTGATATGAGAAAATCGCATATTGTCGAAGCCCATATTAGGGCACAGATAATCCGCCGCAAGGTATTTTATTACGACAAAACGGAGACTGGTTAGTGATTGGGGATTTCAGTCAGCACGCTTATGGAACGTCTTTGTAGAATTTGCACTGACTCCACTCTCTGTTGTCTAACATAATGGGAGTTGAATGCTGAACGATATATATTATAGATTTCTGAATTCAGCTCCCATAGTTTTGAAATGGTATATTTCAAAACTTTTCTTCTTTCTTGTCCATAGGTGGGTCTAATATTCGCGAAGCTGGCTCGAGCCAAAAAGCGTAACACCACGCTCCTATTCTCAAGGAACGCGGTGATATGTTTAAGAGACGGAGAATTCTGCCTTCTATTCCGCGTCGGTGATATACGCAAGTCACATATACTCGAAGCTCACGTCCGTGCCCAGATTATACGCAAAAAGGTACATTGTAATGTAGTAAGGCGTGATAATTATTTGTACATATGTAATTTATACTCACTTACATGTTTATTTATTGAGTTATTGTGTTGTATCTCGTCAGATCGTAATTATGTTCTATCTACTTTATTTGACCCATCTATGGACTAGCATAATTTGCACAATGCCTGTTTTTTTGCAAGCTCGCTTTCTGTTTCCTGCTTTAACCCTTGCTTTATTATATAACATGACTATAATTTAAAATCAGAATCACAAAGAAAAACAGAGTAAGTACAAATTTTACACTTATATTATGAATTCAAAATTCAGCACCAATAATTTTCAATTTCAACAAACTAAATAATCAGCTTTTTTTATAATAATTATGTAAATATTCACATTAAATCAATTTAGCTGCGCTGGATTGAATAATATTTTCGCATCAAATATTTATTATACATACAGACACGTTGTTTGTGTTCACTAGCTAGCTAGAATTAATCAAAGTATTATGAGAAATCGTGAACAGATCGATCTCTGATGTTATTTCAATTGAAGCTGACCAAACTGTTTGTTTATAATTTAGATAATGTCTTCATATATTTCAATTTAGTTTTTTTTTTATATCTCATTACTCTTTGTAGTGTAAATGATTGGTAATGAATAGTACATAGTTTGTGAAGAGGTTACGACCGATATATAATGGAAACATGACAGATATTGTACCTACTCTGACATTTTATATAAAGGAATGTTAAAAACATGCCGTCTGTTCCAAAATATCTACATCGTCTTTCTTTTTATGTTGGTTTCTAAGTGGCTGCTAGAAATTTCTGATATTTAAATTTTAGTCTGCTATCTATATTAATCACTAACAGCAAAAGATAACGAGTAGTAATTTTTCTAACAATTTAATGTTACTCAACTTTACATGTACCCTTACAATAAGTGACTACTATATTCAAATAATTTACGATATTTATTTTTGAATCCTTTTTCGTAAAAACATTTTTCTTATTGCATTATTATATAGTTGACATTTATAAATCAAGAATAAAAATTGAAAAATCTGATAGTTTTACTTTACAATTAATAACTGCGTGCAGAATATTGTTCTGCGTCAGCAGCATCACATTTATCTACTTTATGTTATATAGAGTTTAACTTGTTTTTATATTGACTATTAATATTGCAAAATCGCTTCTAAAGTGGAGATAGACTGATCGAATGAATTTTTATTCCTCTCCTACTTAATTAATTGCTAAAAGTACTTTTAAGAATATACTAAGAATTTATTTCTTGCTCGACTATTATTTAATTCTCTATTCTGACTATTGTTCTGCGCTGTTCGTTCTTTTAGTCTAACTCCACTTTCAATGCTTACGCAGAAGTAGGATATTTATTTCTACAAGGGATAGAATTTTTTTTCAAAGCATAAAATTCAATATGATTAATTTTTGACAGAAAAATTGTACACCAAGGCTTATCCATCGTCTGAGAATACATTTAACAATATTGAAAATACTTTTATCCAAACTCTGATGTGGTAAAAGTTATTTAATATTATTTGCATTAAATTATTGTCAAATAAAATATACTTTATTGACGACCTACTGCTATAGACACGGATTTTCTTTACATGACCTACTAACATTAGATAGATATTATTAATTTCATTTAAAATTATTAATAAAGAATAAAAAATAATATGGCCTTAGACAATTGGCAAATAAATGTAGCGATAAACACGTAATCGCTTTCGCGTTCATGAACTATTTCATGCACTATTTATGTAGCGAGACAGCTACATAAAGTATATTGTTACGACGTAAACGTATCTATCGATAGATTCATTTGTGATTTGACTAAAGAGCTGGCTTGGCTACTACTAGCATTTTCAATTTTCAGTTAAATTATTATCAGAAATTTTATTAAATAATTTTTTTAATAAGGAATTAATAATATCAATCTGTGCATGATCACTAACGTTTTTAATTTTGTTGTCTGTAAAATAAATATATTTTGTATTATTTTTTCAAATGATCTTTTCTATAATATATTGTTCAAATTAAACAGACAACCAGAGAGGGCGAAATACTGCCATTCTACCAGCAAGAGTTGAAGGTGGGGGCTGATGGCGAAGAAGACAGACTAATGTTTATTTGGCCGATGACTATTGTTCACAAGATCAACGAGAAATCACCACTGTACAACCTATCCGCCTCAGATATGCTAAGGGAGAGATTTGAAATTGTTGTTATGTTAGGTGAGTTTATTTCTACATAAATTACAAGAATTAAGGTACATTTTATTGTTCATACTATATGGTGTAAATATAAAATTGGTGTAACACAACAGGTTAATAAGCTGAAATACAATGATACTGTCCAAGAAACTGAACAACTTTCCCTAATATATCAATTACTATCATATCATATAATCTAATAAATTTACATATAAATGTGATAAATTGTAAAAATTATGGTCAAATATCTTGACAGATTTTACAATTGCACAGACTACTCGTATATCCTAGATTAAAAAATAGGCTTTTACCCTAGTTCACGGGGAAAAAATTCAGCTAGTTCAAATAATATATTAATGCGAAATTTTATATATGGGAATTTCAAAAATATATTTAATATTTCCATCTAATCATGTTTCTCGAGGAAAATTATTCAGTTTCACGTAGATTATCACTTGCTTTCGTCCTGTACATACATGTTCCGTTTCACGCTGTATTATGAAGTCATAAATGCTACATGCATTTCAATATTGTAATTTATGGTAATGTTCATGTTTGAAATCAGTTGTATTTTAGCCAAAGTCCATGTCGGTTTTTGATTACTTAAGAGGAAATTGGCTTGCATTGTAGAAGCCATTGTGATTTACGTTGGCGGGTGAAAACTATGTCAACATATTGTTGCATAGCACAATACCAAAATGGGACTACCTAATATTAATAATAATACTAGAAACTGTCATATAGAAGTTATATATGAAAACACCACATGTCGTTGGCACTTCCGTGTAGTCCGTTTGGTAATTTGCCGATCTCTCCGCATAAATAGCTCCAACTATGTACATATTTTTGATATATACAAACAGTACAGAATATGATATGACTGTATATACTATGAACTAGCATAAAGACTAGTAGGTTATTTATTTTTATAGTACTAGTTTGTTATGTTTATCCTTGTCATTAAATATTTTTCTTTACCTTAAACATTCTATTCATATTATAAATGCTAAAGCTTGTAACGATGGATGGATGGATAGATGTTTATTATTTTTTCACGCAAAAATTACTGAACAGATTTGAGTGAAATTTCTACGGGTACACTAACTTAGCACATAGGGTACTTTATGTACTGATCGCAGATAAAGCTACGGAATACAGCTAGTAAAAAAATATGCTTGCGACTGGAAAATATAATAGGATAATCAGAGACATTAGAGAACGGAGTTATCAACATGTCTAAATTTCATGAAACATTAGAATGCAACGTGGCAGGGAGTGAGCCTACCACCATTAATTATTAATTTTTTACATTTATCAATAGGATATCACATAAAACCCTTATAAGTGAAACGTTATGACTTTATTTTCCAGAGGGTGTAATCGAGTCAACGGGAATGACTACGCAAGCACGTAGTAGCTTTTTACCATCTGAAATTTTATGGGGCCACCGTTTCGAAACCATGGTGACATTCAGAAAAGACACCGGAGAGTATGAGGTGAGACATATTTCTAAACATATTCATGATTTCATAGCTTATGACTAATGAATGTCTTATACAGCTGAACTTTAATGTTAGAATATTACAATGACAAAACATTATGTATACATATTTCTAAACATTTGCATTTGTAAGTGGTATGGTTATAATATTTATCCTATAATATATATATATATATATATATATATATATATATATATATATATATATATATATATATATATAATTTATGCATTTTTACTTAGTCCGATGCTCTTATATTTTGTCAATTCTATTACTAAATTTTGTGTTTGTATAGCGTTTAATTGTATATAGGTCATGACAAAGGTCTCATTAGCGATGGACGTATATTTGCACATATTTAAGTACATTACTCTTATAATACTTACATATTCAACGGGAAATAAATTAACTAACAATATTTATTTTATTAGCAAAGAAAATGATATACTCTTTTTCGATAAAAGACATTTTATTTATTCGTATCCACGATATTAAGAATAAAAATATTGGCGTTATTTATTTACATGATCTTTATTGGTTTATTGACATAATGTCGATCAATTACGTTTAATTACGATATTAACCAATCTTCAGGCCATTAACTCGCTCGATAAATGTTTATATTTGTTTACGACCTAATTGCAAGCATTACACACTTATCTTTTGCCAATATTTTTTCTTGTAAAAATTCTTGTGTATTATTTGGCTTTACGTCGTTTCCATCTCGCAATATAAGAACTAAATATTCTAAAATAAAAGTAACATCAATTTATTCCAAAGAAATATGAAATGAAAAATATATTCAAACAAATTATATTCCAGGTGGACTATACCAGATTCAATAACACCTACGAAGTAGATACTCCTTTGTGTTCAGCAAAACAACTTGACGAGCTACGGGCGACAGTTTCCACGTCACAAAAACTAGGTAACCAATTGTTTACTATCTATATTTGATTCAATATCTAAAATTCAATATCTATATCAATGTAATAGAATTTTAAGAGCTACCTGTCAAAGGAATATTCTATCAGAGATTCTAAAAATTTTTTTATGCAACTTAGAATGTCTAACAAGCTGACGGCTTACTTGACGAAAAGTGGTAACCTTTGCCTATGGACATAACATAAAGATTTACTAATAAAGACGTTCAACATTTGAAATAGGTGTGAACTTTGTTTAAAATACTATTAAAATTATAACAGTTGGTATAACATAGTGTATCTTTTTCAACTAAATAAAAAAATGATAAATGGCTGTAATCCTCGATGGAGTAGTAACGATGTACGTTACTGTTACGATGAATGTAGGTGATATTATTTTATGGTACTATAAACATGTGTGATTGTGATAATTAATTAATTAATTATAATTGGTGAACTTAACGTCTTACAGTATTCTCCAACAATTAACAGTTAAGTTAGATCTTATTTTAATGAATGGTGAAATGTAAAGAAGGCGAGTCTTCTACCATCGCATAGATGCAATTCGTCTGTAACAGTGTTTCTTCTAGCCGGAAAATAAACAGGAACAAAAATAATAGGAAATAGATGATGAAAACCCTTATAATATTATTAATTCTATAATTAATTTCTTTACTAATATTCTATAAATAATTCTATAATGTAATTATTTCAACGATCTCGGTGGTACAATGGTTGGCTCTTTGGTTTACGTAAATGTGGTCCTGGGTTCGATTCCCGGTCAGGCCAATTTAGAGTCGAGTTTGGGTGTTTTGGCTGATACCTTACAATACAGGCGACAAACATCTCAAGTCCTAACTTAAGAACCAGGCAATTGGTGTATTTATGTGACACTTATTAATGTAACAAATATTGTGTCCTTTTAGATCGCATGTTGGGAACCATACCGAAAACATTCTCCAACGACACATTAGATCTCAGCTCCGTTGATTCCATGTCCCTCGACGAGCATATCGAAATCAAGATACCCGAAGCCCGAGCTCAAGAAAATAGACTGATGGCGCAAAATAATTTCGTTCAACATATAAACGAGAAGTCGAGAAACCCCAGTCACACACATTTAGCAGTAGAGAACGGCCCTGAGTCGTTGCCCAAAAACCATAGCCATATGGCGGTCGGTGATACAAAATATACGGATCCGAGGGAGGCCCATATGCATAGGAGTCACAGTCACGCTAGTATGAAGAAAGTACACGGCCTTACCCCTAACGGGATTGGACACGCGGTTAATGGTCACAATGAACATAAAATCGATGAACGGAATAAAATAAAAAAGTGAGTATATATCTGTTTACAGACGCAAAAATGAATGTGATATGATACAAGTAAAATAAATGGGTGTATACAGGATTAATTGTATGAAATTAGTGTATGAAGCCGAAACACGCTGTTATTTATGAAACTGATCAACTTTAATCTTTTAGATGGAATAATAAAGAGTGTCTATGTAAATATTTAGTTTCGGATTTAGTTCTTGTGGTACTAAAAAAAATGTATTGTATTTAGAGATCATAATTTATTAAATTTTTTTTTTTTGCGCGTGATTGACTTAGTAAGAAATTATTAAATTTCTTACTAAGTCAATCACGCTTGGTTTGTATGAAAACTTTAAAAATTATTTTCAAATTTCAACTATACTCTTTGGGGATAGTTGTTCAATCTTAATAAATTATTATTATTGGATATAAATGCATTTCAAGTTTGTATGGATAAATGTGTGTTATTCTCTTACTAACACTTTCATTATTAAGCTTCATACATGGGTTATAAACCTAACTTTAGAACATATAGGATACTTTATATACTATATTATAAAAAATGACTATTCAAAAATGCTTATTATTGAGTTTACTTGAGTAAAAATCATTATTTTTTTATACCACTGAGGTGACAAACAAGCATACGTCCCACCTGATGGTAAGTGGTTACTGTAACCTATGAACACCTGTAATACCAGGGGTATTACTCGCGCGTTGCCAACCTCTGAAGAAACCTCTTTACCCCCCTTTTGAAGAACCCCATGTCTTTTGTGAAAACCTCGGCAGGGCGCTCATTCCATAACCTTATTTTTTATATTGACACACGCGGGCGAAACCGCGTGGTGTAGCTAGTGCAGAATATATGTAGTAATATAATTTATTAATATTTTTTATAGATCGCCAAGTACAAACTACATAGAAGAGAAGACACCGGTGATCCCTATTCTGGTGACGAGTCCCGACTCGGAGGCCTGACGGCCGCTGCGCGAACACAACTCGACCGCGCGCCACGCACACAAACACAAATACAACGTACGTTTCACGGGCGGCGGCGAGAGTACAGAGAACATACGCGTTGAATTAGATGAATTGTAGAAAATAAGGAACCTTCCACACGGGCCGCGTGCAACGTGTCTCGTCGATGATACTTGAGCTTAGGGCTATGTTACACTATCAAATACATATACATACAGGTAAATTTTTATTACTGATTAGACAGTTGACAATACGTTAAACTATTATAGAAATGTTATATGTATTCACAGACATACTTTTATATTATATATTGACTAAAATGTAAAAAATGTCACAGATTGTATGAAAGCTCCCTTTTAAGAGCAAACCTCTTCAATACTTTTAAATGCCGTCTGTAATGTTATTGTTGTATATTCTATAAAGATGTAAAGTACCTGTAACATATGTTTTAATTCATATCCTAATTAAATCAATTAATCAATTTATTAAGCTAATGAGGTACTTACAATATTAATAAAAATAATGTCTCCACTCTTTATAATATATATACATTTTAATCTATTTTTTTTTGTTTGATAGTGTAATATGCCTTTTAGTTATATAAAGTATGTAGGTAATACTTAGTTGTACAGTCAGCAAACAAAGTAATTATAAGATTATTATTATTTTATAGTAGAATTAAGGAGAATTTTGAAATGATGTAAGTCTGATATCTGCAAAAAATTTTGCCAATACAATTTGAATAGTTTAATAAACTTCGTGGATGCTTGAATATCGCAGTATTTAGAATTTTGACGGAAAAAATGCATGATTTTTCGATTTATCACGAAATGTCAGTAATGTTTTTTATTTCCCTTTAAAATTCTTTATATCGAATTATTAAATTAATTATCAAATATTCTATTAAATTAAATCAGCTTCATTTTGAAGGATAAAGTTTCAATGCAAACACAGAAGAGGTATAACACTTTATTACTCAATAATCTGGTGCTACAGGCGGCACAGTATATTCTGTGATATTCATATCTAGAGACAAGTGCTAACACTTTTCATAAGGCAGGCAGAATGCCTACTTGTTTATCATGGTCTAGTAATAAAAAAAAAACTTAATGTGTGTTTAATCATTGATTCCGAGCGCCCTATTTTTTATCTATTTAATATATTATACTTAGTATAATTTTTGAGCTAAAATTAAATATTGCAAATTTTTTTAATCACTAATGTAGCTGAGTTTGCTTATTTAATCACCACGAGGAGAAATAAAGGAGAATATTAGAATAAAAACAGACTGCTGTAATGTAAAAAGAAAAGATATTTTAATATAACGCTTTTAAAGCAATGTATTTATACCAAAACGTATTACCTACTTTAATGGATTAAAAATTAGTTAGTAGGTAATTTATCGGTGCCTTTGTTTCGAAAAAGAAATTTAAAAAACCGTACGTATTTTCCTTAATCTATGGAATTTTTAAATTCGAATCTTTAAATTCGACAGTTCATAGACAACCGACTTTTTTAATCTTTTTTTTATTAAATCCTCTTTCTTATTTTTCTACTTCATCTATATCAGCGACAAACGTGTACCAGATAGGGTTGTATTTAGACCAAGTATTTATTTAGTTATTTTTTAAAATTCTAGATGAAATTGGCTTAATGCTTATTGATCATAATCACATTATAAGTATTGTTGTTACTTATATCAAGGTTCAAAATTTTTACGTAGAGAATATCTGTCTTTTTAAAAAAAATCCAATAAAATGTTCTTTTCATACTATAATATCAAGTTGTAAGGCGCCGTACGCCGTATCATGTAATTATAATTAGAGCTTTTAAAAAAGGTCATAAACAAATTCAATACAAATAAATATATTGAAATACTAATTGAAGCTTCCATAATAAAAAAAAAAACAGTAGTCAAGGTAAAGTCTAACTGTTTACAAATAGAGCTGTTATATCTTAAATATTTGAATAGGTAATTAGAAAATATTTTTGTCATCACTATTTTATTTATATATATATTAAAAAAAAATTTAAGGCCCCTATGCACGAGTCAAAGAGGTAACGTATTTAATTGCTTCTTGAAGATAACAGGCTTCTTATTGGTAATCGAGTTTTGAATATTAATAAAGTTGTTGTAACATTAAAAATCCTCAAAGAGTATTACGGTCGCAATTCAATATTCAATAATATGATTTAAATAACGTGCGATATAAATCTATATTGTAATTATTTACGTGTTTTAAACCGACTTCAAAAAGAAAGAGATCTTAATTCGGTTCTATTTTTTTTTGTTTGTTACCTCGTAAATCTGTTAAAAGATATACTTTATATAGAAATCTTATCAAGATCAACTCAGTAGTTCAATTATGAAAACAAAATAACTAATTTTACCACAAATAAAGACATTGTGTGTGGAACACAATCTTAAATTATGAATAACTATAACACAATACGATTTGGGATATTTATTATCGGGCATCTAGTTTACAGCTAATCTTTATACATCTAATCTTTAACACATATATGTACTTATTAAAAGAGGTGCTTAAATTATTACTTTGGATAAGATCCAAAAAAAATGCTAAATAATCTGTTATTGAACCAACTACGTAAATGTGTTGTGAAAATAACTAGTATAAGAGGAGGAATATATGTAATATGAAATGTGATACAGCACACCGCAAGTGTTAATATTATGCAATAAGAAGCGATTCAAATATCGCTTTATATTGTCACCTGTCTATATTTCTAGATTAATATAAAAATTAAAATATGTATCATATATATAATCATATATCATATATTTAATGTAAACTTTTCAAATTTATTCATTCTATTAATAAAATCAGATATTCTTTTTAATTAAAACTAAATAATGTTTGTGATACAAGTCGAATTTTTCCGAATCAGTTCTGATTAGGGCAAGGACAAGGATTTTCTTTGATTCTCTTATATGTTTATGACCGTTTACCATCAGACGGGCTGTATGCTTGTTTGCCACCTTTGTAGTATAAAAAAAGGATCAATTACAACTGGAATCCTTATATAAGTCATCATATTATTTTTTTTACATAAGATATCTTTTAAAAATGGTGCTTTGGGTACCCAGTCTGGGTATTATATATTATAATAATAGAAGTTATGAGCTCAATCATTGCCCACTGCTGGACATATATCTCATAAAGCGCACAAAATAATATAAACATAAATTTTATTACAATGTAGTCTCCATTCCACTCATTTCGGTGTGCTGAATTACTTCGTATTTATGAGCAAAAAGGGACGGAGTCTGTGTGCCTAATCTATATATATATATTCAAAAATATAATTAGATGTTACCTACTATATTTGGCTTTTACAAAATTCGGCAAATGACAATATTAGTAATTTATATAAATTAATATTTATACTTATATGTAGATAGATAGATATTCTTGTTTTCTCCAAAGGATTACAATAGTAAACTTATTATAAATATAAACAATTACAAGAAATAATCACAATGAGAAAACAATGGGCGATCTTATCGCTAAAAGCGATTCCAGGCAACCTTTGGATGGAGAGGAGTAATTATGTAGGTAGTTTAATATACAAATGAATGTTAGTGTTACTAACGCCTGCGATAGAACTACTTGTCACGTAGTGGAAAATTTATATATTAGAATTTATAAAGGTCTTTTTACACATACATATCTATACATGTACAGATTGTAATAAAGATGTACCTAATAGAAAGAAAGCCAGCGATAGTGTTATCAGATATATGTAACCAAATGAACCTTCTCAAACAACTAAAATATAAGATTGGAATGTAAAAAAAAATCCGTATCTAAATATTTATCATATACCTCGGCATAGGACTGGGCCTGACGTAAAGGCCTAAGTCCTTGGCTAGATTATTCTATTTTTTTATACAATATTATCGCTGGATCTAGTATTACAGTAATTATAGGACAATATACTTACTACGCCTTATTATACAGATAAAAATAAATATACGAGTATAAACGTTTAAACGGCAGTTACAAAATAATTATGTTAAAGGTACAAAAAGTACGTAATTAATGATCATGTATACTAATTGGCATGTGTTATTTTTTTTTTATTTGCCTTAAACCGGTCATTTGAGGTCAAATAAGAAAAATAATTGTAAGTATTCGATTTGTGATTATATCTAATGAAAATTAAGTAGGTATTATGTAAAAAGAAATGTCAAGACGCTTAAATTATTTATTAATTTAACTTAACGGTATTGCATGTACGTAGGTGCCCTTTTTGTTCCTAATAATTGTTATACAAAATAAAGAAATGGGATATTTTTTTACGGTTTCGAATTTATTAATTGTAACTTTTGATTAGAAATATTGTAATAATCATTGAACTCTATTAGTGTTTCTATTTCGAACAGTATCGATGACTTACATTGTTACTGTAACCTATCTTTTGGGGAGGGGGGAGAGGTATTGTTTGTATAGTCTAACAGAGAGTCAGACTAAATGAGAATGTAACTAAGTTTTGTTTAAATTGTCACAGAATACTCTCTAAATGAAATTAGCAAACATTCAATTAATCAAGTTTTTATTTGTACTATTGAACATGTGTCTTATTGTTAAGACAATTATTTGATTTTTTTTTTTCATATTCATTATTTTTTTGAAATAGGATGTAGTAATCAATGCCTACATGTGTATGTAAGTACATAACCTTCCCTAGCCACGCCAATGCTATTAAGGCAGCTCTCAAGCAGTCTATATATCTGTTGTTGATACTAAATCATGTACATCTAGATGGAGTATCGAATTTAAAAAAAAGTTCTTAAAACTGTAAATTATTAATGATTGACCTAAAAGCGCACCACTTTAAAAAAGTTCATTTTGTCGAATTGTACGAAGATACTCTATCTAGAAATTATTGATCTAGAATAATAGTATATTATGTTACTTACTCAGTTATATATTTAATAAATTAAAAACTGCATGTTATCTTGACGATAGTCCAAGGTGGGGGCCTCAAGTGGCGCGGGCGCTGCTATTGACATTAGTCCAATTTATTATAATAATTATATTATGCTGATAGACTCAGACAAAATACATTATACATATATATTATTCTATACGAGTTTCATTAAAACCTTTTTAATACCAGACAGAAAGAAAAAAGTTCGAGTTAGATTCTTATTACATCCTTTTATTAAGTGTTCCATCACTTATTCATCACAATTTACAGGGACAGAGAAATAACACCTGAGTCCTCAGGAATGGCAACGCATGGGGGGTATCATGGGCGAAACAGTATACTTTGTTATGTCCATGGTACTGCTCATGTCTATAGGCGACGGTTACCACTTTCCATCAGGTGAGCCGTCAGCTTGTTTGCCATTCTAAAACAAAAAATAAGAGAGAAAGATTTTTTTTCTCAAAGTTCGAAAAAAGATTTTGACTTCACCTATATATGAATAAGTATGTCCACGATTTCCTCATACCTACTATGCAAAATTCATTCTGTTTTTAAATTTGATAAAATTAACAAAGTTTTTTAAAGTCTATGTAAATTGTATTGTCAGTGTCTTAAAGTTACTTTATTTTTCAAGTACTCTGTTTCTAGTAAACAGCTGAATCGATTGTGATAAAACATACAACCATTGGTTTTAAAGTCGACGAGACTAGTAATCTTCATTGATTATAAATATTTCATACAAGTCTAGGCAGCTATTTTTTCGGAATGTACGTCATTCAGTCGTAAATACAGACGACATTAATTCTAAAAATAACTGATTTGGGTTCATTAAAAACATATTTTTAACTTCCCTGACTATTAAATGTTTTCTCCCACGACCGCTCAGGTTATGAAATAAGCTCGCTGTCGAGGTTTTTACAAGAGACACGAGGCAAACAGCACAGGTTATTTCAAAAAAGGGGTAAAGAGGTTTTTTCAAAGTCAGAAACGCGCGCGTTATATTTTGGTATTGCAGGCGTTCATAGGCTACGATAACTGCTTACCATCAGGTGAGCTATGTATATGCTTGTTTACCACCTCAGTGGTATAAAAAAATTTTGGAACCTCTGATTTTAATACACTTAGTAAACATATTTTTTTCTAACTTAGTCTAAAACTAATATTTTTTCGCAATTCTTCATTGACAGTTCTAGTATGAGATTTCGCAAAATAGGCCCCTGTAATTTAGCAATTAGTTTCTTTTCACAATGATGCAATTACAGTTAATAAGTAATGTTGAATTAATAAGCTTTTTTTTTACGGATGCTTATAAAAACTTATCATAATAAGTTTTTATAAGCATCCTATTTGTAAATCATCGACATGACTACGTAAATATGTTTCCATAAAAAGATAGAAGTGAAAAATTATTACATTAATAACTGATTTAGGTGGAAGAAAGGGAAAATTATGTATGTAAATAAACATATGAGGGTATTTTTTTGGTTATTATTATATAATATATTTTTACATTCTTAAAATTTAATGGCTATGAATTAAATAAAATTATTATTAATCTTATTCCAATAGTTATAGCTACTTGATAATAGATGGCGCTAGTTGCAATAAAGTTTAATATATAAGTGATATACTACTTCTTAATTAGTCACAAAATTATACAAATCACAACTGGGCCCTTCATATATAACGAAGGCAGCCCAGAAACTCTTGACATGAGAGGGCGCTGATCTCACATGAATAATCATAGTCATAATAAAATTATCACATACTATTTAAATTACTTATTACATGTAAAGGAACTGATCACAAAACGTCACTATCATATAATCATGATTTTTGTTTTTTCTTCTCTTTTTCATTTTCATCTTCGCTTGACGATGAAATTTCTTCAGAACCGTTGAAAAAGTCTGGCGGATATTTAACTGTAGATGGTCTATTAGTCAAACTAGCTCTTCTGATAGCGTCAACAACCAATCTGTCAGCTATGTGAGCAAGTGGCGAATTTGGAGCTTTTGTGCTCAGCGATGTTCGTACAATAATATCGTCTGATATTGGCGAACCAACTGCCATATATCCTGAAAAACATATTTATTTAAAATTAGAAAATAAATCCCAATTTAATAAAATATATTGAACGTTTCACTATTTAGGTGTCCAAGGATGTTTATATATATCAAATTAAACAATAATCGTAATAATTAACTGGATATCGTGGGGCCCATTACTTATTTAACCAACTACGCGATTGCAATATGATCATTTGCTAATTGTGTAAAAATAATGACTCTAACACTATTATTTCCTAATTGCTACTAGGTTTTTTTTATTGGATGATAATGAAATGCTAAACCCACCTGCGCTAATGGTATATGCTGGCGGGGTACCAATAAGGGATTACAGGTAAGAATGAAAAGGCAGGCCAGTCAGCCCATCGTGATTACACTTTGAATTCAGTACGATGGTTTCCAGGGGGACCACGTGGAACTCAACCTGACTGAGTAGACTTGACTATATTGCTAGCATTGGAACTGGTAGTTCGTATTACTAATAATCCCCTCCTATCCCCTCCCCCCAACCATGTTTGCTACTTAGATTGTAGAAGTTTCTTTGTTTGTAGATGCATTTTTTTTAACAAAAACAGCGCCATTGTGCTAGCGGATAGATAGAACCATAAGCGTATTTCATGGGAAGCCAGATGGGCCATGCCCACTCCAGATTTTTTTAATGCGTGATAATGAAATAGTGACACCGCCTACGCTGTCAATATGCACTGGCGGGGTACCTGCCAGTGAGTGACGATAGATGAAGATTAAAGCAGGTCAGTATATTGCTAATAAGGTGAGCAATCAAACCCCATTACTAACAATCCATTTCCCTTCCTCCTCTCCAGATTTATTTGGTGTACAGCTCAGAAGCGAAGTTGCCAGGTATGAGCAAAAACATGACTAATAGAACATACACCTACCCCTTTGTTAAGGGACTAGGTCACCCATGTAAAATAATCTTAAATACATTACCAGAGGTAGACTTTGTACAAAAGTCGATTGCTTGGGTACCTCTGTCCCATTCGTGTTTCTACCGTGAAGCAATTGTGTTTACATGGCTGTGTTTCGGTTTGAGGGGTGGGATATGGCGTGAATTTACAGGGTACAGAGGAATAACATCTGAGTCCTCAGGAATGGCAACGCATAGAGGGTATCATGGGCGAAACAGCATACTCTGTTATGTCCATGGTACTACTCATGTCTATAGGCAACGGTTACCACTTTCCATCAGGTTAGCCGTCAACTTGTTTGCCATTCTAGGTTGTATAAAAAGAAAAGAAACTAATAGGCAGAACCAATTTCAGTTTCTATATCGCTTTGTAACGTTGTTAATAGCTTTTAGTTAATACAGAACGTATCAAAAATTAAGATTGACAGATATATCGAGCAATTTTCGGCAATCGCAAACTGTTTACGATATCCAGGGGGCGTGATGTAGGTATTATGTAGGTACGTTATTATACTATCGAAGAGGGTTCATAAATAATATAACCTTGGGGTTTAAAATAGCTTCTTTATACGAATCATAATATGACTGTGATTTCGTCTATATCTAAACTCAGTCGAGTTTACACTTCGTGAGAGGGACGTAATATCCGTTTAACAGTCCTCTGTCTTCTGGACCCTTTGTATAAAATGCAGATCCTAGTCTACTATTTAGCTTGGTATAATGTTTTCTCTAGTTTTTATAGTAGTTTCTAAGAAATCTGTTATAAAAATAGAAAAAATTGAGTCAAATATTTTCTACGCTGGCCCATTAGAATCTATTCATTCTCAGGTACTAAATATTTTTATACATAAATATTTTCAATATCTATTGTTTATTCTATATATCTTTAATTGGGCATTGGTATTTGCATTTCCCGATTATTAATGTTGTAGTGAACGTAATGCTGTATGTGCCAACAAGTGTAATGTACTGGATAACAAAAAAAAACTGCAGTTCGAAACACATTAATCCTTTAACCCCGTGATTATTAGGTTTATATGTATCAATAGATACTTACAAGCTGCTATTCAACCAAATACATATAATATTTCTGTTTTTAAACAAGTTAAAACGCCAATCAACCTAATGGTAAATAGTTGGTAATTGCCACCTATAAACATGAACAGCACCACGGACGTCACTGAAAATGTAAAATATATTACGAGTCATTTTGGCTGATATTGAATTATATATGGATGTATCTTTGAATTCAGTTTTTTGGCATTAGATATTTTTAAAATATTAATTAGAGCAAGTTGGCGCCATTTCACGCATGTCAAAAAATAGCCAACCACAGAAACTTCTTTGGTTACTTACTAATTTTACACTCCACAATTTTCGGTTGTTTTCTTTTGTTATTGATATAGAACGTGTTAAATATACAAAAACGTAATGTTAACTGTTCTAGCGTATCAGACTTTTCCTATGCCAAATATTATCACTCATTTTGGCTGTGTGGTCCCGGTATAGAATAGGCCACCCCTTCCTTCCCCGTGGGTATGGTAAGAGGTGACTAAGAGAGGGCGAAGGATGGATAGTAGCGTCCCTCTTAAAACATCTTCAAAGTCTAACTACGTTTGACAATCCGCCTGCCAAGCGTGCAACTATTGGCAGAACCCCCCAAAGGGAGACTTATGTTCAGCAGTGGACAGTTGAAGGCTGATGTGATGATGATGATGATCATTCACTTTGTATTTTAATTCGTTTCTTTTCTTTTTGGAAAGTTTGCTAAAGAGCGCTTAACACATTTTACCTTTCTAGATTCGATGTTACGATACCCATTTTTTTATGCAACTTAGAATGGCAAACAAGCTGACGGTCCACCTGATGTAAAGTGGTAACCGTCGCCTATAGACGTAAAAAGTACCATGAACATAATAGAGTATACTGTTTCGCCCATGTTACCTCCCATGCGTTGCTATTCCTGAGGACTAAGCTGTTATTTCTCTGTACCCTGTAAATTCACTGCTATAAACCGAAACACAGCCATGCAAACACAACTGCTTCACGGTAGAAACCCATTTATCCATACTCTTCATGTGCTGTCATAATCTTGAGGACTAATGTTTACTTTAATAACCAGTAATTTCACGGGGGAATGGGATTGTTAGTAATGGAGACTGAGAATCCCATTGCTAGCAATATACCCAACCAGGTCGACCTCCTCGCGGTTCCCCCTGGAAACTATCATGGTTAATTCCTGATGAATTCATCATGATGGGCTAATTTGCCTGTTTTCATTCTCATCTATCACCCTTCACTGGTGCTCCGCCAGCGTATCCCGTTAGCGCAGGCGGGGTTACCATACCATTTTCACCCATAAAAAAAAAGAACCAGTAATTTCACTGCCATATCTGAATCTTGGAACCTAAAGACAGCTTATTGTTATCAGATATTTACACCTTTAAACAAATATTTTAATGAATCATTTCACTCATATACTAAACACATAAAGCCACGCCACAATGTCAAAAACAAGCAACATTTTTAACGAACGACATTTAGAACAAACAATGTCTCTCTACATCATCACTTTACGAACGCGTATCACATGATTTTGTATAATGACAGATTCATATATGTTGTACTCGTCCTGCTTGGCATACGACTGATTAATGTATAATATTTTACCGACTTTTTTACTGATTTCCACTAACCAGTAATATATATTCGTAAAATTAAACTGCATTAGAGAATAGTTGTATATTAAAGTACAATTAATATTAGAAATGGTTTATTTTCTTTATTGATTGGTGGAATCGAATAACTCTTCTTATGTGTCAATTATACATTTTTTTTTATCAATTTTAAGTACGAAATCTACATAGGTATGTATAAAAAATTATTGGCTCTACTAACCTAATCTTTTTAATATGTAATTTTTAAGGTGTAAATTAAACACAAATAACGTTAAAATAATTATTCATTCAATATTTACATTCAACAATATTCTTACAAACAATTATTTCAGTAGGTATCCGTCATAGGCAATCTATATAATGATGTGATAACACTTAATTTTGGACTTAAACAAAATGTAGGGTGGATTATAAGCATTTTTATTTTTAAATAAAGGAAATAAGTAGTACATAAAGTAAGTAAAGTTGATATTAATAATGATCATGATATTAGAATTTTAATTTAAATTTACAATATTTAAATTGTATGTTATGGATAAAATAAATGTCCATTAATATTTATTTTCCAACAACTATCCTTCGAAAACTTTTCGAAGATAAAATGAAAAAAAAAAACCTATAAACAAACATCGACTGTAGCTAAAATTAATTCCTAGTGATTTTTTTTTTAATTTCACCTTTCATTCAACTGTTTTGATGACATTTAAGTTTATTCTTAAATCATAACTTTGGTATACCTACTCAATTTACTTACAATAATAACCATATATATTCCATATTTATTATATTAAAAATAAATAATTGTTCATTAATAACTTCACAATTTTTATGTTGTTTGTTCTATATTAACAAAATATGGGACAATTAATTTCATGTATAAATAAACAACCTAAAATAAATTATAACATCTACATTTAGGTAATTTTAAGAGTAGAAAATTTGTTTTGGTTTTCATTTTAATAATTACGCTTTCCGAATAATTGAATAATGTTTTAGTACCTATAATTAATCCCAAAAGAACCAATATTAGTATCAGTATTTCAGAAAATTACTTTCTTTAAATTGTAATATTAAATGCCAATAATACATACTTACTTACTACATTTTACACACATATTCATTCTATTAAATTTATCAGTTCACAGTTTGGAATGTTTTGAAGTAGGTATACATCTTAATAGTAATTGTTCGCACAACCTTAGGTAGACTACTTATTAATTTGAGTCTAATAGAGGCTAAGCTAGAATCTGACTAGTTCTAAAACTGGTTTGTGACCGTTATAATTTTTTTTTCTATATTTAAGCTTGTTGAGCCTATAAAAATATTTGACATTATAGTAATTAATTTTAACCGTTAATAAAATAAATAAATTTAAAACTTAATAAAAAATGTTATATCAATACCTAAGACATGCAAAATATTTTAATTGGCTCACCTTTATAATTTTACACAAGTTGCAATAATAATTGAGATTTACTGAGATTCTCTTTCGTTGAAATAATAACCAAATTACTTATACAATTGATAAGCATAATTCCTTGTAAAATGGTTTATTAAATAACTATCGTATTTAACAATATTAGTTAAAAAAAATATAGCAAAAATTCGAGCGAATATAATAGTAGACCTTGTGTAATAAATTTTTAGATTACGAACTTAATTATTTATAAGGTAACGGTGAAGTCCCCGTCCTTTTGCTCAGCTGTGGCTTCTGGTTTCTTCCGTTCCGGCATCTTGAGGAACACCGCCTGTTGACCATGTTCCGTGCTCTCTACAAGACATCACAAACACGTAAACAAATTAATACACCTCTATACAATATGTGTTAATAAAAAAATAATTGTATAAATGTTATTATTAAGTTGCTTCATAATTTTGGATTTTAATATTATTAATAAGCTAAGAATGTTAACGATGCATACTTTGCATATTGTAGCATAGTGAAAGAAACAAAGTACATAAAAGTAGATTAAGTATTCAACAAAATAATTAATATCAATCTAATAAAAATGAGTTCGTTTACAAAAATATTATTCAATACAATTCTTTTACAGTATAAACTGCCAGAATCTTAGCTGTAATCCACTACAATGCGCAGAGTAATATATATTGTATAGAGGCGTAAAGTAGAGGTGTTACTTTAATATTTAAAAAATCCACATTAAAAATTATAAATATGGTACAATAAACTTAGATTGTGTGCATATATAAAGCACATAGGTACATGCGTGATACAATATAGGTGCATAAGTATGATTTATTACAGTGTTACTTATTGAAACGCATTAAAATGCAGAGATTACCTAGTAAATCAGTTTTAGTCCTAATGATAGTAATAATTGACGATAATTGAATAAAAATTTTGCAACTAATATTAATTTTCCAGAATATATTTAAAAATAATATATTTTTAAAGATAACTAGTGGATCACACTTGAATTAATTAAACTATATTAATAGTCGTGGATAATTAAATTATTTTGTTTTCAATGTGCATATTATAGAGAGATAATGCATAAAATTAGTTTATATTTTATTCTATGTTCCTTTGTATAATCACACCGTTGGATATGTTATTGATTGTACATCTATTCCTCTCTTCGATAATTATAAATAATGTTAACTAAATCCTTCTGTGCTTATATTATTTTCGGCTACTTATTATATACTCATTTATGACAGTATCTTTTTCGCGTTTTTGAGCTTGTTGCGAATGATTACCATAAAAATTCCAACCAATTGGGTTGATAAGTTAAAAACTAAGATTTTCTAATACCTGATTGATTATTCATTAGCCTATTTTTAAATCTTTAGATAAGTGATCATAGTGTATTAAAAAATTTACTGCTCAAAACTAGTTTTTTGTCATTGTCCTATCTCAATTCATTGTTTTCTTATCTCAATTCATTGTCAGTGATATACGAGAATAATCTAGATAAATACTTAAATTATCAAAAAGGTGTTTTTACGCAAAAATATAGATTTATCATTTATTAATATAAAACATATGATATTATAGGTATATTTTATAAAATTAGAAAGACATCTATACTGAACTTTTTTATGTGCATAGCGTCAGAAAATATTTTTTTTTGCATTTACAATTTTAGATGCGAACTATTTTTAAGAATATATTTTTACACATACTAATAACAAGTTACTGACAGTTAGTTGTGATATGCAATGTAGACCTACGAATATTTTGAGACTGTCTCAAAAGTAAAATCTCGTATAGATTAAACAAATATTGTAGGTACAAATTATTTGGAATGTTACGTACGTCCATAAAATAATTAAATACATTTGAAATTGTCATACAATATTTACTTATTTATGAAACAGCAAATGATTCACAGAATTTTTAAATGTTGTGTTTAAAATATAATCTTCCTTATAATTATGTTTCATTGTACTAATAACGGCTAAAAAGAACTGAAATTAAACAAATGTTCACAGTCATCTTATTTATGTTGCATTTAAATACGTAAGGAGGCTATTATTGGCCGCAAATTAACCATTTATTGACGTCAGTTCTTGTATGGTCGTCGAAACAAATGTATCCTGTGTCAAAAAGAGGGATAGCACTGGGAACCAATTTGGCAAAATGGTACATCCTGCCGCGGTTTGATAATGGTTTTGTCAAGTTTTCTATATAGAAGTAAGGTTTTTGTAAATATACTTAAAGCAATTTTTACTTACTTCAACTTTTATTTTAAATCAACTTTAATTATTTAAATTATCAAATACCATATTACAAAACCTTGAATAATTTTAATAATACCTACTTATCTAAACACGTAATTAAAGAAAGAACAAAAACTGAAAAATTTACAATAATACGTATTAATGCGTATATTATTATATTCAGATATATTTCTTTTTTGTTAGATTTTGATAACAGTAAATTATGGTAAATTTTTTAATCATTCTTATAGTAACTTTATTAGTTTGATGTACTGAAATTATACTATATAAAATTTTAGACTTATAATACGAGTATAGTGATGAGCATTACGAATATAACTATGTAGGTATTATACTTATGAAGTATTTAAAACAATAATGGTAATTCATTGTTATGTTACAACACGTACAGAGAGTTGTGATATAAATAATAAGATATCGTTTCCCCTTGCACAAAAAATTACAGTTGTACAGCTACAGTTCTTTTATTTATTTTCCATATCATTTCGAATTTTCAGTAAACGTGATGGAATAAACTTACTATATTGATATATATTGCATTTGTACCGTATATTGTTAGAAGCGAGTTTATTTTGCGCAATAAGCTATAGGTAAATAGTACCTACATCTCCTGCAGGCTATGTATGTGATACGCTTCATAAGATACCAAGCGAATCAATTCAAACAAGTTATGAATAATAATTTTATATTCACACTTCAGATACTACCTACTTTACACCAACAACAATATTAATCTTATCAAATACTTAACAAGAACTATTACTTATTAATAATTCTAAGCTATTACTTGTTACATGTAAATAGGTTACTTGATGCAATAAATTGCAATAGTAATAAATTAGGATTTATCATTAGTGCAACAAACACTTCGTATGTTGACCTTAGATAAAATACGAGTAAGTTGCAGATAATTGAAACAACTTATTGTGAATATATTGCCAACTTTCTTATAAGCAACCTTGAGACCGAGTAAACATAGAATGATAACACAAATTTTGAAGATTTTATATAAAACAACTACATACAATGCCATAGAGAATATTTTATCTTGATTTTAACAAGAATTTGTGTCAAGATAGCGTCAATGCAAGTACATAATTATTAAGCGCACTATTTATAAGCGTGGTTAGTTTACATTTTGCACACACAACCACCCAACACCATTGTTTTTGACTTTAAATAGGAACTCACCAATCGATCTACGATCAGCCTGGCTGCCGTAAAAGTCATCCAGCTCCTTGGCTGAACACAACGGAGTGTCCACCTGCGTCGTCTCTTCAAATTTAGAGTAATCCACTTCGTATCCTTGACGTTCACGGTTGTATGTCACTAGCGGCACAAACCTATGTCCCCACATTATTTCACTAGACGTATAACTAGACCTCGCTTGTGTAGTTTGCCCCGTAGATTCTATAGTACCCTCTAATATAACGACTATCTCAAACTTCTCCTGTAAGACGTCTGCGGCAGATACACCATAGAAAGGACTTTCAGCGTTTATTCTGTGCACCATCGTAATAGGCCAAATGAAAAACAAGTTGCCATCGCACCCATCTGCGTTTAGTTGCAGTTCAGTTTGATAATGAGATAGAGTTTCTCCTTCCTTCGTTGTTCTAGACCGGATTAGCTGAGCTCTCACACTGGCTCCTATGATATGAGATTTCCTCAAGTCACCCACTCGGAACATTAGGCAGAGCTCGCCGTCCCTCTGGCATATTACTGCGTGTTTTGAAAACAGCAGGGTCTGTGTTCTGTGTTTAGGCCTTGTCATCTTCGCGAAAACTATACCCACCATGAAAGCTTGAATCATGACACCCACTATACTTTGTAGACACATAATGAAAATTGCTTCTGGACACTCTTCCGTAGTTGTTCGTGCACCATAACCAATTGTGTGTTGCGTCTCAATACTGAAGAGGAAACACGAAGTAAAATCGTAAATGTTTAATACACAAGGATTCCAATTTGAAGACTCTTGCATAGGCGGTAAATGATCAGTTTCCAGATCGCCATGTGTGAATGCTATTAACCACCATATAAGTGCAAATCCTAACCAGGATAAGATAAAGGAGAGTGTAAATACAAGTAGAGTCCATCGCCACTGTGCGTCGACAAGTGTAGTAAACATATCCTGGAGAAATCTCAACCGGCGCTGAGAAATCCGTGATTTAAGTATATTACATTCTCCATTTTTAAGAATAGCCCGCCGTCTTGTTCTTCTCGTGATTCCATGTCTGTGTAATCGGTTTCTGTAAACAAACAAAAATATAATTATAAAAATAATTTAACCTAGACACTTTTATAGAATAGTCCTGTAAATATAAATATGTAGTTCGCACTTGCATCGCTGGCGACGCCACTGACCTTCGTTAATGTTAATACCGATAATGTAGAACAGTTAAACAAATAATAGGTTTACTATTTAATATGTAAATAATCCTTATAACATGTAACAAATAAACATAGGATGCGAGCGGACGGACAAAAGCGAAACATTACGGTAGGAGTTCGGTCGGAGACGGCACAGGGTGCTTGTCGTCGACGAACCTCTTGGTGACTGTGGGGTAGTAAACGCCAGGGGAAAGGTTCCCGTTGGTGGCTACAGTTTTGACTTTTAGCCATTCATCGGGTAGGAGCTGGGCCTCCTCGCGGGAGGGTGGCGATTCTGGGTCGGCGTGCATGGTGCGTGGTGTCGTGCGCGCAGCTCACTCGCGTCCGACCGTCTGCGACAGCATCCTCCGATGCCCGCGACACTCCTGAAGCACCGAGCGAGATAATGACAAGATCACGACTGGCACTCTCGCGCCCGCCGCTCCGAAGACATGCTAAACATTGTATAATTGTATCGCTAGATTCTATAACGAAAATTATCAACTCACTACGGAAAATGAATTTCAGTTAGTATATGACGTTTATGAGCATACAGGGTGTTTTGCTCTGAATTAAAATACACATTAGATTATGTGTAGTTAGTTTTTATGTATGATTAAACCCCTTTTGTACCCGGTTCTCTTTGCCTTAACATTAAGAGACCTGGTTGTTTATCTATTATGTGTTTTCTGTCAATTTACCTATCATCTATAGAGATTAAATATAAATTTGCATAAATTAACATATTCATATATTTAATTATGTTATAAATATATACATATATTATTATAGAATAATTAGAAAATATCAAAACAGGAAAAATATTCGCAAGTAATTTGGACTTTTATAGATCACAGTGATGATGAAATTTTCTATAAACACCTAAAATTTTATATTAGTGTCTTGAAATATTGAAAACCAATATGTATTTTTCTTATAACAAATTATTAATATACATATGAATGGACAATAAAATAATATATGACATTATTTAATGATCAACAATAGTACATTAGTATGTTAGGATTATTCCTAATGTACAACAAATACAAAATAGAGTACACCGTCATATTACGTTAATTACCATACACTTAATAAACCAAATAATTTATTAACATTTGTCAAGAATTTATAGTTCTTTGTCATAGCGGTCGACTATTTGTTATTATTTAAAATTATTATGAGCTAGCAGTATCCCGTATCTTCGTTCGAGTGAATAGGTATGTAAAGAATCTTATGAGCTAACTTTCAGTGTGTGCATACAATGGGCCACCACATCCTTTCCCATGAGTGTCGTAAGAAGCGAACTTAATGGGCGAGGGATGGGCACGTCCCCCTTACCATCACCAACGCCCAGCTGCATATTACGTTAATTACAGCATAACATCATCGTCGTGATAATCCTAAATTAGGATATAATTTATTATTCATGTTTTTTGCATTTTTTGTCAAATATCCATTCATATAACCTCGCAAACTTTCGCATTTATTGTAATGGTAGCAGAACATTTTTTTTTTTTTATAATTACACTGCAGTTGCTACTGTAACTGTTATAATCATAATCTGCTTCTTGTATCCTTAAGAGGTATTAAGGTTAATTATTCTGTAATAAAGGTGCAATAAAGTAACAAATAAATTAATATTCAAATCATGTATAAAGTCTATTTGGTTATTACTTTAAAATATATTAGTATTATGAACTCAGAACATGCACTTTGTATGCTAATTTTTCCCTTACAACATCTAATATTTTTACATTTATAGTAGATAATTTTTGCCAATCTACTATAAATATAAATGATAAAACCAATGATATGAGACCAATACATAAACACATACAACATATGTATAGAATTCATTTCCGAATATCAGGCCCAATATGCATACAAATAAAAACAAAGTTTATTTGAAAATATTTTTTGAAATTATAGATTTTTTGAAATCTTTTTTCAAATTACTTTGCAGAGTTGCTTAATGGCTGCAGTCTGGTTTTAAAACCCCTCTTAAAACGTTACCAAAGTCTAACTGCGGTTGCTAATCCGCCTGCTAATCGTGGCAACGTTAAACGTGGACGGTTAACGGCTGAAATGATGATTATGAAAGTCGACACATTATTTATTTATTTATTTAATATATAATGTATTTTTAATAGAGAAAGTCTATTGAATTTGTTATAAGTCGTCTGTAAACGTTTATATTTCTGTTTTATTTTTAATAGAGAATATAAAGGCTTAATTTCAATTAGAAAATTATGCTGGCACTGTAACACCTGCACTTATATATATTTCAGCCGATCTAAATTATTATATTGACGGAAAACTTATGTACTGAGGTAAAAAACATACACAAAAAAGAACAGTGTTTCCTGGAATTTATGATAGTTTAACAGCAATAATCTGCAAAGTACAACAAGTCCTAAAATAGATACAATTTAATATGCCATAATTCTGTGGCAATTTGAAAAAAGTTATTTCATAAGAAAACTCGCGGTATGACAAATAAAAATCTGATGTCAGTCATTGCTGAACATAGGCCTACACCTTATAAGGTTTTGCCATTAGTTGCCACGCTTGACAGACGGGTTAGCAACTGCAGTTAAGATTTGGTGATGTTTTAAGAAAGACGCTACTACCCTTCTCTCGGCCAATAAATTCCCTTAGTCGCTATTTACAACACCCATAGGAAAGGCAAGGGTAGTCCATTCTATGCCGGGACCACACAGCTATTTCATTTATTAAAATTTAGCAAATTTTATTATCTTTCAATGTGAGCAGTGTTATGGTTAAAACATCCTATTTCATACATCGAGATGGAAGCCACCCCGGTATTTTCATTAAAATAGCTAATTTGACAGTGCAAATTGGGCTGCTAATGTGCTTCATTTTTCTGTTCTAATTTGTTGCTCTCGAATATTGCCGATTGAAGGTCAATCAACAAGTTTCAGAGGTGTGTATGTGCTTATTATATTGTCCACAGTGGGCGGGGTAAGATTATGATGAAATGAGCTGTTTAGAATAAATTGAGTACCTACATATATTGGCTATTTTCAAGCAACTTTAAACAGAAAAGATGCTCTATTGGCTTGTATTTTTAAATGTATGTTACAAAGTATTTTGCTAACTTTATAGTTATTTGATATTAATAATTTTCATTACATTCGAGAGGATGAATGATTCTTTTGATGAACTCACATACGTTTTCATTAAACTCTTTTGTTTTTGAGATACAGAACATTAAATTAGTTAATGTATTAATCGATAAATATGGCAAATTTAGGACTCTAAATTATTATATAGAAATATTATCCGTCACTAAGTTTGTGTTTGAGAAAAGGTTTTCAATATTACAAAATTTATTATAAAGCTGAAGCTTACTGGTATTACCACCATATAAAAAACTACTTTTCATAGAAGTACTATTGGTTTTAAGTTGTTGCAATATTGTAGTTAATCTTATATATATTATATATAAGATTAGTTGTTACTATTACTTACTATTATACTTACAATGGTTGTATAAAAAGATAAGGTAAATGATCCTATATCAGGAATATAAATAAATTATTTATTAACAATTTCTACTTAAAAGTTACGTAAATTTAAAGTAAGTATTACTCGATTTTCGTCCATCTGATGATCAATTCTATGGACAGATATTTGTCGATCTGATGATGTTTTAAATAATATAACACTCAACTAGTCCACATTTTACCGAACACGCTGAAACTGAACATCTGGAGAACCTAATACCATCAACTATAGACAAAATATCTTTATATCTAAGATACTTTTTAACAAAATATCATTTTTTTATTAATTATATGGTGTTTACTTAAAATCAATTTACACCTTTATTTAAACATCTTTAAGCACGACATATTATTGTCATATTGTAAATAAAGTGACATAAATAAGTCGTGATATTAAAATAAGCACTTCTACGGCGACACTTGTTGATTTTACGTAGATTTCAGGTGTTTGTAGGACACCACATGTAGACATATTATATTCCACTGATTCTTAAGCTGTCATGACAAATTAGTTACCTGTACGTAGTATAGAATTCCGTAACTAAATGTCTTTATTGAATAAATAAATAAATATCGTCGTCATTAAGTCAGTGTGAACATATATTCCCGTATCATCATAAATTAAGGACACCTACGATTCTTATTATAGAATTGCAGTGATTAATCTTCATATAATTTTAAACTATAAATTAGGCTTAGAACAAACAGAAACTTAGAAAAAAAAAAACAGTTTATATCTTCTTAATAATATACTAGTCTAGGCTGTTAGTAGTAATAGAGAAAGATTACAATATGATATATTATAATATATTCATCTAAGCTTCTATCTATCCTCTGCTGGACATAGGCCTCCCCCATACATTGCTATAAGGAATCTTCCCGAGCCACCTGCATTATCTAACTCCCTGCAGTGCATTTGAGTACGTTACTCCATCTAGTAAGGGGTCATCCTATATTGCTTTTGCCCATATGAGGTCGCCACTCAAGAACCTCGAAATCGGTTCTTCGAACTATGTAACCAGCCTATTACCACTTCAGCATGTTTATCCTTCAGGTTATATCGGTTACTTTGGTTTTTTCGCGGATATTCTCGTTTCCAATTCTATCACGCAAAGAAACTCTGAACTACACATCCATTATAATATATTAAGTTTAAGTAATTAATTTTTTATTTTGTTTGAGTACATATTGTTAATCTTTGTGTTCTGTATATTTTTTCGAAGGGAACAATAAAGTTTTCATTCAATTATATATTACTAATTTACTTTCCTGTGATGTTCTAATAAACCTAACCTTTACAAAAATGCCTGACTAGCATGATAATAGTTGGACGAGATAACCTAATATCATATAATAGGAGTGCCTAGTGGTGGAACATTAACAGATTGTTATAAAAATATAACCGATAGATATCAGTCTTAAATCCATATCTATATCAATTTAATAGGGTTATCGTTCCATTACTGTACTCTTGTCACTAATAAAAATATGAGTGTACAAATTGCTACTGCGGTTAGCAGAGATGGAAGCAATCAGACAATCATCTTGCACAGCGCGTGTCGAGTGGTATTACTGCCTACTTGACTCCTTGTATCCGGACGAATTTAGTGACACTTTAGATACAAGCAACAAATTGACTTTACGAATATCAAATATAAACAATTCCTAATCATGTTTCAAAATGAAAACCAATCAATCAAAAAAATCATCAAATGCGAATCGATTTTGCATATTGAGAATTTCGTTTCGTACGTAATATAATTAGTTTTAATAAAATTTATTAAAAACAATTGCATACTGTTCTAATCACTATTGGAAAAAAATAACTCTAGTAATAAGTGGTAATTGTAACAGTCACCTACAAACACGCATGGACATCAAAGATTACAATATGGCCGTCGTTATGGTAACCCTAAATGACATTTGTTCGGAATAAGATGTTATTCCTCAATACACAGAATTAGAACATTTTTGTTATTACATTTGCAATCGCAATTTATACATAATTTTTAAAAAGTTTTCAACTTCCAAACTATGGATATATATATCCATAGTTAATAATTATTACCCTCAATTTATAAACCAACATGCCACAATTAAAGTTACGGATACTACTAGCCCTGATTCTACAAAAGCCACTTATTAATAGTACATAAAACATTTAAATAATACACCCTTCAACACCAAAACCTTTTAAAATGTCTTTTTATCAATTATCTATTCATTTTTCGATATAAATTTTATGTAGTGTCCCTTCTAACAACAAAACAGGTTCTTTTGAGCCTACTTTATAGCCAAAAATTGACATGCAATGTACATCTACTGATATCTATATCCGTGGTTCAAATAGTCAGACGCAATACGTCTTGGTGGGTAATAAAATATAGTCGATGGAAAGGTTGTGAAGTGATTAATCAAGATTATGTGGATAGATATCCGTGTTTGCAGATTTCGCTGGATTTTGGTAGATTAAGATGATCCCATGGCTTCGTTGTGTTTACACGATTGTTTAGTAAACCTTGACGTGGGCACATGAGGGAGAGTGGCCTTAAATAGATATGGTTTTAAATTGAAATATAAGCCTACATGTAGAGACAAGTTTAAAGTCTGTTAGGCACGGGTAATATTGGTACTGCAATGATGTCTATATATTGGGTTCCTTTGCACAAAGATGGCGGAAAAAAGTTCTTTACTCATTTCAACATCAACCATACTAGTCAACTATCTATATTCATTTCAATCAGGTTCTTTATTTAGATATTATATGTAACATTTTTTTTACCACTACCATATCATACCACTGAAGTGGCAAACAAGCCGACGGCCCACCTGATGGTAAGCGGTTACTGCCTATGAACACTTGCAATACCAGAGGTATAACGCGCGCGTTACCGACCCTGAAGAAACTTCTTTACCCCCTTTTGAAGAACCCCAGCAGGGAGTTCATTCCATAATCTGAGTGTTCGTGGGAGATGTATTATACAAATAATAATAAAGAACCGGATAAATAGTAATTAATAGATCCATTATTGTGTTAATATATACGAGTACCTAGATATTGTATCTACCCTATATAGATATTGCTGTATTTTACCCACCCACTTATAAATTTCTATAGTCCTATATTAATATGTACCATACATAGAATAAAACGGTAAAGATATCGTTTCTGGACAATATTTTTTATTATTATTACTGTTACAGTTGTCGAATTTAAAATGTTTAATTCTGAAAGACTATGCACGATGTACACTATGTACTCACATCACACAAAAATTACAAGACGGATTTTGTCATATCTGATAAAATTTTATATCTGTATACAATGTTGTACACGTAGTTATTAATCGCAAACAAAAGGTTTTTAATACGAGTATATGCACCCTTGATAATGAGATGGTAATAAGATAGCTTTCCATATCTACTAACACGCCGTACCCAGCTGTCAACTAAATCTTATGGAAAAAATGTTTAGAATCTTTGATAGAATATTCCCTTGAAAGGTAGGTCATAAAATTTTATTAGATAGATTGATGACGATATAGATATTAAATTCTACAATGTTTAGTTTTGTACTCAGTGTTATTCAAATAAATTGCTAAAGTTTTATTATAGACTAGCTTTTACCCGCGCTTTCGTCCGGCATGACCGGGATATATTCATTGATTAGGATAAAAAGTAGCATATATCTTTCTCCAACCCATGTAGTACGTGTATACTAAATGCCATAGTGTTTGGTTAAGCCATCAAGTCTATATGAGGTAACAAACAAACAAACTCAAAGTGAGTTACACATTTACGATATTATTAGGGGTATTTGCTATTTTAACTCCATTATTTAAATTTATAATTTTACCTAAATGCATCATTCCTACATTCATAAATTATACTTTCATAATTAGGTATCACTTCTACTGCTTTGATAAATAAATACTAGGTAACAGATATTAGATCACAATGTCAAAACCGGCTTTGAAAAAATCGTCTCACTTACATTGATTTGATTTTAATTTCTTTAAATTTAGTTTATATTTTTTGGTACCAACTTTTTGGTAACAAACAAAACTGCTCCTTATTATTTCTAATTAAGGTTTAAACTACATTGAAATTATTACATATATTGAGCCAATTTTCTTTTAAACAGTATAGTCAAGATTAATATGAATTTGCTTTCAAGTTAGTAAGATGTTATCTAATTCAGTATAAAGTCAAGAAATGTTTTCCCTCATTACAAGTATTAGATGTTACATTATTTACAATTATTATAAAATTTCATCATCATTATTATTATCATTTTGATCATTCCTTATCTAGTGTTTAACATTAAAATTGATACTCTCTTAATTGTATTTTAAGACATCTGTCAATATATTAGATATGATTAACAGATTAAATTATTATAACAATAATTTAATTATAGCTTATTTTGTAAAGAATTTGCTATATAGATTGCAATTGTATTTAGGAAAACTATCATTAAATTATATATCACAGAAAAAAGTTAGATCTGATAAAGGATCTAGAAGATTATAACGATCATTTGTTTCCGTTAGTGTAACTATATGTAGATAATAAAGTATACAGAGATATTAAACACACTATTGTTTCGCATTAAATGACCAAACATACCTTGTCACTCAGTTGATTAATTTACACAAAAGTAGGGCGAACTTGGTCAACAACGATAGTCTCTGTTATCGACACACTATTTGCGTCTACGCCGCATTTCACATGACACTTTTTGCAAATTTTCACTATTTATTATCACCTCATACAGCACAATAAAAAATATTCGGAAATAAAATATTTAATTATTAATAGCACAACATATATATTTAATCGCAATTAAATTAGTTAAGCAGTCGTATTTGTAGCCTACTTTGACATGTATGTGCGAATGTTTTTAGAAAACTATATCGATAAGTTTATCTTCACTGATTAGATATTGGTTCCTTCAAGGATTGTAATTTGTTATTTACCTACCAGCAATATAGTATATAGGCTTACAAACGTGCATTGTTTATTTTAATTTTACTATTCATATTAAAACTTTTGCAGCATATGTCTACTTCAAATTCACAGTTATTCTACTTCATCCATCGACAAATAACATCATGAACATATATATATATATATATATATATATATATATATATATATATATATATATATATATATATATATATATATATATATATATATATATATATATAATTGTGTTTACGAGATATATCACGGTACAGAGGCATAACACCTTAATCCTCAGGAATGGCAACGCACGGGGAGTATCATAGACAAAACAGTATACTATGTTATGTCCATGATACTGTTCATGTCTATAGGCAACGGTTACCACTTTCCATCTGATGGGCCGTCAGCTTGTTTGCCATTCTAAGTTGCCTAACATATAGATATATTTTACAAATTGTTAATCTAAACATAAACCTCAAATAGAAAAGAAACATTTAAATGACGTGAGGACATATTAGCAAATTAAAAAGTTAGATAAAAGCATAATACGACGTAATAAGACGTAATAGCAACTCTATTCTATATATTTCTTAGCCAAATTCGATACATTTAACAGTCAATCAATGTCATACCATCAAAATACATGTAGCAAATAAATCATTGTATTCGTATAAGTTTCTAATATATCATATTGAGTCAATACTTAGTGTTATAGGATGAGTTTCAACCCCTTTATTAGTAATAAACTGGTATTATAATTGCAAACACATACCTGCAAAGAGTTTCCTGACGGTATACCGTGCTTTGGCCAATTGAGCTGCTGTACGTTGGTATTCTGTGTAAACTGCTTGAAGGCTGAATCTGTGGTCTTAAAAAGTTACTACCTCCGTACCCAAGCATTGGTGATTCGACAACAGAGCTCTCAAACACGCTAGTCTCATCAGTTTCTTCTTCAGTGACACCTGGTTTATAGAAAATTTTCCCAGCGGCAAGGGTTGGCTTCTTCCCATTTTTTTGTTCATCCTCTTTCACTTGCATTTCATATGATGGTTCAGCCATTTTGTCGCTAATTGTCACAAGAATTTTCTTAATATTAACGTCATTTCAGCTGTTGTATTCGTGGAGAGACGCATCAGAAAGATTCTTACGGTGATGTCTATTTATGAATTGAGCAGTATCTGAAAGAGGAGATATGTTTTTTAGTCTTTTTCTGCTACATTGTATTTCTACATATCTGCATAAACTGATTTTGTCCTGGGGTCTCTAAGAACAAGTTTAATTAAGATTTCTTCTTAGAAACTTCCTTTGGATACAAAATCGTCATAATTAATATAGGTATATTAAGTAATTTCATAATAAATCAATCATCTAAACTTATATCTTAAAGTCTGTACCAAAAAATCTGGTTGAAGTAATTTAAAGCCTGCTTACTTATCGACTTATTATTTAAATCAGCATTGAGATACTTAGTTGATTTAAGAATTATTTTCTCGCACACGCACTCGCACTTTTATATACGAATTTATTTAATTAATATTTTTTCATTATGTGATTACCTTATTTAAGTAAGTAATTCACAGTAACAATTTAATTAGTCTGTAGTATAATTGACAAAAATATTTGGCTTATTTTTACTGCCATTCCCTTTTGAAAAACAATATGGCTTTGTAAATTTTAATATAATAAATAACTAACCCTATCCCGCGGCTTTACTTTCGAACTCTTTTATCCGTGAATCACCATAAAATCTTGCTTTAATTTAGTACATGGTGCACTCATGTTTTATTTTATACATTACCGTTCAGGCGTTTGTGTGATAAATATCCAAATATACCTACTTTTAAATTCGTAATAATAATACGATAATAAATACTGTTTAAGTACAAATTTTTCTATTTAAATGATTTTCTTATTATAAAAAAACTTACCGGAAGAAAAAAACGCATTTGATGTTAAACGATAATTGTAAATAATAATGATAATGATAATTATAAATAAGCAACGCCATCTATGAATGATTATTAAAACCAAAAAGCAGTCGAATGTAAATACGAAATATCGAATTTTTTACATTATATTTCCAATAAAATTTAGGAATATTTGTACCTAACAAAATATACAGATATGTTATTGAATCTGTAGGGTAATAGACGTAAAACATAATGCGATATAATAGTTGCGACATCTGGTGTCCAATGGATACATTAATCTATTATTATCTTTGAAGTTTCAGATTCTATATTTTTATTCCAGAAGTTTTATATAAATTTGTCGAAAACTATGACACTGGGTCACTCTCACTCGGCTCGTGTCAGTTATGTCACGTCCTTGCTCTCATTAGGATGTGGTCTATCTCAATACTTCATGCTGTTAACGCCCGACGTTTGTCGGATGTCTTCATATCCTCCCACGGGATTATCTGTATTGCGGAAAACCTCATAAAATAATCCAATTCCGCGATCATATCATTTTATGTGTCGTCCTTCCTTCACAATTAGGTAGCGCAGTCCACTTAGATCTCTAAACAAAGTAAGGAGTTGCAATTGCGCTAGTCTTCCTTAACATATGCAGAAGCCATGCACAGAGATTTGCATGATTATATTGTCAATTATTATAATAAATAAATTCCATTAATAATTTAAACATTTATTTACGATTAAATAGCAATTTATGTACATTGTATGAATATTTATTGGGATATAATTTTAAAATTTTATTTTAACTTTGGTGTTTTAGTAGGACACTTAGTTTGTACCACTATTTGTGATCTAGACAATTACAACTTTACACACAGAATATACGAGTCCTATAATATTGTCCAAATTATTACTGCGAATTGTACCTACTTTTATTTATATTATCGTCAATTATTTAAAACTTGGGATTTGTACTACATTTTCTTGAGATATCGTACGTCATGCATATGAATTTATGTTGATAAACGTGCAAAATTAGATATGCAAAGAAAACAATAAGGTTTTGACAAATTGTAACTAGCAACAAATATAATATAGTTCTATCTACTATTTATAAATTAGTGTATATTTTTTTTCAGAATGTGTTTATTTCTATTTTGCGAAACTCATATACCTGGCACCTGTATACTTGACCATTTGCGAAGGCCGATCTCAATTACTAACTGTCCAGTAATTAATCAGTTTCTAGCTACTGGCCTACTCAATGTAAAGGGCGATATACATTTAACAGTGTGATTGGACTTAAATTTTCTTTCTTATCTTAAAATAAATTTTCGTAATTAGTCTAGTTATAAATGCATTATTATTTATTAATTATATTTCATGTAATAAATATTTTGAAATACAAAAGTTAGACTCTGCGTCTAGACACTATTGTGATGTGCGTTACAATAAATTTTGTAATGTTTAGTTCATTCATGTTTATAGACAACGGGCATTATTTAGCATGAAATAGCTTCTAAGCTTAGGTCCAAATAAGCTTATATTTGTTATTCTTAGATTATTAAACAACAGAACCCTATTGTTCAAAATCAAACTATAAGAATTTAAGAACATTTAAAAAATAAAAATTTAATATAAAATATGGTGTTGCCAAAAAAAACGATATACCAATTCTTATAAGTTTTACACGAGCGTTCTTATTCATAAAAACGTCAAACGTCTCATAAACCTATTTTAGCTATTGAAATGTTTTGTCTTTTTGTTTTCGCTAATTTCTCAATTTTATAAACGGTGACAAAACACTAATTGTTAATATAGATTCGTAGAACGTATTAGTTTTCATGAATAAAGGGGTAATATTATATAGAGGATAGATTTGGTCATTTATTTATTCGTAATGGATAAACTTAAAAACTACTAAACCAACTTTAAAAATTCTTTCACCTATAAAAAGCTACGTTATCAGCGAATAACATAAGGCCACATTATTATGTTCGAAAATTCTATCTGCCTGTGCGAAGACGAGCCGAATCGCCAGTATTTTATATTAACAAAACTAATGAAAAAATGTTTAATAAAAAAAAATAAGTATCTTACTTTTTTAAAATGAAAGTTATTATTATTTCTTAGTGTATTATGTGCTTAATACATGATCACATGCAACATAATCGCTTAGAATATTATTCTATGCAATTTATGTTATATTTATGATCGTAGTGACATTCATACCGCAGTACTTACCTGTTACTTCAAGGTGTCAATGTGAAAAGAATTATACTTAAGGTTATGCACCTGGGGTTAGTAGAATCATTTTTACTGATATTATAAATGTAGAAGTAATAGATAGATAGATAGATACTCTTTATTGTTTCCTACAAAGATTACAGTAGTAAACTTATTATAGATAGATACAAACAATTACTTAAATAAAGTCAGTTCTTTTGTTACTCAATGCTTTAACAATTCAACTAATCGTGATGAAATTTGGTATATATAGTTGAGATGGAGAAGACTACTAATTATTTAAGTTAATCAACATATCTCAATCCAATAAATGAAGTCGCAGGTACTTTAATATAATTATTTGTAAATCCTTACTAACATTTTAAATTAGAAAGTATGACCTTATTATCGTTGGTGCATTAATGGCTCAAATGATCATCACGACATATATAATTCATTTGGTATTTATAGTATAGAGAAGCACATAAGCTGCTTTTAATTCAGTCACGCGAATGAAGTCGGAACACAGTTAAAATTTATTATTTAACACATACGTACATCTATAATATTTTTATATAATAAATTGCAGATATTTCTAATATAATATTTCCGAATAATTCTTATTCGGTTATCTCTGACAGGTGAGTTTTAAAAATAAAATTACTGTTACTATTATTATAAAGCGATATGAATTTAGTTAGTACCGTTTTTTTTTTTTTAATATAGAAGTTTAATTATTAATTCACAAGAAGTGATAGGTGAGCTTTAAATACACATGCCTTCATCTAAAAAAACATTAGAAATATACAACTCAATTTTAATGGCTTCATCTCAATACTTATTATTTTTATAATAACTATAGATACATATAGGTAGAATACAGTTCAGTTATAAAGACAGAAAAACTGACCAATATTTAAGTACTTATCCTTTTTAGAGGAGTTAAACTGTTTTGTTAAACAGGTGTTCTTAATTGGCAAATTTTTGTCTGTAATTGGTTTTGATGATCTTTTTTTGCAATCGACAAGACACACTTTCACATTGATTCGACATTATTTTTGTCATTGTTAAAGTCGCTGTTTTCTTGCAGACCAAAAAAACATTTTGTGTCCGAAATTTTAGTGGATGATTTACGTTTACGCTTCTAATATATATAATTTACAAAGAGTTAAATTAATTATTTCCAACGAAGAAATAAGGTATTTCTTATCAATATGTGAATATAAAAATTATTCAATATAAGCAGACCACCCCAGATAGACAGATAAATAAGTATTTTATATTATGTTTTAATAGACAAATTTTAAATCTTTGATTCATATTATTGTAATTTTAAATCACAATTTTATTTCAAAATAATATATAGCCTATTTGCTGATAATGTAGCTTCCTGTAGGTGAAAGAATTTTTAAAATCGGTTGAGTAGTTTTTGAATTTATTCATTACAAACAAACATATAAACAAATCAAATCTTTTCTCTTTATAATATTAATATAGGCAAATGTTTGGATTCTAGTATGGACTAATAAAGCTACATAATTCAAATCACCAGATAATAATGGCATTGTCATATTGTATTTAATTACTATCATTACGGCATACTTGGCATAAACATCACGCATTTACAACAGAAAACAATGACTATACAGGTGAAAGTTGTAATATTATTATAATATTGCCAAAAAAATTCATCAACTTTTTAAATAATTGTGTGTTGTCATACTTATATTATTTATCTTTATTATTTTTTATCTTTATATATCTTGACGTCAGGCAGGTGGCCGGTCGTAAAACTAAAAAACCAAATCTTTTTGTAATTTTGTAATATGTATATTTACGCCGACCCCAAATGATTGGGATAAGGATAGAAAGATGATGATGATGATTTTTTATCTTTATATATACCTATGTTCAACATGTAAACGTTAAAAGATGGGATGGAAATCAAGAATTCAAACTCACTTGTATGACATGTTTTGTCACTTACGAGTATATATGTTAATTTTATTTAACACTATCGTTATACAGTATTTTAATAATTCGGTTGTCTTTACGTTCATCTTATTCGTGAGACTGCTAAAAGCTACATTACTCATCTTCACCTATCGTCCTTCAGTGGTGCCTTGCCAACATATATCGTTAGCACAGGTGGGATTAGCATTTAAATTTATAATATATAATTTATCATGTATTTTAAAAAAGATAATAAAATCTGGTAATTTTCAAAGTTGGATTTTTATTGCTGTTAGAACTATCTCTTGCCCGTAATAATGTCCCTCAATCAATCAATATGATAAGCTCTGTATGTATAAGTTTCAACAAAAATATAAAAGCACAATGTATTGTTTTATTTAAAAACTTAAAATAAGTACAAAAAATGTAGGCATATTCTGTTCTTGAATATGTATTTAGTATACGCCACAGACTTGACTATAGTGTAATTGAAGCTCAAGAAATGGTTTTATTTCCAATTTGCATAGTTATTAGTGTACCTATACAAATATCATTATATGAGCTATTAAATATTTATGGGTATACTTTACTACCATTTCAATATTAGTGATTGAGTATGTATCAAAAAAGTATATGCTTGAAGACATATCATTAACTGAGTTCATTCGTACAATATATGCTACCAAGTTATACATACTACTTAGATACTTTTAGGATTGTTATTTGTAGCAATTGATTAGCAACTTTTATTAAAAGTTTTTTGTTATGGCAAGTCATATAATTTGTTTTTTTACAGTGTAATTATCTATTAATTCTCATTGTATTTCTTCGCGTTCTCTAATTCATGTTATTCCATCCTATTTTGAAAATGATTAAGATTATCATATTTTAATTTTTTCTGCATGAAATATCGAATAGATTATAATAATCAACATCTTCTATGATTCCGTGATATTCTAAGATATTTCATGAAATCTCTTATATTTTTCATTTCTCTGCGACATATTCACCAAGCCGGTCTGCCCACAATATGAGTCAACACGAAATTGGATGTCATGTGGGTACAACTCGCGACTTGCCTGACACTTCACCTATATATTTGTAGGGCTGACAACAAAACTATTGACAGGTATTATTTAATTACATTTTTAAAAGTCTATTATTTATATAATTAAAAAAAATAGAATGGTACCTCAACTTACGCTATTGATTTATGATGGCGAAGTACCAATGAGAGATGACAGGTAAAGATGAAGTCAATTGAACCATTGTAATGAATTTACCGCGTGGAGGTGGACTTTATAGATAATATTTTTAGAATTACCAATTACTTAATAATCCTCTTCTTCTTTTATATTTGTTAGCCATGCTCCCAGGTTCAATTCTCGGTCAGGTCAATTTAGAAAATACGCATCTTTGTATTTTGAGTTACTTTTGTTGAAGATTGAAGAGCATCAGGATTTGATTGTCTAACAACTATTATTATTAAGAAATATTTTATGTAACTAGTAACAGTTAATAGAAAAAAACAAATAATTACTTGGTTTTGTAATATTTACAATATAGAAAACCATGATGGAATAATAATGCAGAGCAAATACCTGCCTGCTGTAATTGAAATTTTACGAATTTTTTTTTTTTTTTAAATAATGGAATTATTTAAAAAAAGTAGATATCAAAATAATATATAACGGAGAACTGTGAAATTTATTTACTTATTATTCTATCAATGCTCAACCTAAATTAAATTTCATATAAAGGTCGGAACATACGTAATATGTGTTTTAACTATTCAATTGCAAAGTTAAGCTCTAAATATATCATAAAAAGGATAATTTCTTTTCTGACAACCCTAATTATCTCTGTCATAGATACGATGACTATGATCTGCGACGTTTTAATTTGCTTAAGTAATTGTATAATTTAATTATTTCAATTATAATTACAACTTTGACTGCAAATATTAGCATTTTAACACTACCTATTCCTGAAACTTTTATCAAAATCGTTTATTTTCAAGATTAATTACTCTTGACTTAACTCTCTAAAGTCCAAAACTCTACTTAGAGTGTAACGATCAACTTTGCAAGAATCACTGTTTATTTTATATCTTCTTTAGGTGTGATAATCAATGAGCTAATTGGTCCATTTGATTGTTACCTATAAACATTAATGATACCATGAACTTCAAAGAAACTGTGCTTTTCATTAGATGATAAAGATTAGGTGATAAAAGTTGTAACAACGGACGACTAGTGTTTCTTATAAATGTTAGGAAGAATTAAAATATTCTTATGACAGAAATTTTGCTAGATAAACCTTTAAACAGAAATATAATAATATCTATGTATTTTAATGTGTTTATTTAATAAATTATTGTTTGTGAATAAGTAAAATTACAACAATAAAGAGAGAAAGAGTGAGTAAGAGATAGAGACACTATTAAGTATATAAAATTTCCAAATTTTGTAAATTTTTTTTATATGTTTACACTAATATTACACTTCCCCTTTTATAGTCTAGCATTTACGTAGATAACTGTTTTACCAATTATTTGTATATACATAAATGAAAGTAATAATTATGTGACAAAGTAAGTAACATAGCACAAATGTTGGCAACGCTTGTTTGACTAAAGAAGCAAATAAACTCTTCACCTTGAACATACCTATCGAATATCTTGGAGGTTTTGTAGGTATAAAGATGAATATTACAATTTAATGCGTGAGTACAATATAATCAGCTGGTCATGACGAGTTATAGACATATTGTGTGTAGCATTGTATATTTACAATTCAAATGAAAACGTGTCGAGTGCGAGTTCGACTGGCTTTCAAGTAGAACATAAGGCGTTATAATATAATTGTTCCAATTTTATATGTAATATTAAGATATTAGATACCATGTATATTGTATTACAAAGCATGTAGTATTATTATGAACAAATAACAATAGTGTTGTAATAAGATAGTGTAAAATTGACGCGGCAAATTTAATTGAAGTTTTTGTTTCTCGAGTGGAATGTCAACGCAAATTTATTAGTAAAAAGATTACCTTTATAATTGAAATACTTACCACGGTCAACGGCGTACATGTGCATTGTTTTCAATGAACTCTCTGATACTCATCTCACATCAAACGAACAGAGTACCTACTACACTTTTGTGCTCACAATTTTAATTTATAACAGTATTATTACAATGATATATGTAATGGTTTATGTTTTGGATGTTTCGCGTATTATTTTAGGGTAGGTAGATACCTTTGGCATGTGTGGTTCGTTTGCCAGGATAACGTGGACTGGTCGTCAACTCGTCAGCGTCAGCCGAGCCACTCTTGCGCCTCGTCGCTAGCTACCTATTCCAATTGTGAACCACGATTATTTGTTAACTAGCCACGCGTTCGGAAACAATTGTCTGTTTGCTTTGAGCTGCTGCAGATAAGATTTTTGCATCCTGCCTCATGTTTATTTATTGGTTAAGGTGTGCAGGTTTTAATAGAACATAACTTATAATATACAGAAAGAATTTTGTTTATCATAAAAATAAATTCACCTCTTACTTAATACGAAAGGAAATCGGCACGTAAACAGAAGAAAAAGTGCTTGGAAAAATTTCAGCTTCAACCCATAGTAGTCGAAGTTACGATGCATTCTTTTAAAATAATATAGGTGTGCTTATCTACTATTCTTACTATTCTTATCTATTATTATCGATTATGCGAAAGACGATGCTGAAATAACGTTGAATAGATAAGTATGTAGGTTATTTTGTTTGAAAATGGGATAGACAGCAATCCTACCGCGCCATCGATATGTACTGGCATGGCATCCTAGTGAGAGATGATAAACGAACATGCGGTATCTTTACCTAAATTGTATGTCAAAGGTTACTAAGAGTTCGCCATCTAATGTATAGGCGTAAATATTAGCTAGATACCCAGTATTGTTTTTTGTTTATATTGGAACATTAATTATAAAAGGCAGGTATGTAGATTAGTCTGTGAGAATTTTCTGTGAATGTGCACTTAAAATAATGATTACTTCTAATAAATTAATTATACACATATCTTCCTGCCTATTGGTTAATATTTTATATACAAAAACTCGTGTCACGGTGTTTGTGGTCGAACTCCTCCGAAACGGCTCGACTGATTTTAATTATTTTTTTATTTATGCTTGGTAGGTATGAGAATAGCTCGTCAAGTATATTTCATACCGCCAAGTGATTAGTTTGTCCCTATTTAGAAAAATTTATTTACATGGCAGAACAACTATTACCGCGTCAGCTAGTCTAGCATAAAAACATAGGAAGGTAAGTATTTACACAAAGCTACAAATTTATAGAGCTCATTATCATAACCATTATCAAGATGATGACAATAACAGACTATGTAGACAGATGTAGTTGCAACTATATTGCACTACGTTCTTGTATCTTGTATATGTATATGTGTATTACCTTTATGGTAAACTTACGAAACTGAAAAAAATACATTTTACAGGGGAACGTTTTTAAGTATTAGAATGAAAATAACTTTTGCCAGAAGACTACTGTAAAAGATCATGCTAACATTTTAGTTTTAAAATCCTGTTTTTTATTGAATGCGCTTAATTAATTATTATTATATTACAAGTATCAGAAATAAATGCATTTTCGTTACTTTGCACCTTCATACATGAGAGTTCCTAGGTATTGAGTTATACAACAGCAAATCTACGAAAGTGGCAGTTTCATAAGTTGCCAAAGAAAATAATTTATTTTAATATCTAGCAAACTAACGAAAATGCCACTTTCGTAAATATACCAAGGCATAAATCACGTGTTTTGGAGAAAACTTCAGTTTAAATAACAACGTTATAGCAATAATGCATGTAAAATAACTAAATTAGGATTGAAAAATTGATAAAATAAACATTGAAATTTTCAAATTAAAGTGTTTATTATAGAAAATACTATAAAAATATGCTAAGTAACTTTACTTTGGGTACATCACAAAAATAAGATTCGAGCTACTCGATTTCTTTAACTGTTAGAGATAGAAATTTGAAAATTAGCTACTATAAGTACTCGTAATATGACGCAAAATGAGGATTTTTAAAGAAATGTCAAATTTGAAAAAACAGATTCGTAAATTTGCCATAGAGGTGACGATATAGTGTATATAGTCCAATTCATTTTTAACATAACATACCACCTATATGTCAATAATGAAAAAATTTACAAATTCGTCATCCATCCGCCTCTGCACCGCGTTACACCAGAGGCAGTTGCCGCTGTCATTGTTCGAAGGCACTTTCAAGTCTCATTTGTCGTCCTACTGTATGTCAATCAATTGTACCTATAGCAACCATTGAATGCTGATCTAACTTTCCATTTTATATTCATAAGAAATCGTTGTACAGCACAGATCGAGTTATGTTGGTCAAACGGTTCTATCATAAATCAAATTAGGTAAAAAATTTCAAACATTTGTTTTGGTGGCCATTAAGACCGCTTTTAGTTTTGTAAGTAACCTACTGTTGTAATTGCTCGACCTCATTATATTTTTACGTTTTGTTGCATATACGTACATATACGAGTATTGCTCTTCCATTCTTCTCTATCCGCAATCTTTTCCGTATTCACTTCCATTCTGGCATATAATGTTTCACACAGTCCATTCATGTCTTTTTAGATCTTCCTTTGCTCTTGTAGCCATCTTTTCCTTTCCTGTCTATCATCCCATCCTTTGCCCTTTATATTCATACATGCTACCTTCCTTAAAGCGTCTATTATATTATCTGTTATATCTAACTGTAATTTAAATAATAACATTGTGTACTTACCTAAAAAAGAATAAAAGATCAAGCGCTCTGATGGCTTTGTATTTTTTTTGTTTTATAATTTATTGTACATCTACCTATATTTCAAAAAACCAACAAACGATAGGAAAGTAATATTTTAAAAGACTAGGTATATGTAGGCCTATGCACCAGTACTCAACATGTGATTAGAATGATAATAAGTATAGTTTTTACAAAATTTGCTAACACCTAATATAACTTGCATAATATTGTTCGAAATATGAATTTAATAAAATATGATTCGATCCCGTCGTTTCGGCATTATTTTCAATTTCTACTACTATTACTATGATATAAGTATAATAGTATTTCATTTAAATCACAGTACATGTAATACTCCTGCATAGCTCTTAAGTACCTGTAATGCGAATTGGCGAACAAAGAAAACAGGATGTTGTAGTTGAAGCAAGATTCATATTAACCTTTTGTGTGGCCATCACGACGAAGACGAGGACAGAAGGAGTAAAGACGACAATAAATAATATAAGAGCTAATAATAAATTTTACGTATAAATATAATATAAACAGCAGCATCTACAAAAATAGTTAAAAATATTTAATCAATGTAAATTACCTGGAGAAAGTCAAAGCAGACACGACAACCTAAAATAAGCTTTGCGAAGACTGATAAGATCTTTAAATTTAAATATTCATTTATATAATGTATTTTTATTACTCTTACTTTTACAGTCTCAGAAAACCTATTATGTTGTAATTTCTTCCTTCAGAACAATATTCCAATGCAATCAACTATAAAGCACTTAAACAATAAATTATTTAAATATAGATAGATAGATAGATATTTTTTATTGTTTCCTCCAAAAGATTACAATAGTAAACTTATTATAAATATAAATAATAATAAGAAACATGTTATGCTGTAAACATAAGTAGAGAGAAAACTGTTCGTCCGAAAATGTGAAATTAATATTATTTTATTATGTAAACACCTACAGGTCTACATGAAAGTTAAAAACTAACATTGATACAGGTATTGCATATCATTTCCCTGAAAACTTATTACTTACCCTGATGTTGTAAATACCATCATGCTACAGTAACGGCTTATTTTAAGGTGGTGTAAAAGCTATAAAAAGAGATTTACTATTGTAAAATATTACGATACTGTTGCCAAATCTATTTTTTTTGCAGGTTTAACTAAATATTTGTAAAATTAATATGTATTACGTAATTACACAGTGAGTACTTGATCTTTATTTATCTAAACAATGACGTAAGTCACAAGACTATTAAATAATATTTTCCTGCGTTTTATTCCTAGATTATAAAGATAGAGTGTCTCCATAAAAATGCTTCGAGAAAAGCGGATCAACTTTTGCATACAATTTTGCATTTTATAAAGTTATGAATCATTATTTATAATTTCTTTATTAATTTTATCTTATAATTTCTGCATGTTTTTAATGTTCCTAATTACTCATTTTATTTATTCAATAATTAAATATAGATACGTCAAGATACATTGTGTGCATAAGTATATAGAACACTGATTAAAAAAAAAGAGTGAGCTATTTTGAGAATTGCCTGACAAAAAATTTACCTGTTTTTGGAGCTCAAGGCTCCATCTATATAATCTAAGTTTTTATTATACGTTAAATCCCAGATTATAACAGAACGTACCGAATCGTACTGATCTCTGTATCCTTCTAACGGGTCGGTGCACGTGACAGATGGTCTGTCAGCGGCGTGGCGCGTTCAAGAGCATAGCGATTATCGAATTACGCTCCCCGCGAAGAGGTAATGTTGCTCTTTCATTTGTCATGGCCGATGCTCTTTCCGATGGCTCGGCTCCCTCGACCTCAGGTGCATCCAGGAATATCCACTCATGATTCATGCGCTACGCTGATTTAAAATAGGAAGATGATCGGTTACAAATGTTAAGTTCTTATTTTAAATATTTATTGTTTCCTCCAAAAATTTACAGTATTAAACTTATTATAAATATATACAAACAATTTCATGAAATGTTCACACTGAAAAAACAATGGGCGGCCTTATTGCTAAAAGAGATCTCTTCCAGACAACCTTTGGATAGAGAAGGGTAGTTATAAGCAGTTTGATCAGAAGTGCAATAAAAATTCTGTTATAAATACATATAGAAATGAAATATATGCACTAATATAAATATATATTCCCACTTTCTTTTAAATACGTATAGACATATCTACTTAAATACATACTTAAATATAGATAAGTCTGTTAGCCCATTGTGATGAATTCACCAGGAATTCAGCACGATGGTTTCCAGGAGGACCACATGGAGGTCGACCCGATAGAGTATATTGCTAGCAATGGGACTGGTAGTTCGTATTACTAACAATAAATCATAGATATTATGTTACGACAAATAGAGGTCAGAATAAATATGTATGAACCCCTAAAAACCACACCAAGTCGATTCAATATTTTTGAGTCTAAGAATAATTTAATAAAAAAAAATTTTGAATGAAATTTGTTTTCACATAAATGATAAATATACCTAATTTTTATCTTAAGTTTAAATGTATTCTTTTAGCGCTTCAACGGGTCAACCAATCGTCACAAAATTTGGGATATTAGCTAGAAAATGACATAAGCTACTCATTCTATTATATACACTAATCAACCGGATGAAGTCGCGGAAAAAAACTAGTACAGAATAAATTAAATTATCTATGGAATTCCATTATTAACATGTTAAAATCTTTTGGCGTATTATTTAATTGTGAACCAAAAAGAGCTGTATTATGTTTTATACCAAAAAAATTACCCAATAAAATGGCGAAAAAGATTAAATAATAATAAAATCTGTGATAAAATTATAACTATTAGTTTATTATATTCGATCGCTTGTACAACGAACTATGTTATAGGGAATTGTTTGTTGTCCTCACGGCTTGGAGCAAAAGCGGAAGGGATTGTTAGTAATGCTACCTATCAATTCCTTTGATATCAATATACCTTATCAGGTCGAAATCCCCGTGTTCCTTCTGAAAACCATTGTGCTAAATTCCAGGTGTATACACCTGGAATACTAACCTGACCTACGTTCTCATCAGGTGAACAGTATGCCTGTTTACAATTGCAGAAGTCAAATTCAGAGCCTTCATCCTTTTTTAAATGTATTAAATAATAAAACTATTGTGTCGGCAAATATACGCCATCTAGCGATGAGTAGAATAATCAATATATATTTCCATACAAGCACAAAATGGCTGTACCTCTATATATATGCTTAATAGACATAACTATAAAATATAAACTACTACTAAAATTATGATAAAATACTGTATTAATTTCCAATGACAATTTAATTATAAATACTATTTGGCAATAAATATGTCACGCCCTCTACTAAACCAGTAATACATATTTGTAAGTAATAGCCACTGTATATACTAGGTGGCATCTCTGTATTTAACTTAGTTTATATTAAGTGAGTGAATGAAAATTGAATAGTAATGAAAAGATCTTTGCTGAAATTAACACAAAAACAATGGGTGTAAATGAAATGGTAACCCTGCCTATGCTTTCGGTGTACGCTAGCGGAGCATCAGTAAGAGATGATAGGTGAAGATGGTTGCAAGTCAGTTGGCCCGCCATCACGAATTCGACAAGAATTAACCACGGTGGTTTCCAGGGGGGAATCGCGTGGAGGTCAAATTGGTAAGATATATTGCTAGCAATGGGTCTATTAGACCGCATTACTAAGAACCCTTTTTCCCCCGGTCGGGTCAATAATACGCTTGTCTACGTTTTCATTGAGTTCCAATGAAACAGACTGATTTACTGTTACAGTAGGTATTTATAACTCGTATCAATATACTGTAATGCACATTGAAAATTTTTGCAGGGACAAATTTAAACATTCGCTTTTTTCATGCCCAATCTGTTCAGTGCACAATTTTTTCGATGTATTGTGCTGCAGGACATTAAAAAAAAAACTTAAATAACGACTGCAATAATTTTAATTTTTACGAGGTTTAATCTACATAACAAGAATTTACTAAGAATAAAATACATTTTACACATAATATAACAATTATTACTATATGATTAAATAAGTTAATTAATGAATAAATAAATGAAAACGATTCAAGTTAGAAACACTTATAACTAAAAAAAAAAAATGCATTACCTATAATTTTTATTAAAATAATCTACAAACTTTATTTTACTAAAGCCAAATGGGCATTATATATTATTAAGGACGGTATATACTGCGTTCTCATTTTATTATCTATAAGTAGTCCATTATTACTGTCCAAGTAATCCTACTACTTAAAATAGTTCTATGCTGAAACTAGTGATGAAGAAATAAGAAGACGCTATCCGCCATTCATAAGCTTCGTTGATATTTTTGGTTTAATAAGTAATTTAATTAAAACTCTTAGTTCCATTAAGTCTCGATACATACACTGCATTGCTGTATATTGTATTTGAAGTGTAGATACCAGTATTTTTAAAGAAGACAATTGTATGTTGTAATTCTTCATATTAAAATCCAGTTTCATGAGCATTTTGTTCAATTTTTCCATTTCTTCCTTAAGACATTTATTTCCTTCCAATAAATGTGACATTTCATTCCATTATTTTCTGCTATTCAAAATAACTTGATAGTTGATTTTAATCTACTTTATAAAATATTAATATCTATAAAAATTATTAACACTTCGTAATAAATATTTTTTTTTAACTAAATTTCACCAAGCGCTTATAGGCGTTAACAATCACCAGTATCAAAATATTAACGAAAATCGATTGTGTACAAGTATTATCACACTCGCTACAACTTTGTAAGGAAAATTAAATCGCTTTTTACTTCTTGTTTAAAATTAATGAGTCACTCGTGTAGGGGCATGCATGATAAGAAATTTAATATAGATAACACGCTACTTGATAATACAAAATCCTAATCACTTCCCGGCAATATATCAAAATCAAGGTCTTAAAACAATAACATTTGAAATTTGTTTTTACATTTTGGTAAGGTACTTCGTAATTTTTGGCAACCGACTTCAATACAGTACAGTACTTTCTCAGGTACAATACCTCACCTCATCCCCTTTATGTTAAACAGGGTTAAACATAAGCTTTATATAGGTACACATGCATAACAATCACAGACATTATTATATGTCTGTTATAATAATATACGTATATATTCTTATAATCTTGGGGTTAAATTAACAGCAAGTTAAATAAGTAAAAATTTTTTCGTAGCCTACCGTTACCTACCGGGTCCATTTTTTTATTGGAATAAAACTATTCTATGTTTCAAGTTGGAGCAACATTTTAGGAGATTACTGTGATTCAAAAAACCAAATCATCCTCAAATAAACATCATCAGTGAGTCCTCAGGAAAGGTACAGAAAGCGGTGCTCTTAGATATTGCCCGCATAGTACATTGGTTTCTCTCCCTGGGGCCTGAACCCCGGCCGGCTGTGCTTCTGTCGGGGGTTTGTTTGTCACCTCCTCTCCTTAAGAGGGAGTAAAATCTAAATAATAATAATTATCATTTTATTTGCCAATAAATAAAAATTAATTCCTTTTATGTCAAGTATATACCCATAGTTAACATTCAATTCATTAATATAATTTAAAGTAATTATAATTTAGACATTAGTCATTTAAAATTTTTGGCTCTCGTAAACTGGTTTCTAAATACTTGATCACAGACTGATTCCTTATAACAACGAACAAATGCATTTTTTTTATTACCTAAAAGAGAGTTGCAAATAACCGTTAGTGCTGCCTCTATAGAGCAATTTAGAAACTAAAATAACAAATTAATTTTGTTTTTTGTCACCTCTTTACAAATAAATGATACTATTTAGTGGAACAATGCACATTTAACCATTATTCTTTTTAGTGTAACAAGTGTTTGCAAAATGTTCACGCCATAGAAGTAATATAATGTACTCACATGTTTGTGCAGTAAGCCGATACTGAGGCGCCATTTTTGTAAACTTATCATGTGAGGAACAATATGAACTAAATTTATACAAGACTTATGTAAAATTTTTATAAATTCAGATAGCCCATAAAACAATAAATTAACGAAGTTATGAAATTAAAATATTAGGTTAAAAGATTAATTTAGAGAATGGCTCATAGAATTGGCCCCCATTGTTTGCTATTAAAGAGTATCTAATAGTTCGTAAACGATCTTATTCAAGTAACTCGTCTTTACAATTGTCAAAACCGAATTTATTTAGTAGTATTTCGTTTAAATTCACTTTCGTGTGGTTTTACGCTTCATACATTATTACATAAAATACCTAAGAACAAGGTAAAATACTGCTATTTAAGTATAATAACTATCTTTACGTCTATTATTTTTTGAGTGAACTGTCTACTAGATTGATGCATGTAATATGGGTTTGCCATGACTTGACAATGACATAGGCAACATTTAGAGAATATAGACCAATACGAACAAAATAAATTGACAAAAGTGAGCTGTCATTTTTCTATTCACTGAATTAATCATTACTAAAATAAATTAAATAAAACTTAAAGAAAACATGTTTCGAGCTAATAATTTTGATAAATTACTTGGTAAGTCTCTTATTATTGTTATACTTTGCAATCGGTTCGTATGCAACCAAAAAAAATTGTACTATTTCATTTCATTATTTATGTTCAGACAAATTTCAATTTCCCTGATCTGCACTGAATTTTCATTTCATTTGTGATTTATTAAAGTCTTAAACCATCGAAATATTTTTTATTCGTCGTTAACATATTCATATAAGAAGTAACTAACTATGTACCCTTCTTATTTTTGCAAAAAAATTCTAGCTGTAATGACGAAATTATGTTGTAGATAAAGCGACAAGTAATCTGCGCTTGGATCCCGATTGGCCAACTATCCTGCAAATTTGTGATCTGATTAGACAAAATGATTGTTCGTAAGTAAAATTATTAATACCTATCATGGACATTGTCAGTATAACATCTGGAGTAGCCTATTGAAATAAATACAATTTAAAGTACTAAATTTTTAATATTTATACATTTGTTTGTTTTTTATTGTTGTAGAGAAAATCTCTTATAATTATTTTCATATATAATATAATTAAATAATAAACCCAATGGATTGGCTAATAAGAAACTTGAAATTAGGTGAAAGTTTGTTACATGCATAGTATGGCATGAACAAAATAGAATATAAAAATGTAATGACACAGTTCACATTCCAAGGACACAAGGAATCCTGTATTTAATTGAAATATTATAAATATTGGGTATATTTGATTTAATTATGGCTACCTGCAAGGGGGAAAAGGATTGTTAGTAATAGGGATTAGCAACCCTATTGTTAGCGATATACCCTCATAGGTTGACCTCCTCCCTGTTCCTCCTGGAAACCATTGTGATTGATTCATTAGTGAACTTATCACAATGGGCAAACTAGCCTGCTTTATCTTCACTTGTCATCCCTCACTGGTGCCCGTATATACCGATAACGCAGGCGGGGTTACCATTTCATTATCATCCATTAAAAAAATAAATCTATCTGCCAAACATGGCAACTATGGACAAAACCCTCTCATGTGAGAGGCTTATGTTCAACAATTAAAGGTTGATATGATGATTGTTTTAGACATATTACATTGTAATAAATACATATCATCTTAAGGTTATTATATATTTTTGGAACATGTAAATGCACAGTACATAGGCATAGCAGTGTAATCCTTGTGAATTATATCCCAAGGATTAAGCTGCTATGCCACACATATGGACATATTTAAATTGGGGGGCCCAGGTGGGCTGTGCACATCCCAGAATTGTCCCAGTACCCACTTCAGTATCAAAATATGTATATCTAAAACACAAATGTATTTTTGGGTCATGCCACTCCTTCCTCCTGACCTTGAAAGTTAATCTTAAATATACCAATAACAACACATCATCATAGCCGTAGAATACTGACGGATCTTTTATATGTAATATTTGTCAGATCCATCAGTATTCTATGACTATGATGATATGTCATTTATTTGTTTTGGTGTTTTCCTAGTATACCAGCTTCCATCATATTATTATAAGAAACAAGTTAATAAAGATTTATGGACCACTCAAAAGAGAAATGTTAAGAACTGTTAATAAAATATGCAGCATATGCATTTTACTAGTTCAATCAAAGATGATGGAGAATGAATGAGATGCTAGGTTAGATAGTCTTTCACATCTATTTTACTATTAATTGAAACAACTGTAAACTTTTTGTCAATAATACAATTATTGTTATAATGAGCAGAGAGCATAAAGCGCCTCTTGATACATCTTTTTTTGCATTACATGAAGATTTTATTTCCAGACCAAAATATGCAGTGGCTGCTGTTAAAAAGAAGCTTTATGCACAGAACCCACATCAAGCTATGTTTGCTTTACTTACTCTAGAAAGTATTGTTAAAAATTGTGGTAAGTATTTTAGAGAGATGAAAGTCATTTATAACATATTAGCTTAAGATAAACAGCAGTTTATCTTATAGTCATTATACTAGAAACAATTATTTTTTTAAATAATGAAAATGCCATGGCAACCTTGCCTATTTTAGACTGCATTGTTCACTGGTAGATTACCAGTAAAAGATGATAGGTAAGGATGAAGTAAGGTCAATTGGCCCATCAAGAATTAATTATTCCTCAACTGGGCAATAATAAAAATGTAAGTCATGTAAAACTGTATATTTGAACTAATACAGAAAATTTTTAAAATCAAACTTTTAAATTAAAATTTTACAGAAAATAGTATATAAATAGAAATATATAAAAAAGACTGGTTGACCAAGTTGCCAGCAATACTGATGATTTTTAGAGAGGACTACAGGAATGTCTGCAGGGTATACTAGAGTATGCTAACAAAGGATATTAAACTCTACTATTTTTTTATGCAACTTAGAATGTCAAACAAGCTGACGGCCCACCTATTGGAAAGTAGTAACCTCTGTCTATAGACATGAGCAGTACCATGTACATAACACAGTATACTGTTTCGCCCATGATACCCCCCATGAGTAGCCATTCCTGAGGACTCAGGTGTAAGTTCACTGCCATATCCTACCATTCAAACCGAAACACAGCCATGCAAAAACAACTGCTTCACGGTATAAACACGAATCAGACAGAGGTGCCCAAGCAAATGACTTTTGTACAAAGTTTCCCTTTGGTAAAAAAAAATGCCTTTCCTCCCCACTATAAAATTAATCTAAGCCACAGTATGGAAAGCTTTGTTTGTATATTATAGGCTGAAAATCCCCTAAAAAGATGTTTTAAATTTAACTTGAAAAAGAAAATAATGCTTTTCCTATGAGCATAATTTGCAAAATTTTCTTTTAATAAAGTGCTAACAATGTTCATATGGTATAAACAATTAGTCAGAATTAATAATTATTCAATTATTATATTATTGATTATAGTAAAATAATATGATTCAAAATTGGTGAAATGAATATTACTGAAATATCATTTCATTATTAGATACCCCCATTTTATAAAGATTATTTGTCACCCCTTTTCCTCAAATAATATATTAAAAAAATGTATTGTTAACAACAGGATCCGGAGTTCATGACGAAGTGACGTCTAAAGCCTTCTGTGAGACCTTACGCGATTTAGTGAAGTCTACACAACATGAAAATTTACGTAACAAAATTCTTGAGCTCATACAAGCATGGGCTTTTGCATTTCGGAACTCGCCCAAGTATAGAGCTGTTCAGGTAATTCATTCTGGTCATTAGTAAAGTTGAGAGTGGTCATAATTTTTATATATTAACATAAACTGCAAAATACTATCATTAAGTTTGCAATTAACTGTTGGTAAACACATAAATATGCTTAGATATTATATACACCAAACACTTCAAATTTTTTTTATAATTGTAATGTTTTGATTTTTTAATAATATTTTTGAACTATCATTAGTTTTCTGGTTGATGTACACTTTCTAACACTATATATATTGATGATATTCCTGTTTATGTTATAGGTAGTAATTAAGAATAATTTTCAGTATTATGTTTTCCCTCTTAATAAAATAAATAATACTACAATCAATACTAAATAATTGTGTCCCGAAATATATTGATGTTATATTTGAGATTTAAAGAAGTATGTAATTGATAGATCACACAGGGTTTCGTCAGTAAAACAGTTAATCTTGGGTCTAATTAAGTCGGCCACCTTCTGGTATATAATATTGAAATAATATTTCTTCTCACTTAAAAAATATAATTATTATCTGAGTACTTACTTTTAATTTTTAATGTTAACCAATTAAGAACGCATTTCCAAACAAAATCATGTAATATATAAACAAAAAATACAATCAAAATTTAAAATTATCCTCTTTTTTTGAAGTTGGTTGAAATATAGTCATGATTCTACGTCATACAACAAATTATACAGTACCATAGTAGATTGTAGTAGTAGGGAGGGAATATTATTTACACTAGTAATACACTATCAGGTGGACCTCCATGCGGTTCCCTCTGGAAACCATCGTGATTAATTCTAGTGGAATTCATCGCAATGGACATCACCGCTAACTGACCTGTCTTTTCATCCTCACTTATTATCCCACACTGGTGCCCCGCTAGCGTATTCCGATAACGCAGGCGGGGTTACCATTCCATTATTACACATTAAAACAAAATTACCATAGTAGGTATATGACGTATTGTCATAAAATAAACAATAGTTTATGTATATACCTAATAGTATATACATTCAGAGTTAGTTCTTTCTCGACGCAATTATTACTCAGAGGTTGAAATCATACGAGATACGTCAGACGCCAAACGACAGATTTCAGACGAAGTTTTCACAGTTCACTGAACTATTGTTATGCCTCTCTCAAGGTGAATATTAGAAGTGCTGCACGTAAATACTTGTCTACTATCGATTTCATCAGTCGCTAATTTGATTAGGCATAACTACTGGTTTTGAGATCAGTATTATATTTATATAAATTTAAACATAGAAATATTGAATATACGAGTGTGTGTTATTTGTGAGTTTATTGGCTTATTTAGTGCTACCCACACACACGTAAGCATTCATTTAATTAAGCACATCTTATCAACAACTTATTGTTTTGTTTACATTGTTTGAACAACGTCATTGTCCTTTATTCTAGATACAATTAAAACTTATGTGATTTATATAGTAGGCGTCTTTTTATAGGTTTGATTATAATTGCCTGATATAATTAATAATATATTTCTTCCATCTATAAATATATTTAACTTTAAAACATATCAGAATTAGTTATCTGTAAAAAGAATTACTCTACTTAAACAAAATAAATTAGAATTTTACAATTGTAATCCTATTTGATATAGAAAGGTATTATCACAAAACAAATTTAAAATAAATAAGTGGTGATATTATTATAGAATAATATATAGTGTTTCATGACTCACAGAGTCGCAAGTACTTCCACATTGTTCAGACTGTCGTTTAGTCAAGTAACATAAAAATTTATTCAGTAGTTTACTAGTAGCCATTAAAATGTAATATACTTTCTTAATGATCTTGTTTAATACATTTTTCTGTAGTGTTATTCATAATAGTGGTATTATAATCACAACTAGACTTCAATAAAATAAAAATATCATATATGGATGATAAGACAATATCTTTTCTGTTATCATTTCTACAGGCTTTCATTTACCTTTATCAGTCGATTGGATTATTTACAACAAGAATTGTTTTAATTGTTAATTTATTTGATTAAAATTAATATAATCAACAGGACACAGTAAATATACTGAAAGCTGAATGCTACAAGTTTCCACCGCTTAAAGAATCTGATGCAATGTTCTCTGCTGACACGGCACCGGAGTGGGCTGATGGAGAAGTATGCCATAGGTTAGTGAATATTTCTTCTATTTATTATTTTTTTTTAAATATGGTTTCTAATTATTTTTCTTCAAATTAATTTTAAAATCAAAGTGTGATTGATTTCTCAGTTTTTTAGTGATAACTAAATAAGTAATTGTTTTATAACAACCCGCTCCATATATTAAAAGTAAAATTAGAATGACAAAGCAAATGGAGGTCAGTGACAGAAAAAAAAAAAACAAGAGGAAATGTCTAAAATAAACAAAACAGGTTACAATCTTCAACAACCTGACTGACCCTGACTGAATTGGATTCATTCATTTATTACCTGAAATATTCATATTTGATAGATTGTTTCAATTATTGTCTATATATTTATTGTTTGTAGTTTATAAATTTTTAATATATAAACTGGTGTTTTGCCTGCTACTTCGTATGCTTGGATTTCAGAAGTAGGAAAACCAATAACATAGACCATTTATAGATGGCGCATCAAGATATATACCTGACTTTAAATTAAATCTTTAAGAATGTTGCTTTACAGATCTTGATTGTCCAATTCATGTGTATATAGTAAATGTTGCTCTTTTGATAAACAGATGTCGTGTCGCTTTCACGCTTATGGTCCGCCGGCATCATTGTCGAGCATGCGGCCAAGTTTTCTGTCAGCAGTGCAGCTCCAAAACATCGACTCTACCAAAGTTTGGCATTGAAAAAGAGGCAAGTTCAAGTAAAAATAAGTAGATTCTTAATTCATATTATTTAATAAACCTACTTTAGACATTAAAGAATTTAGTCTCTTTTTTAGATCAGTTAATGGATGTCTTACATTTCAACTTAATATACAGTGTAAGATGGGATTTGACAGTAAGATTAGCATACTGAGTCAACAGAGCAGTTTATGTATGATGGTGTTTATATCTATGGACAATAGTTAACACTTTCCTTCAAGTATAATGTTAGAATTAGAATATTAAGCATTTCCACATACATAAAAAAATAAAAAATAAGATACATACTGCAAACAAGTAATAAATATGTTTATTGAAATGTACAATTTTTCTTTTATGTTAAATTTACTTTTTACACAGAATTTTAATATCAATATGGGAATAATTATTTGTTGAAATATTAGGTTCGTGTATGCGATGCTTGCTATGACAAAGTAAGCCGCCCTCCAACCTCATCTGCAAAACTAGAAATCATAGACACTTCTAGCGACTATGGACCAACACCAACACAGGTATGTGTATCTTTTTATGCTTCATTTTCACTATTGTAAAATGTGTTGTCTTTGTTAATATTGTTATGCAAAAAATGTCTAAGCAACAGAAAGTACAAAGTTATAAAAAAAAATTCATAGAATTGAGAGACATAAAAAAAATTGCTAATAGAAACTTATATAATGATATATAAACAACATAGGTTAATAAATAAAATTACAGAAAAATGCTTACACTTTCCATCAGACAGGCAGTTTTGTTTAATTATCTCCATGTAAAAATTTCATCTTTCTGGAAATTTGATTTTAATATAATTGAATATATCAATGACAATTTATTCAGTTGCATGTTTTTATAACAGATATAATAAACATGATATGATAAACATTAAAAATTTTCCCTTTATTTTGTGTTAGATATATTACACCCTTGTTAGCATGATTTAGACCAAAAATATAGTATTATTAATGGCCCATACTTGCTTCATATGGAACTACTTATTAGAATAAAAAGTGTTCTATCTCTAATCTCTGAAGTTTAATCCAATAATTTTTTTTATAATAGCAAAACTTACTGCAAGAAAAAAAAACTAATGTCTCAAAATTGTAGCGAACACTATATATTTATATAATTTCATTAAAATTGGTTAAGTAGATATTACTATGAACAAATATTTTATATGACATGGAATTTTTATATAAAAAGTAAAAATAACTCGTTTCATTTGTTCTTCCCTTGTCTTCAATTTTATTTACTCATAATTTAAGATTGTTTTATTTTAAGAAACACTTAAATTTTAAGATACTTTTGAGGTTATTAGAGTTTTATTGTAGATACTTTTGGCCATATGTGTATAGTTCAAAACATTATACTAAATTAGATCAAGATTAATTATTAAGGTTTTGCCATTAAAATAAAAGTGATAATAAGAAAATATTTTATTTATAAGTAATCACTGTCCATCGTAAGATTCACCCGGCATTTCTCCACCTGGTACTAACATAGCAATATTGTTTCCATTCAATAAAATTTGGTCCAGTTTCGTAATTTTCCGTCCTTCAGGTGTTGATTCGTATTCAGTAACATCGTCTAATAACATATTGACGAAATCGTCGAATCCTTGAAGCGTTCCCACAATTTCTTTATCATTTTTCATGATAATATGAATTCGTGAGCCGATACATTTATCAACCAGTTCTAGTGGTAGTAATGTGTTTGGATTAGGTAATGAAGATTGAGTCATTTTAATATTGTACAAGACGAGTAATATCACTTAAAAATCAATAATTTATCAAAATATCCCGTATTTACTTGTTAGACTTCTGAAATTGATAGATTTATAAACGTATTGTGTTATTCATATTGTTGACGGTTGAATGACAGATGATTGACTGTCGTACTATACTTATGTTCAGAAATAAAATTTTTCGTGTTGCCGTTATGACAAAGTTAATGATTATTTTAATATTATGGAATTTTTATTGCTTCTATAAAATACGGTATATGAAAATAGGCTTTATTTTTATATACGTAAATATTCAATGTAGATATCATTCACTTCTTTTAATTATAGTTATTATTTTTATATATTCTGAACGTAAAGTACAAATTCTTATAGGTCTTCAAAAGCTTCATTTCAAATGGAAAACATTGCTCATTTGTTATTGTTCACAATATCTGCTGACTTTGTATCTAATAACATTAAAGGTTCATTTATTGGACAAATTTTTAAATTAATATTTTAGGAGTTTATTTACATATATATATATATATATATATATATATATATATATATATATATATATATATATAATAAATTTCTTTTTTTTGTTTTATCGACAATTTAACGTCGCAACGCTGTGCGTGAACACTGCTCTTTCTTGGAAAAAACTTCCGCATGTTACAATTATAGCTCGGTAATCGCGACGATATTATTAACAATATTTTAAAATAATGTTTGGAAATGAAAAATATTTTTTCCTGATTATTATTCAGGTGCACATGCCTCGTTATGGTGAGGTAGTAATTTATGTGTATATAGCAATACCAGCCGCAACTGACGTACTGGCTTGAATGACAGTTACTCATCATAAACTGTCGTAGGATTTCATAGTTGCTTGAATTGTTTGCGCGTTTAAAAGTAACGACTTCGTTCTGAATCTTAGTGAACGTAATTTTGTTTTTTAAAAAGTGAAAATACTTAAAATTAATAATATGGCTAAAAATTTTGTGACAAATTTTCGTGGTGAACATTTTATAACACCAAATGGAAAGCACATAAAAGAAGAACCCTTGACACCGATTGAAAATGATTTCGGAGATCACAATCACATGGAAAATTCGTTTGATGGTACTGGATCTATGAGGAAGTCGCTTTCTATGAACGACATTGCGGCACTTCGATCAGATTTTGTGAAATTGGAATTTGAGGATAAACAAAGCGTTTACGAAAGGTACAGACGCCAGGCTGAAGCACCATTAGAATTATCTAAAACAAAGTTCGTTTCTATGGCTGAAGCTATATATCACTATCAAAGAGACACACCAAGCCGTTTTCATTCTACAAAACCCCAAATTTTTAAGACTCGAGGGTCTTTCAGACCTTCAGGTTTGACTGTGCCTCAATCGCCAATGCTGCGATGCAAAGCTCGTTCCCGCCCCCTACACATCATGTCACAGAAAGAAAAGGAGGAAATGGAGATGGAGGAAATCAAGAAATTTAAAATTAAAGCTCAACCAATACCAAAATCGGTTATTGAAGGCACTATAAGACTGCCAGAGGTGCAGAAGAAACCAAAAACTGTTCCTGAGCCATTCAAATTAACAGAACTGCATAAAAAGTCAATACAGTCTCCAGAACATGTACAGAAATTCAAAGCGCGCCCTGCTCCAAAACATATACTTGAGAAGCCTCAGATTCCTGTGAAGCCTCCAGTCCAAATAACCAAACCAATTAGTCCTAAGTTTCATTATAAGCGTGGTAATTCTTCAGAACAATTGAAACAAAACCATAAAGATCTTCCAGTATCAATGTCAAAAAGTGTAGAAAAATTACAACGCCATGGCCCTATTAAACCTGAACCATTTTCTTTTGAAAAACGAGATGAAGAATTAAAAAGACGCAGAGAGGAGAAGATCAGGCGTCAAATTGAAGAGGAAAAAAAACAAGCTTCATTATTCAAAGCCCAGCCACTGCCTGGTGCTGTTAAAAAACGTATGTATAGTGCTACTACAAAAGGGAGCTCCTCCACAACATCTTCTGAAAATAAAGAGAATCATTCTAAATTTGAAGCCAAACCTCCAACAGTACTTTATAAAGAGCCATTTAAGCCTGTTTTACATCCATTACAATTAGTTAAGCCTGCACCATTTGCATTGACAACTGAAAAAAGGGCAGTCGAAAGAGAGAAGTTTGAGCAACAATTAAAGGAAAAAGAAGAAGAACTTGAGAGACTTAGGCTTCAAAGAGAAAAAGAACAACAAGAATTGGAGGAGAAAGCTAAAGCTGAATTGAGAGCAAAGTTAATACATCATGCTAAGCCAGCACCTGTGTTTACACCATTTGTTCCTGAAAAGTCAGTGGTGCCACTTACTGTGCCAGACACACCTAAATTTGTTAGAAGATTAAAGAATAATTAAATATTTCTAAAATAGAATAATGTTCTTAATAAAGAATGATTAATATGATACATAAACATAATTTTTTGGTAGAAAAGATCTGCATTTTACTAAATATACTGTCATTTTTTTGCTATTGCTTATATGGTTGACATTTTGTTAATATAAAAGAAATATTATGATATGTTTTAATTTTTAATCATGACTCGCAACTAGTAACATAAAATTTTTGTTTTTATAAAATTTCATTGTGGTTGTTTTGATATTAAATTTTAGAATATATATAATTTCTTTATTATTTTTAAATTATAGTAAATACAATTGCTTCATAAGTAATATTCAAAATAAAAATATATACAGTTCATCTAAATGAGGGTAACCAAAGCAAATTTTTGTTGACATTTGTGGTGGATATGGCACTTGCCATTTTATTATCTATCTCTAACATATTCTAATTCAGCATGGCAGAAAGACTGCACACTACTGAATAAATTTTAACAATGTTAAAAATATAATTTATAAAATAATTTTTTTCGTATGTAATGATGTCTTCTGAGATTGAAATCTTCTGTAGGGATTCTAGTACTATCATCAATTCCATATGTCCTATTGATGAATGTTATGCAAATATTTTATAATAATAAATCTCTTTAGCAAAACTTTATTTTTTTTTATACAACTTAGAATTGCAAACAAGGTGACGGCCCACCTGATGGAAAGTGGTAACCATCGCCTATAAACTTGCTGTTGTTTGTTAATCTTTAACAAAGGACTTATCATTAACTAGCTATGTAACCCTTATAACTTTTTGATTTTGAATATCAGTTATGGACGATTATACCACTGCTTTTATCATTATCATTTTAGCTATTAATTGTCGACTGATAATCATAAGACATCTCCTTGTAGATCCCAGCATAAAATAGGAGATTGCCTATTCCTTTCCCGTGGGTGTCGTAAGAGGCGAGTAAGGGAACTGTCGAGGAATAGGCAGCAGCGTGCCTCTTAAAACCTCACCAAAGACCTAATAGCAGTTGCCGGGTGGAAGGGATCGTTGGTAATGCGGACTACCAGTCCCATTGCTAGCAATATACCCTGTCAGGTCGACCTCCACGCGGTTCCTCCTGGAAACCATCGTGGTGAATTCCAAGTGTACTCGATATCACGATGGGCTGACTGACCTGCTTTTTTGATTATTCACCTATCATCCATCACTGGTGCCCCGTCAGCGTATACCGTTAGCCCAGGTGGGGTTGCCGTTTCATTAATCATGCATTAATAGCAGTTGCCAATACGCCTGCCAAGCATGGCAACTACTGACAAGACCCCCTATTTATGGGGGAGACCTATGTTCTGCAGTGGACAATTAATGGTTAATATAGTTATCGTAAGACTGTCGTAAGAAAGGGCTTTGTTGCTCAATATCTATTGATTCCTTACAACATTTGAAGTCGTTACAACATTTAAGGGAGGCTTTTTCACGAGAGAAAATTTCTTTCAATCGGTTGTCAGTTACATCAATTATATGGTAGGTCTATTGCCACTTTAGTTTACTCATAAATTTATGTCACAAAAAATTGCTTCCAGGTCGTTCCAAGGTACCATTGGGGGGAAAAGGATTGTTAGTAATAAGGTGTAACTGACTCATTGTTAGCAATACAACCTCTCAGATCGACCTCCACGCGGTTCCCCGTGGAAACCATCATGGTTAATTCTGCTAGAGTTCGTGACGATGGATTAACTTATCTGCTTCATTTTCACCTGTCCCACCCCCCACTGGTGCCCCGCCAGTGTATATCGATAGCGCAGGCGGGGTTATCATTCCATTATTATCCATTAAAAAAAAAACAAGGTACCATTAATACTCGTAGGTTTGGACGCTTGCCATCAGCGGTTTATTTCCGTATTAGTTTCATTTAAATGATTGAAGTCACAAGAAATAAAACAGTAATATCGTTTTATTTATTTCTGGATCATTCTAAAAGTGGTTCTGTATTATAGGACAATGACAAAAGTGGACATAATTTTATCACTAAAACATTAATTACCTAGCCACATGTTAAGAGAATGTTTCATTAATAGCTACTATTTGTAAAAAAAATCTAAATATATTTTCATATTTCCTGATGGGATAGGCAGAAGATTTCGTCGATTGTTAGTGTTCTAGTGAAACATTTCCATCTAACGTGACAGGGGGCGACGATACCTCTGTGATCGATTTAGTTTATCAGTCTATTTCGTCACCGAATGAGTCACAAATTTAAATCAACACAAAATGTTTGTCAAACACCTATTATTACAAATACGGGTATATCATTGAAATTTGCCATGTATGTAATTATTGTTTATCCTGTTTACAGAAGCGTCCCGCCGGCGGCGGTAAATCTGCTGAGGAGCTTCAAGAGGAGGAAGAGTTGCAACTCGCGCTTGCTCTCAGTCAGTCGGAGGCAGAGCAGAAAGAAAAGGAGCGCAAGTCACGCTCCCATATTGCGCCAGACCCCACGCCGCACCATCCCACATGTAATTTATTTATATTTTTTTATTGTCTATACTCATTAAGTTTTTATAACATTACTTTGAATATCTTTGTTTTGTCTTGTTTTTTTCCTTTATTTTATAATGCAAATAAAGTAACTTCATTCATTCATTCATATCTTTACAAAACTAACTCGGGTTATGGAGAATGAGATAATTTAACTTCACAATGCAATTGGCTATCTAGTTGTTTTTATTCACTTTGAATATTACTCAAAATGGCAAACAAACTGAGAGTCCATTATTTAATCAATTCAAAATTTTGTTAAATAATAAGTATTATGTTTGAATTGTAACAATTAATGTATTATTTGTATTTTTTATGCAGTTATGCGAACACAGCTTCTTGACAGCAGGTGCACATTGAAGGATGGTATATCTGCTACCTGAAACGGTTCTGTCTATAGTTTCGTTGCACACTTCTCTAGGTGAACTGATTAAAAAGTGTTGTAACAAAATATTATTATGTTCAGTGTCTCCGACGCCGTCCTCCGTGAGCGCGTCTCCGGACCACAGCGCGCAGGCGTCCTCGGAGCTCTCCCGGTATCTGGACCGTAACTACTGGGAGCAGCGGTTGTCTCGGGACTCGGCCGCCGCCCCTACAGCTCCCTCGCCTGCCTCTCACGCTTCACATACGACTCACGATGTCGCCGAGGTCTGTTTTATAAAAATATATTAATTAATTTACTTATTTTTCATAGAAATATATTTTTCTACGTGCCTATGTACACCAAAATCTAGTAAAGATGCCAATAGGATATCAGCATCATTTAGTATAATAGAGAAAATACATTTCCTATCTTATTTGCTAAATAAAAGGGTATTATTAAAAGGTAACATTTTGGTTCAATTTTGTAATTTATACAGCACACTGCTACTATATTTATATTGCTACTATATATCATTTATTTAAAACGTTACTTTCTTTCGTCGTTAATATTTTCAAACAATAATATGCTACATATGTTTGTTATTTAATTATTACCGATTTAACTTAAGTGTAGTTTGGTCCAGAAAAACATTAAAATATACTGTGTACTTATAAAACTTTTAACAATAAAATAATATGCTGTAAACGTCTTTTTTTTTTGCAGTTGGAATATATTAAACCCGTTGCAAATAAAGCGCCAGATGAGGATGCCGAGGACAAAGAGATAGATGAATTTATCGAAACATTGAAGTCACAAGTAGAAATATTTGTAAACAGAATGAAAAGTAATTCCTCAAGGTTTGTATTTTTAATATTTTATAATTATTATTTTAATATGTATATTAATGAATCAGTATGTTGATTTTATTGTCGCAATTCATTAACATCCCACTGCATAGGTTTGCACAACATTAACTGCATAATTAAGAAGCCTGTTCTCTGTAACGAGAAATTAATTTGTAACTTTAATTTACAGAGGGCGCTCCATTGCCAATGATACATCAGTACAAACTCTCTTTATGAACATAACCGCAATGCATTCTCGCCTACTACGTTACATACAACAACAAGACGATAAAAGAGTGTATTTGGAGAGCTTACAGGTATTTTTTTTCTTGGTGTTAACCGAAATATCAACCAAAATTATTGGTTTCTAAATAGTTTTCAATTTTACAATTTTTTTGTGTAAATTATGAGAGATAGCAATAACATTAAAGTACAGTGTACAGTAAACACAAACCCTTATTCTGGAATAGCAACACACCTAAGGGTTACAATAATTTCTATGATTTTTATTGCATTGTTCATGTCTGTAAGCAACAGTTACTGCTTTTCCTAGCGATGTCCCGTCAGCTTTTTATCATTTCAAGTGGTATTAAAAAATCATTGTTATCAAATTAAATATCGCTTGAATTTTATTATAAATATCGTAAATATTATTTTATTCTTATTAGTAATTTGTATAATTTCTTTATTTTTCCCCTCTTTCTCTCTCTCTAGTTTTTTAAGAAAATACAAATAGTAGTAAAATTAAGTATATCCCGATGTTTCAAACATTTCACTCGAAACCCTTTTTTGTTACCCTTTGTTGTTTTTAATGATTTGTTAATTCACTTACTTAAAAAATGCAATACAACTGAATTGATAAACTCCTTCTTTTTGAAGTCGGTTGAAAAAGTTAAAATTTTAATGGTAATTACAAAAAATTTAGACAAAAAGTTTAGAAATATATATGTATCATATATAATACATATACATTTTATAATAATAATAATATTCATTATTTATAAAATATGCCAGATAAAAAATAATAATATAATTGTTAAATGTAATTTATGATTGTGCGTAGGACAAAGTGACACAAGTGCGAGATAGCCGCGCTGCTTTAGATACGCTAAGGGCCGAACACGCCGCACGATTGACCGCACAAGCAGAGGCCGCCGAACGACAAAGACAAATGCAAATGGCTGCCAAACTGCAAGCCATGAGGAAGAAAAAGCATGAATACCTCCAGTACCAGAGACAACTCGCCCTCCAGAGGGTACAGGTAATTGCTTCAAAATAGCCTAATTAAAAATTTTAAAGTTTTTGCTACAATGTTTTTCCTGTGACTATACATTCAGTAGTAGAACGCAGTATTAAATATTGATATAAATAAGAAGCCCTTTCTAACAAAAACAATGATCAATGAAGTTAAGAAACTATAAATTTTCAGTTCATTATAAAAGAAAAGCAATGAGAGATTCTTCATTGGAAGGACAGTCCACTCTTGCCAACATCTCTTGCACACATCTACTCATGGACCAGATGAGAGATCTAATTATTATATTATATGTATAACAAGTGCATGATGCAACACAAAAAAATATTTATTTTCATAATAATATGACTTCATAGTAAAAATTTATGAATACCATCTTTTTTTATATTACAGGAACAAGAAAGAGAAATGCAAATGAGACAAGAACAGCAAAAACATCAGTATATGATGTCCAACAGTGGCTATTACATGCCTGGTGTAACTATGTCACAGTACCAACCAGGATATCCCAATCAACCAATGTATGTAAACCCACAATTCCATCCACAAATGATGCCACCACCACAAGCGACTACAGATGCTTCTGTATCCATACCGGGTCAGCCACAAATGTCACAAGCCAATATGCAAATGGGTGGAATATCTCAATCCGTGCCACAGTTGACAAACACCTACCCTATGACCAGTACTGGTGTTGCAATCAGCCAAGCGCCAACAAGCGTTCAACAGTCAATGAATCAGTCTATTCGACCAACACCTGGCCAACAGTTGCCTATGCAGCAACAAATGTTAATGCATCAAATGAGAATGCCAGTTCAGGCTGGTGTTCACCAGATGATTCCACAAGGTATATCTAGCAACCAGAATGTGCCCCAACAGAATGGTCAAACTAATCAGCTACCTAAACAGCCTAATCAACCGCAGCCGCCCAGTGCGATGGGCCCACCTATGTCTGTTGGGCAACAAAGTCTAGGTCAACTTCAATCTCTAATAAATCCGAACAATCCAATGTTAGGATTGCAAATGCAAAATATGAGAATGCCAATCATGACAGGGGGTCAATCAAATGCTAATCCTCAAGTTCCAGCTTCTGGGTATCCAGTTATGCCAAATCAGCAGAATAATCAACATACATCTCAAATTCCAAACATGCAACAGCAATCTCAGATGCCCTTACCTGGTCAGTCAATGTTGTTACCAGGTCAACAAATGATGCAAGGTCAAACAGTCCCTAGTCAACATCAGAATATATCCATGGCCAACCACATTCCTCCTACAAACCAAACTGCGACATCTCAAGTATCACAGATACCTACTTCTCATGGACATCAGATACCACAGCAACCTCAAGCACAAGGTCAACCAATGCCCATGCCTGGACAACCTTTACAACCACCAAACCAACACATGTTAATGCAAGGAGGACAATCTATTTTACCCCAAAATCATATTCCTCAACAAGGTCAAATGAACCAACTCCCTCCAAGTCAAATGCTTCCTGGCCAACAAGGACAACAACTACCTCATGGGCAACAATTGCCTCATATAATGGCAGGAGGTCAAATGTCGCAAGGCCCACAAATACATAATCAAATGCCACCACAGATGAGTGTACAGGGACAACAAACACACCAATCTATTCCTTCAGGTCGACCAATGTCTCAAGGTCAACCAATGCCGCCAAACCAACCTATGCCTCAAGGACAGCCAATGCAAGGTCAACCTATGCCTCAAACTCAGCCTACACCCCAAAATATTCCTGGACAACCCATAAAAGCACCACAAAACTTTGGCCCACCAGGTCAAGGGCAACAACAGGTGTCCATAAACCAACAGGTGCAAACACCTGTAAAGTCTGAACATAATAATAATACAGCGGAACTGATAAGTTTTGATTGAAATTATGTATGTATATTTTGACCAGATGAGAGATCTAATTATTTCAATGACTGTTAAACTTGTTTTATTGTAAGTAAGAGAGATATGCAATAATGAACATCTTAGAAATTGTGCAAGTTGTGAAGTTTGAAACCAAAATAATTGTCATGTATAGGGTATTTTAAATTCGAGATTTTTACGATATAATAAGGCTTTTACTGTCACCAATATTAATCATTATTTATATAAACATTGCAGTAGTTTCAGATAAATATTTAGATGTCACTCATCATCACAAAGACTTGTTATATTCCCATAATTAATTTCTAATAATAAGTTTAGTTTTAATGCGAGCACCTCACATTGACCTCTGACTATATAAACTTTCCAAAGTATTCTTTAACTACTGACATGTCTAATACAGAATAAAGGAAATATGTGTTGTACTTAGTTTTTCAAACTGCTTGGTGGCTATATTTTTTACAATATATTAACACGTCAATAATTCTATATCCTTTGTTGTTTGTAATTTATTCTTTAGTTCATAGTTTAGCAAATATTTAGTCTTTGTAAATCAGGTACTTTTATATTATGAAATGGTAATTAAATTATTAAAAAAATATTATCATATTTTAAACAAATGGGACTATGTGAGGCGCCAATTTAGGTATGATTATTGCCTTGTAATCTATGTAAATGCAAAATGTAAAAATTCTGTCGTTTGTAGTTAAATTACATTAATAATATAATACAGAGTTAAAATTACAAATATCGTTATTTTAATTTTTTCATTAATGAACAATTACTGTTATTTTATTTTTACACTTAAGTTGTATATGATTAATAATACCAATAAAACGTGAACATTCTTTTATGTTGGTCTTAATCATATCTCAAAATTAAACTATTAAAATAGGTACCTATGTACCTTAGATAATTATAGTACCTACCTATCAAATTAAAATAATATTAAATAAGTAGTGCACATGAAGCGTGATTTGGTAAAAAGTATCCTATGCCTTTTACAGAGTAAATATAAAAAACTACATTTTACGGCCAAAGGTGCCAAAAGGTAGCAAATACACTTTTACATTTATAATATTAGTAAATAGGCATATTACCTTTTTATATAAAATGCTCCATCCTTGAAAGTTGGTAGATATGTAAGTCAGAAGAAGGGGAACTTTAATTTTAACCGAAAAATATTGTGGCTATCTATTTCTTCGATATAGGTTGAATTTTAAACAAATTAGGTGTCCCTGATAGTAAAATTGTTTCCTTAGATTAATTACTACATATATTGAAAAGAGTGTTTTCACTAAAGAAACATATCAACAAAACCACCCGAATAATCTTTACCAATGGAGAAATATGGAAAAGGCCTATGTGCAAGGACAACCGGAAAAATAAGATGTTGCTGATGTCAACATAAATTTTTTTTTATACAACTCAGAATGGCAAACAAGCTGATGGCCCACCTGATGGAAAGTGGTAACCGTCGCCTATAGAGATGAGCAGTACCATGGACATAACAGAGTATACTGTTTCGCCCATGATACCCCCATGCGTTGCCATTCCTGAGGACTCAGGTGTTATTCCTCTGTACCCAGTAAATTCACGCCATATCCCACCCTTCAAACCGAAACACAGCCATTCAAACAACTGCTTCACGGTTGAAACACGAATGGGACAGAGGTACCAAAGCAATCGACTTTTGTACAATGTACAATTTAAGGGGGGAAAGTGATTGTTAGTAATGGAGACTGAGAATCCCATTGCTAGCAATATACCCAACTAGGTCGACCCCCTCGCGGTACCCCCTGGAAACTATCATGGTTAATTCCTGATGAATTCATCATGATAGGCTAACTGGCCTGTTTTCATTCTCATCTATCACCCTTCACTGGTGCTCCGCCAACGTATCCCGTTAGCGCAGGCGGGGTTACCATACCATTTTAATCGATCAAAAAAAAATGTACAATTTAAAAAAAATCTGTTATTCAGGAAAAAAGGCTATTTTTATTTTATTTATTGTCATATGAATATTAATATACTGTAACAAGACGCAGTGATAGACATAATCGTAGTCAGTTACAGTTTCATTATACCGAACCAGTACCTAGGCCTTTTCATTGGCTGTACCCTGTGGAGTGCTCTGCGCCTAAGAACAAGGAATTACATAAAAGGAATGATAAAATAAAAACTGTAGATTTACAGATTTACCGTGAGATTTCACGGGTGCCTTATTTCTTCTTATACAAATATAATTAGTAATAAGAGCACGAAAAATACACCTTCAGTTGCTATTTTTGTCAATTCATAGCAGTTTAGTGTATAAACAAACTAGAAAACATATTAGAAAACGTTTGATATGTCAATTACTTGTTAATAATTTGATTATATATTTGTTAAATTATATAAATTTTACATTACTAGATTATATCTAAATTGCATAATTTCTACATAAACTGTGTGTACTGTATCTGAATTTGGTGAGGTTATACGGCCATATGACATTGTCTATACATTAATCTATGAATTGACAAAAATTGCAACTGATGGTGTATCTTTCGTTCTCTTTTTACTAATTATATTTGCATAAGAAGAAAGGAGATAACCATATGATTTACAATTTTTATTTTATCACTAGCGGCCCGTCTCGGCTTCCTATGAGTGGATATTTTGACATTTTAAAAAGTGTACATTAAGGCTGCACACACGACGGAATCTTAAAAATGGAGTAACTTCTCCCGTTTTCCCAACATGTCCCTTCACTGTTTTTCTCCTATTGATCGTAGCGTGATGAAAAGTATACTATAATCTACTCAGAAGTATAAAGAATAATTGTACCAAGTTTTGTTAAAATCCGTCGAGTAGTTTTTGTTTCTATAACGAACATACAGACAGACAGACAAAAATTTTACTGATTGCATTTTTGGTATCAGTATCGATCACTAATCACCCCCTGATAGTTATTTTGGAAATATATTTCATGTACAGAATTGACTTCTTCACAGATTTATTATAAGTATACATTGTAGTACTATTGACTTTTTTTTTTTTTTTTTTTTTTTTTTTTTTTTTTTTAATTGATGATAATGGAATGGTAACCCCACCCGCGCTATCGGTGTACACCGACGGGGCACCAGTGAAAAGTGATAGGTGAGGAGATGAAGCAGGCCATTAGCCCATCGTGACGAATTCAACAAGAATTGTTCACGATGGTTTCCAGGGGGAACCACGTGGAGGTCGACCTGATAGGGCATATTGCTAGCAATGGGGCTGTCAAACTCCATTACTAACAATCCCTTTCCCCCCAGTACTATTGACTAGCTGTTTAATTTCTAGCTATTTTATATAATCTACATTTGCTGTCACGGTGACATATTTTTTAGCGGGAACATTAATAATTTAAATTTTTTAATGTCAATATCAACTTGTTTCATTCACCTTCACCTACGATCAACAAAACGATCTCGTTTTATTATTAGATTGTATTTTTTATTCTAAAGATAATAAATATAATAAACATAATAAATTCATCTTTAACAATATTTGAATTCCTGTCTGTAAAGCGAATTAATGTTTATTAGTAATGGATGACCAGATTCGTGATGGACCAATTACTGTATGGCAAATGTTCAATGCGCCGACTATGGTTTTGTTCAATAACTTGGAGCTTGCTGCTGATGGATTAGATAGACTATTAACTTCCATTTTAAAGCTATCAGGGTAAGTATATTACTTTTTTTATGAGTAGTAAAGGTCTAAAGGATGTTTTTTTTTGTCATAATTTACTAAGAAGAGAAAGTATACTGCCCTTTTCCTGTAAATACTTATTAACGCATAGTATTTGTATGTTGTAAAAATTACACATTATTTTATTAATTGTATAAATAAGACTTGCATATTCATAAAGAATAAAAAAAGGTAACCTAATTTTTAATCAAGACAATTTTGTATTGTACTTTGAATAAATAATTATTTGTTTTAAAACTGTTACGATACTGTTGGATAAAGAGGAAAAATAAATATACAAACATAGATTCTTTGTAGAATAAATCTAACTGGGCAGTTTGCAGTTAAATAAACTGTTATGGTCAATATTTTAGAACTATAAGCTTATATTAATTTGTGTACAGAATAAATGAATATAAAAATTTCTGTATACTTTAACTTATAATTATCAATAATTATTTTCAGAGACTTTTCTGAAGTTCTTGTACCACGGCCTGGCTCTTCAAAGTATCCAGATTTTTATTATAGTGCTTTTAATACATGGTTAATTGGAAGATTGTTTTACATCTGGTCTGTAAAAGAACTTGATAGGTAGGTATCCCAATCATTCTATTCATTTATATTCTATTTTATAAATGTAATGTTTTTTGTTGAGGAAATTTTGCAAGAAAGTCAATTATTCTTACTTAAATACAAAATTATTGTGTTAGAATACAAGATCGTTTTATATTATATTATTATTACCAGAGGGAGATTTTGTACAAAAGTAGATTGCTTGGGTATCTCTGTCCCATATGTGTTTCAACTGTGAAGCAGCTGTGTTTGCGTGGCTGTGTTTCAATTTGAAGGGTGGGATATGACATAAATGTACTGGGTACAGAGGAATAACATTTGAGTCCACATGAATGGCAATACATGGGGGGTATCATGGGCGAAACAGTATACTCTGTTATGTCCATGGTACTGCTCACGTCTGTAGGCGATGGTTACCAATTTCCATCAGGCGGAGCGTCAGTATGTCTGCCATTCTAAGTTGTATAAAATAAAAATTAACAAATAGCAATATTCTAAGCAGAATATGTAGGTTTTTTTAAAATACATATAGCTCATGTTACTCATTGTTAATGTAGTTTCCCATTTGTGAAAGAATTTTTAAAACACATTAAGTGTAGTTTGAGTTTTATCTTACTCTTTATCTTTGTCTTTATATTATTAGTTTGGATTGTAGTAATATAGATGGATATGCATTTCCAGGATATGTTTATCTAGCAAAGATGCACAGTTGAAGATTTTGAATATACTGAGCGGAAATGGTGCCAGTTTTTTTAATGAAATACACTCGGAGTATATTGATATATTAACTAAATTGATAAATTATTACAAGGATTATACAAGCCATAACCAACATACAGAATTAGTGCTTGACAATTTTAAGCCTGCCCAGATTGATATACCTAGTACACAGTTAAATTTGGAACCAATATTTGTAAAAGTGAACAATCTGGCTACATGTCAAACATTGATTGAATTATTATTGCAATTACTCTCAGAAAGCATATCAGCAAATTCTCTGAATATTGATAGAACCAAAAATGAATATGAATTGGTATTCAACAAAGTGTTGTATATGCTTGATAATTATAATGTAGATTTAAAACTGATTTCATTTAAGTTTTTTGTGAACTTATTAAAAATATTTAATGAAGTATCACTAAGCAGGTTCCATCACATTTTCCCTAAAATCTATAGTGATTTACTTGAATCTGTGGAGGCTATTATAAAGTCTATCAATGTTTATTATGAAAAATGTGAAATTGACCTAATATATTTGAACAACTTCAACTCATTGTTATTACAATTTTTAAATATCACATTTAAAAATATGGAAAGGGATAATGAAGAAACATTATTGAATATCTGCTTAGCAATTCTTAGGATGAATAACAATAAAAATTTTACAAAGGAAATAAAACTCCAGTGTATGTCATTAAGTGAAAAAATAGATTTTCCAAAAGATATAATGAATATTGAAAATAAGGACGCTTCTGAGATTGATGTACTTTCAGATTATTATAGCAAACATATATTAGCTTATATTCAAAGAAAAGACCATGGAGAAATAGGGAATTTTAGAGAATGCTGGGAGTATAATCAAGTTTTATTTGTTTTACACTCCTTAAAAAGTTGTGAGGATTGTCATACACATTTTATAGTAATTGAATATAATTTAAAAAGATGTTGCAGTGTTCTAAATATTTTGCAAAATGTCTTATTGCAAAGTAAAATCCCTCTTAATGATGGTTGTTCATCAGAAACTTCATATATATTGGATAAAGCAAGTGTTCTCTCTACATGGAAGACATTATTGAAAGTTATTGAATTAAATAAAAATAAGATAATTGAAAACACCAGTTGCACAAAAATGATTATGGATATCATATATAGCACAGTAATTCTTTGTGAGACTTTAAATGGTGCAGAAAATAATACTGTATTACAAATCTTATGCCTCCAGGATATGTCACAATTTACTGAACTTAACTTAGCCATGTATTCTCAGCAATTAAAGGTGGTGATGCTAACATCCATAATGACTACAAGAATCGTTTTAAAAACTAAGCCAAGTGAAAGTTGGAATATAATAATTTCGTTTCTGGCAAAAGACTTGTTGAAAAATAAAGGAACAAGTGCATACAATGAAGTAGGTATTTAATTAGTGCTAATACTTATAATTAATGACATACAACTAATCTTATATGTTTTACATGCTTTTGTCCACATGACTAGGATATGTTGATTAACTAAATTATATAATGTATATGAGAGCATATTTTTAAAAAGTCCGGCAGCACACTTTTAATGCCTTTGGTGTTGCGGGTGATCATGGGCGGCGGTAGTCGGTAGTACAATCAGCTGAGCCGCATGATAGTTTAATCCCTGTGTTATAAAAAAAATAGTTATAGTATAGTTTATGTGCTTCTTCATACCATATAGTATGTGTACAATAAATTTTATGATAATTGGTTGAGGTGTTATGGAGCTAAGTACAACATGTTACAAAATTGTTTTTCAAACTTTTTATCAGGGTATTAGGATGATTTTTGGACAGGGTAGGCTATTTTTTCTTCTACATCTAGAAAATAAATCATATGTTTATGGGTTTTAGTTTAGTTTTAACGAAGAGGCTATTTAATTTGCATTAATTAATTATATTTCCTTTTTTTTCAGATAATTTCGATATGCCCGCTTCTGTTATTAACCAAAGGAGTTTCAGCTAGTAAATTGATTAGTGAAGTTTTAATGCCAGCTTTTTTAACAAAAGATCAGGAGATCCAGAGTAAAGTAATACAAGTTTTGCCAGCAATTGGTTGTATGTCTTTAGGATGTTTTGATGTTATTGTCAGCTCTTCAAAGAATAACAAGGGACATTCCTTGTATAAAAATAATTCTATAGATATTTGCATAATATGTTCCAATTGTCACATACAAGAGAGAAATAGTAGTAGTGGACACATTAAACTTGCATCAGAGAATGTTCAGACTAATACTGGATATATATCAATTTTAAATGGTCTTAGAAATTTATTTTCAAAATTTTTAAATTACAAACAGTACTCGAATGTGGACAGTAAGGAATATTGGGATCTCTTAGGAAGGTTTTGCAACCATTATTATGTATTCGACTATGGAGTCTCATCAGATATACTCAATGTAGAAAATTGTGAAAATGTATTAAAAATCTTTACCCCATTTATAGACAACATTATGGTATGTTTATATTATATATGTTTATATTTTATACTAGTTGTATCTTGCGACTTCATTCGCGTCAATTAGTATATATAGTATCATATGTGTTGAGTTAGGATGTAACCTACCTGTGTATCAAATTTCATTGAAATCTGTATAGTAGTATTTGCATGAAATATGCATACATTGTTACAAACTTTCGCATTTATAATATTAATTGGATTATTAGAAGAACATTCAGAGTTATATTTATGTGCTAACCCTGTCATTTTTGCAGTTTAGATTTTAAACCACAAAGTCAAACGTAAGTATTAATAATATATTGTATTGCAGATGGATACAGATGAGGAGTGGAAGTCGCATAAAGAGACAGCATTTAATATATGTATTAAGTTGCTTGTAGAATTGACTCAATTCTGTTTAGAAAAAAATGATTACAATCAACAGACTCATACTATTAATCTTATTAAAAGATTTGGAAAATGTCGCAATGAGAAAGTTTTACTACCAACTACGAAACTCTTGGTTTATTTTATAATGTATCCACAGTGCCCTCTAGGTGCTAAAGCTGTTGTTTATCTACGAGAAATTTGCGAAATTCAAGGATATACACCTAACCAAGTATATCATAGGTATAAGAAGGATTACTGCAGGCTTTTTGTGGAATGTAGTTTGTATAATGGAAAAGAGTTCGCCATTTCGCTACTGAAAGTTGTTAGGGCATTTGGCTTTGTTGGTTATAGAGATTTCATATCAAAAGATGTACATCACTTCCTTCCATACCTTATGCCATACTCGGTAACGATAAAAGAAGTGCCATCTATGATAGAAGAAATTGCGTCTTTAGTACAGTGCTCAGTTTCGGATTTCTTAACTGAAAGATTTCCTCATATATATGTTCATGTTTATTTAAATGAAAATGCTGAAGTTTCCAAGAAGTGCTTCGACGTAAGCGAAAGATTGACGAAGACCTCGATTTTGAATTTGATCAAGAAACATTTTAGAGTGATCTTAACAGAATTTCTATTGCAGTATTGTTGCAATCCCGAGAAAGTGCTGAATGCTTGTAGATACCTAGCATGTCACGATCCCGATGTATCAACATCTAATATTAATACTAATATGAGTACAGCGCAAATAGCCGACTTTTTGAATCCAAAATTTCTCGGCGTACTAGCGTATTTTGATCACAAATTAGTGAATGCTAAAGTGGCATTGTCAGTCAAAAGGAAGGCGTTAAAAAGCTTTCCTGACATTATTCAATTAATGGGAGCGAAGTATTTAACTCCGTTGAGGTTTAAAATTCTGGCTACACTTAGATCAGCTTTGCCCTTAGCGAAAGAATTTCCAAAGATTTTGGCAGAAGCATGGGGAGCGTTCATCCACAATATTGATACTATATCACTTGGACCTCTCTTATCAAGTTTAGCAGTATCATTGATGCAGCAATTTGATTATGCTCCACATGAAATTAACAAAATATTCCAGTATCTCATTCTAAATAATGAGAATTTGTTGAGTTCTCATATCTCTGATCTATTCTTTTTAGAAGATACTAAAATATCAGAGAAAGTAAAAAAGGTTATCAAAAAGCATGTGAAGAGAACACAGCCTGAGGGATTTTTGGATAAAATTAAATGGTATTTGCAGCATTTGAATCAAGATATACCAAGTATTAAAGCATATGCTTTTTCTAATTTGGACAAACTATTAAAAAGTAATAGAACAGAAATACATAAGGCTATATTTGGAGGCAAGACTATTGATGCTGTTATGGTTGAGCTTATAGACTCATTGCTTTTAGGTAAGATACTTTTACAGATTACAAATAAATTATATTTGTAATGTATATCTTATGAACTTTACATATTTTGAATCATAAATTTAAGTTTTTAGATAAAATATATTTATAGTTTATTTTAAAGAACTTAATAAAAATGTAAACAAAAAAAAGATTGATATGAGTTTATAAGTAGACTGTTTAATAGTGATGATGATGACGACGGTTTTGTCTAATAGTAGTACAAGTAAAAAAAATCGATTAATTGATTTAATGCTGTAATTATTTATGTCAGCTTTATTTAGTTTTAAATTTTGGGATTTTTTATTAGTTTCGAACTCAATTTAATGTTATCATAATATATTAATATAAATAGTAATTTCATTTAGAGAGTGTTTCGCATTATACATCTTATCATACATTTAGGCAGCGCAAATATTATGTACAAGAAGTATTTTTTTATATGTTACAGGTTGTAAAGACAGCGATGTGAATGTTAGCGCTGTAAGCGGTGCCTGCCTTGGCCAGCTCGGGGCGATAGAAGCTGGCCACCTGCCACGGCAGTACGTGCAGCCTGACAGGTCGCCGTTTGCTTTCACTATAGGCGAGAACTGCTTCGCTGCTACAGCATTAGTGGAACTCACTAGGGCATTCCAATACGAGAAGGATACTATGGTAATGCATTGTCATCATCATAATTTTAGCAATGTTTTCTTCATAGATATTATTAAATATTATTATTTGTTATTGTGCAATAAAATTTGTACTGTATGGGGTATCATAGTTTTCCTCCCTAGGCAGACATATTTATTAAAAGTTTTTTTTTTGTAATAACACCTTTGGATGGTCTTTAAACGACATAAGTACATTTTATAATTCTTTAAAATGATTTCAATTGGTATTTTAATAATTAATGTATTATTTAATAATATAATAATAGTTATATAATATATTGTACAATATAATAATTAAATATTGTAATTAAATAAAATGAAATTATGATCGCAATGACTGTAATCTATTGGTATATATGAAAAATAAGAAATAATAAGATTATTATTATTTACATAAAGGTGATGTCATTACATACGTCAATACACATACACGCAGAATAATTATCAAGAAAATATTTTGTATTATAGATTATATTGAAAATATTTCAATTTAAAATGTGGAATTTCATATCTATAAAGAGTTTTTGTTTCGCAAAGTAAAATGGCAGTTTCGATATTCATAAGGCTAACATGTGAATATTAACTTTAACTATTTTGAAATAGTAAAGTTACTATCTTGAAAAGAATTGTGGAAATCTGTTCAGACTTGTATAAAATATAATAATTTTGAATATTTTTAAGCAATCATTTATAAAATGATATTGTAAAGTTAGGTGAATATATATTTTTTTTCAGAACATGGATTGTTATGCGTTAACAATTCAAGAAATATTAAAAATATACGATATATCACCTACTGGCAGCAAAAAAGAAGTGTGGTACAGTTTTCCAGAAAACATGCATCAAATAATGTTTCCGTTATTGAGTTCCAGGTAATTATTATTGCTGTAAATTAGACAGTTAATTATTAGTTAGATAGTTATTAGTTTCAAAATCAAGATGATTTTATTTTTATGATCTAGAGATTTTGTAAAGGTAGACTTGTGTCTTTCTTGATATAAAATTTATGCTAATATCGTACATTACTTATATTTTCACAATTTTCAGATACACACTGGCTTATCCATCACAGCCAAAGAAAGCTCATCCACTTTTTGGTTCAATATACGCCACAACTTTTCTGGAGTGGGCCCATAAGTAAGTTCTAATCTATACATAGTATGTTTTAGTTAAAAATACATGCCACATTTATTTTTTGTATGTGCTAAAGTGCTTATGTGAATACTGTGGTAAAATTTTTACAAAATGATAAATATCAAGATAATTAACAAAAACGGTATTTTAGGTTGATCAATTTGACTTGGAATGGGGTCAGTAAGGAAACTATTAATAAATAGACGTTCTCAATTTGTTTGTATATTTTTTATGTTTGTTACCTCATAACTCCGGCAGTCCTAAACCGATTTGGATTTTTTTTATCTAAAAGGATATAAATTTTATAAACATCGGTTCAGTAGTTTAATTTTTAGCTTAAAATAGCTGGTTTTGTCACAATTGAATTGTCACAAAGTTGGTTTTTTTTTTGGATACGATCTTTAATTATGTATAGACTGAGGTACTTGTAAATATATTAATATTATACACAAAGAACGCCTAGATCAATACAAGCAGACATAGTCATGAAAATAAGTGGTTGTATAGTCCAGGATTCAAATCTGAATCCTATTGACCTCACATGGCAATGTAAAACCACTAAAATATCGAGTTAGGTAATATATATGCTATAATTAGCGTAATACTTAGCATGATCTTCTGATACAGGTGATAACACTTACTAGAAGGTCACAGAAACTATCTTAGTATTGTATCAATTTTGTTACGAAATAAATATTTTTTCATTTTCAATTTTTCATAATTTTCAGTTGGGCTGGCCAATTGATTCCTCTGATAGAGTCGGAGAATGTACGCGAACTATTGCGCACTGTCCACCCGAGCATGCGTCGTGACGTCCGAACACTTTTCTTGTTCCTACCGTATGCATTGTTGCACGCCATTATGTCAAAGACAAACAACCAGTATATACAAGAGGAGATATTAGCTGTAATTGGTATGTATTAAAACACTATTTGTGTACACACAAATACAAAAAAAACGCATTACGAATTACACGATATAGGATTGCATGTCTAGTGTGTAATTTGTAGAGTAAATCATCGATGTAAAAGTGTTTTGGCAAATAAATATTCATTTCATTTCCTAGAATTGTTGTAGTTATTTGTTCAGGGATGTCAAAATGAATAATTTGAAATATGAAAATAATTTTTTTTTGCTCAAAACAACTTATTTTCTTGTAAATAATTTTAAGGTTTGGAGAATTTCGAAAATGAACAGTTCATGACAGAGAGATGTAAGTATAAAATATTACGGCACATAAGAATGACGCCCAGTGTGACTTCAGTACAAGCTGAAGAGGGAAATCAGGTCAGTTTAAGAAGTCTTGTACCATACTTATTTTATGTTGGTATAAATATAATATTCTATATATTTTATTATATGCATTACATTACAGAGTAAATGCAGTAAAACTGTGTACACACTGTTGGACTTTCTAAATAGGTGGTTATTGGAATGGTGTTATTCAAAGCAAAGACCTCTTGAGAGTCAGAATTATAAGTAAGTTTATAAATAATATTCATTACATTTTTAAAAGCACATCATAAATATTATCTTATAACAGTAGATCCTGGGCCCCCTCTACCAGAAATAAATAGTGTAGGACGCTTTTTCAGTTTAAGAGAGGAACAACTGTTCATATGGAGGCTTAGTACCGCGCATACAGTAACGCGAACTTATCATCGCTTTTGCAGAGGTATAAATTGTGTCATGTCGCTTATAAGCACTTGGTTTAAAAAATAAGTATGGGTACTGTTTTGATATCTATACCGATTTCACTATCGCTTATACTGTTCGAATATTCAAACTCATTTCGATCGGGTTATTTACTTCGATATTATATATTTGATAGTCGATAGAGATATTGCAGCTATATAGCTGTGATATCCCAATTTTATTAAAAAAACTTAAATGTTTCAGGGCAATAGCTTCTTTCTTGGAGAAATTTGACAAGCTAGCGATAGCTCGCGGGAACTTTATGTGTGGCGAGCTTGAACGTGCATTGCAGTATCTAGAGTTATATATGGACGAGAGGGCAGACAGAATGCAAGAACAATTGCCGTTGTTGGCCGAGATTTACGCACTGTTAGATGAACCCGACTCTGTAGCTGGTAACACATTTTAGTTTAAATAATTTTTACGACATAGAATTGCTAACAAGTTTATGAAGTCTCTCTTGGCGAAAAGTGGTATTCAACCTCCATTTATATATGTGGACAGTATCATGAAAATCGTTTAATACATCATGACACCTATAGTATTTCTCATGCATTGCCATTCCTGAGGACTAATGTGTATGTACACCTTACCTAATAATTTAACTGCTATATCTATCTTTCGAATCGAAATAAAGTCGGTGAAGCACAGTTGCTTGATGACAGAAAAATTAATGCTACAGAGGTGCTCATGCAGCCAACTTCAAAATAACTAAATTAAATTTTCTTTTTGACTAATAAATGAATTATATTTCAATAAGCCAGGTAAAGTATATGTATATTAAAATATATTATCAGTATTATCACAGGGAGACTTTGTACAAAAGTAGATTGCTTGGGTACCTCTGTCCCATGCGTGTTTCAACCGTGAAGCAGTTGTGTTTGCACGGCTGTGTTTCGGTTTGAAGGGTGGGATATGGCGTGAATCCTCTCAAGTGAGTCCTCAGGAATGGCAACACATGGGGGGTATTACGGGCGAAACTGTATACTCTGTTATGTTCATGGTATTGCTCATGTCTATAGGCGACGGTTACTACTTTCCATCAGGTGGGCCGTCAGCTTCTTTGCCATTCTAAGTTGTATAAAATATATATATATATATATATATAGTTGCTGAGTATTTTTTTTGTAGTTATTAATCAATTTATTGGATTATACAAATTTAGGAAATATTCTATGAAGTTTATCATTAATGTATATTTACATCTGCACTGTAATGATAGTTGTTATATTTTTAGGTATATTATCGATACAGCGGTCTGAGCCTTCACTGAAGGAATTAATTTTGGCGCAAGTGGTGACTGGGCGACTGCAAGATGCTGCCCTGTGTTACGAGAGGCTAGCGCAAGAAGGCCAATTGGATACTCATAGTTTACAAGTATGATTAAATAATACAGTTTAGATTTAATTAATAAAGTTTTGGTAGGATCATAGGAAATCTTGAATAAATATAAGAATTTTTGCAACAGCCTCATGATGATGATGTTTTAGGTTCTATTTTTGGTTAGGTTAATTTGGGAGACAATTCTTTTTTTTAAATTGGCTTTGTTTTTGGTATTTATAGTTCTGAATTCTAAATATTTTATTAATTTTTTTATATATGTTTTATTGGAAAACAATGATAATTTTAATGGAATTAAAAAAACAGTGATAAATTTTGGAATTATGTTGTCGATACAGGGGATGATAGACTGCTATTTGGGTCTGGACCAACCATTTACAGCATACCGATTGCTCAGTGAACATGATTCTGAGGAATGTATGGAGCTTGCAGCAGAACCACTATGGCGTTTGGGGCGATTTGAACAACTCGAGGAATTAGCCAAGAAACCTGTAGTGAGTATATGTTTATCTAATTAAGTTTAATTGGCAATTACACCATTACATTTTATTCCAGTCTTGTAATTTTTAATTTATTATGTATGTATGTATGTATGTATACATACATACATAATACATTTGTTTGTTTGTAATTAATAAACTCAAAAACTATTCAAACCATTATAAAAATTCTTTCACATATAGAATGCTTTATTATCAGCGAGTAATAAGCAGAGATTTAAATTTTACAAAAATTATAGACCTCTATTGAAAATTACAATAATGTTATCCAAAGTATCAAAAATTTGCTTATCAAAGCTAATATAAAGTCTTTCTATCTATCTACTCGTGCGCGGCTCACTAGTAAAATAATAATTTTAAAACCCAAGAGAGCAGTCTGTGTAAACATAATAGGAATTATGAAAGTGGAGAAAGCAGGAGATAGATTATTATTTAGGTACATTTGGTTTACATGTTTATTATAAACCTTTGTCACTTTGTCTTCCGTCTATATCTGGAAGAGTTCTATATATGCGATGGCATGGATAGAGAAATAATAATATTTTTATTTTGTAATTATTTCAGCCAGCGGGTAGAGAGAACTGGGGATTACTGATGGGTCGGATTCTCCTCTCGTTCCGAGCCCAAGATCACGAAGGGTTCTTATCGTCATGCAGAGAGACGAGGAGCAGGCTTCTGGCACAAGTTGGTTGCGAAGGGCAAGGAGAGGGGGCGCTTCGCGGGGGCTATCAGAGTATACTAGGGCTACATATAGTTACAGAGGCCGGCCACATGGAGGAAGTTTTTACAAAGTTTGTATTAAGATGTCCATATTGACATATATCTAGATATATCCACATAATAGTCATAAAATACATCAATTATTATATCAAGCAACGCCCATGACTTGTCCTTGTAATAATGGACAGTAGCTTATGTATTTTTTAAATCTAACTAATATTATAAATGTGAAAATTTGTAAAGGTGTTTGTATGTTGTACTCAATCACACTTAAACGGAACTGAATGGAGTTGAATGAAATTTGGTAGACGGATAGGTTATATCTTAATACACAGGATATTTTATATACTGATGCATGTAGGCAAAGTAGCAGAAAATTGTTAGTATAGTAATAAAGCTGTCTAAGAGTATTAGAGTAAATGTGATATTATTGTTGTATTTGTAAAAATAGTTACTTTAAAATATTTAATATAATAAATCTTGTTTGAATTTTTTATAGGTAATTTATTATATTACTGCTTTATATAGGTATATATAATTATATCATTAAAATTTTTTTGTAGACTTAAAAATATAAATGATGGCGATAGACAAGGGATGGATATAATAAATCAGTTATTAGACGAATGGCGTCGAAGGCTTTCAGTTGTGCAATCTGACGTACGCACAATTGAGCCATTGTTAAGAATACGGAGAATATTTTTGCAACAAACACAGGCAAGTTCATACAGTTAATAATAGCAATTATTAGTATTCATAACTGATTAGTAATCTATAGTGTTTATGAATGATGTTATGAAGTTAGGGTATTACGATTATCAATTATTACTAAAATAATTTACTATCATGTATATGAGAATAAATCAACCTAATGAAATACTGGTGGTTTGTATGATAATAACGCTTTATGACAAACTTAAGATACAAACCAAAAAGGTGACTTACATCTGATGATAAAGGGTACTGTTATTTCTTTGTATATCATAGTAGTCGATGCTGTAATCTATGAAAGCTTGTAACACTAGGATCTAGGATTTAATGGTTAGTTTCTAGAGAAAATCTTGTGATCTCAGAGAAGTTTCACGGGAGGAAACGCGTCTGAAGCCGCAATTTGATTTAAGTTTATTATTTTTAGGAATTGTTGGAGCCAACTCATCCTATGACCGCGAACAGGCTGAAATCATGCATAGGAAATCTTTGGTTACAGAGTGCGAAACATGCCCGCAAAGCTGGTATATTTCAGCAGGTAAATATGATTACGATTTATCTTGTATAACTATAACAACTCATTTTCACAATTGGGTACGGTTTTTTAGCACATACTTGGCAAATATCTAGCTTTTTGTCCGCTACTTTGTATGGATCGATTTGAGACGTAGGACAATCAATGAAATAGACTTCTAAATGGCGTATCCAGATGAAACGTACACTAGATTTTAAGTAAGACCTCCTAGACACAACTGTGAAAACCGTATCCAATTCATTGCAATAGACAAGAAAAATTATAAAAAAAGGTATAATTCTAGGTATATTTCAAAAAGGTATAATTCTAAGGTATAAAGTAAGATTTTTCTTATTTCCAAGCTATAAGTAAGTCACTGAAAGTGTTGAGAGTTAAATTTAATATTTAGCTTACATGGATGATATTCTCACCACATTTTGAAAACAAAGCATAACTTAATAACTACAAGACCTAGGACTAGAAATTTTAGTATTTTTGTTGTTGTTATTGTTAGATAATAGGTCTCACTATCTCCCATAACCCGTTGGTCCACTACTTACGGTACACCCTGTATGTTATTGAGCTTTATTCTCTTAGTCTCTCTACAACACCTAGGAATGAAATACAGTGGTTTTTACTTACTATTTAGTGGTGATCATATATTGTAATAAACCCCTTATTTCCAGTCATACATGTATATACTGAACGCAGAAGAGTATCAGCCAGAGGAATTGTTCATAGAGAAGGCAAAGATGTACTGGGCGCGTGGGCAGCATGACCACGCCTTCACCACTCTGCGTAGAGGATTGGATGATGCTTACCCTAATATTGAACAACTAAATAATGAACAGAGGTAGTTAATTCAATACTAAAATCAGTGATAGTATTCGGAAAAATTAACATTTTCATAAAAAAGTTTGATATAAGATTTTTTATTTTATACTAGCTTTTTGCCCACTACTTTGTATGCGTGGATTTCAGAAGTAGGAAAACCAATGATATAGATTTACATAAGAACATTTTAAAACAGTTTATTAAGGTAAAGCGCATTTCAGTTATTAAGTTACATCTTCAGGAATAAAACTGAATACCGTATGTATATGTAAAATAGACAAAATTTCGAAAAAACATTGTTTTGGCTTTTGTTGCTCTTAAAAAAACCCATTATATACAGTGTCTAGTTTATTATTAAAATAGTTCCTATATCTACCCAATTTATTTGCGGCAATAGTCTCTAAAAATATAGAAAAAACAACAACGCACAACTACTCTTTGGAATCAACTTCTAGCCAGCAGTATTTTCGAACCGATACGACATCATGATCTTTAAGAAAAGAGCATATTCCTTTTTAAAAGGTCGACAGCACACCTGCAATGCCTTTGGTGTTGTGGGTGATAATGGGCGGCGGTAGTCACTTAACATCAGGTGAGCAGCATGCTCGTTTGGCCCCTTGTGTTATATATATATAAAAAATATATTATTCATGTACTAAAAAAAGTGACAATTATTGGATTGACTTCTATTTTAAAAGTCTCGTCAATAATTTTATTTTATAACAAATAGTGTTAAATATCGGTTATCACAATTTTCAATCTTCAATGCACAAAATATGATTGAATTTTAATTACTTTCTTTAAGAACAAAATTCGAATGTTATTAAATACATCACATAGTATACAGTGTAGTCAAGTGTTTGTATGAAGGATCAAACCATTTTTTTTTGTATATTTTGATCTTTGATTAATTGACATATACCATCCTTTGGTTTCGGATAGTTATACACTTGTTATATATTTGTATTTTCTTACAGAAAAACATGTGCCAAAGCGAAACTTTTGATAGCCAAATACAACGACGAGACTACCAACGTTGATGTCGATGTCAATATCGGCTACTACAAGGAATCTGTGGACGTCTTCAAACAGTGGGAAAAGAGTTTGGTACTGTCGATTATATATATTATATTTGCACTAGAAGATTTATTACTTAAATTATGTTCCACAAAAAAAAAAACCGTCTTCAATTATGGCAAAACCAGTTATTTTGATTTAAAAACTTAATTTCTGAACCGATTTCGATAAGATTTCTATGGGTCCAATTTGTAAACATATCTTTTCAGATAAAAAATAATTTTTCAAATCTCTTTACAACTGAAAAAGTTATAGGTTACAAATGTAAAAAAAATACAATCTAATTGAGAACCTCTTTATTTTTTGAAATCGGTTAAAAATATAAATAAATTTGAAAATGGAATAATTTTCCATGTCTTTATTTTTTTATTGTTGTACGTCGGTGTGTAGTTGTCAAGTATACATTTATGGTGCATGATGGCTATTTTATATACACCAGTCATACTTGAGCGAACCTTGTGACTCCGAATACAACTTAAGTCACAGTAATCTGTAAGTTTCGGAACACAGCATGCAAGCAAACTCTTTGGTACTAGAATTAATACATTACACAACCTATTAGTCTCATGTCTCAGAGATGCAAATTGTTCGAAAACCTTGTATAGTGTTTTAATATTCAGATTTCAGGTTAATAGTACGATAATTGTAAGTAATAACATTACGGTTTAGCGTTTTGAAAAGTAAGCATAATAATTTATATTAACGTAATAGGTTTGCCTCGGCTCATACTACGAGAAAGTAAGCAGCGGCGAAAATGCATCGAATCCCAGCATTATGTGGATGCGGAAGCGGTACGCCCTCGATAGCTATGGAAAAGCGTTACAGTACGGGCACAAGTATTTATATCAGAGCATGCCTAGAATGCTGTCTATATGGTTAGTTCAATTTAAATAGATAATTATAATTTGTATTTATTTATTTAGCTCTTTATTGCACCATAGACAAAAATATACAATGACAAGTAAATAATTCAAGTGAAATACAGTAACTTAAATACAGATTGAAGTATACAGGTATATAAAGGTACAAAAGGCGATCTTATCGCTAGGGCAATCTCTTACAGACAACCTTTGATTAAAGGAGAATGGATAGAAGTGGGTAGGTATCGCAATAATATTTATAATTGTATTAATTTATCTTCTAAATGTGTGTAAGAAATTGGACAACGAACATATCCGAGGATAGAGTATGCAGTCCCAAATTAAAAAAAAAGTCCGTTTATGTTATTGGAATGTTTAGGTAGATCAGGATAAAAAGTAGCCTTTGTTCAAATAGTAGATACATATCAAATTTTAAGACGATCGGTTGAACTGTTAAGGTGCTAAGAGATAAACTCATTTTCAGGTTATAAATAATAACAAGGATGATTATTTTAGATCGAAACAACATAATTCAATTACACAAAATGCAGTCAGTGGTAATTTGTTTACAGGTTGGACATGGAGGTAACATCAGTGGATACAAGCGCACATACAATATTGGCGCAAATGACGGAGATTATAAAAACTTATTCCGAAAGATTGCCTATTTATTTATATTTGACTGCATTTTCACAGATTGTGTCAAGAATTTGTCACCCAGTTAAAGAGGTACAAGTATACTTTAATAAAAAATTGTAGCATTATAAGCAACAACTCTTTTTTTTACAACTTTTAAATAACTAGCTAATCTAACATACTTTGTTTTGTTGCTCATAGCCATTCACAGGATCCACATTTTCTCATACAAACAGGATGGTTTTTATTCTGTTTGTTACTGAAATATTTTGATTTTTCGCTTTTTTATAAAATGTAAATATTTGCTTGCTTATACGTCACTTAAGGCAATTAAACAGTCGCCAAAATAGCACTGTGTGGCTTTTGTTAACAATTTTAAGACTGTTTAATGCAAATAAACTCATTTAATTTCATTTGAATATGTATTGTATGTTCTAACAAACAATCATTATCATCATATTATCTGTTAATTGTCCACTGCTGAACACTTTCTCTTGGGTTTTGCCAGTATTTACCACGTTTGATAGACGGGTTAGCAACCGCAGTTAGGCTTCGGTGATGTTTTAGTGGGGATCCTGCCTCCCATCCGTCGAACATTAAATTCTCTTAAGTGCCTCTTACGACACTCACGGGAAAGGAAGTGGCCCATTCTATGCCAGGACCACACTGCAAAGGATTCATATATATTGAGATATATGCTGTAATATAATTTTGTTTCAAATTAAAATGTTTAACTTGAAATAAAAAACACTGATGGCTAAAATAGATTTATTAGACGTTTGACATATTTATGAATAAGGGTATTAAAATTTGAAGTGTTTTATCTTGTACTGAGAGACGGTAATAAAAAATAATGGGTAGAAAAAGATTATCGTCGCCTTCGTATCGGCGAGTTTCTTTAGCCTATTTAATAGTAACGAAGTTTCATAACTTTTCCAAAGTTTTAATCTAGTTACTAAGTTCACCATTAAATAAGCAATTTTCCTGTATAGAATATTGTATAAAATATTAATATCTAAAGATAGAATACGTAGTCTGGAGCTTAGGTTTTATTGGGTTTTTAAATCTAAAACTAATATTAGTCGCTAATTTTATTGGACACTACGAAGAAAGTTGGGACTGTTAAGAGGATTACGAATGTCATCATTAAATTATTGTTAGGTTCGTGACAGTCCAAGGGTATATTAATAAGTCAAAGGAGGTCGTGTGTTATGAGAAATTAAATATTTGATTATTTATTTATAGGATCACCAACATAAGATACAGCTAAACATTTCAATACAATACACTGGTAGATTAGATCTAACTGTTCTCACATTTATAGGCAATCACAGCATGCCTTGTGTTTAATAAACAATAAAATAGAATTAAATTATTAAATGGCAGTATTAAATAATATCATCGTTGTCGTCATCTCAGCCTTTAGTCCACTGCTGAACATAAGCCTTCCTCTTGGAGGGTTTTGCCAGTAGTTGCCAAGCTTGGCAGGCGGATTGGCAACCGCAGTCAGGCTTTAGAGATGTTTTAAGAGGGATGTTGCTGCCCATCCCTCGCCCTCCGTAGTCGGCTCTTATTACACCCACGGTAAAGGAAGTGGTGGCCTATTCTATGCCCGGACCACACGGCTAAATTAAATAATATGGCGGCTACGAATTGTTTGAAAGTTGAGATTATTATTTGAGTCAAATAATGCTCGCAACTTTTTAATAGTTATATAATTTTGGTACTTTTTTGTGGTTTTATTGTTTTCTTGTTATATAGATAGTTGGGATATGGTGTGAATTTACAGGGTACAGAGGAATAACACCTTAGGAGTGGCAACGCATGGGGGGTATATATACGCATGGGCGAAACAGTATACTCTGTTATGTCCATGGTACTGCTCATGTCTATAGGCGACGGTTACCACTTTCCATCAGGTGGGTCGTCAGCTTATTTGCCATTCTAAGTTGTATAATATATATATATATATATATATATATATATATATATATAGATATTTTTTTTTTTTGTATTCCCGCCCTACTATTGGTTTACTGAACTGCACTGACCTGACTTCATCCTCGTAAGGTAAGGTCAGTTGGCCCATCGTGATTAATTTATCAGAAACTAACCACGATGGTTTTCAGGTAGACGGCAAGGAGGTCGGCCTCATAAGGTAAAATGCTTACAACAAGGAAAACTTCATTACTAACAATTTTCCCTCCTCGTTATGCAGGTGTACCTCCAGTTGAAAGCTATAATAGTGAAATTGATACTGGCGTACCCTCAACACACGCTATGGATGATGATGTGCGTGATCAGGTCAGCGTACCCGCAGCGTATAAAGCGCTGTGCCGATGTATTTGCCGACCCTCGACTCAAGGAGCCCCATATGCTGAAACTGGTCAGCGACTTCACGCAGCTCGCTGAGAAGTTGATAGAACTGTGTAATAAGCCGATTGTTAGTAGTGCCACGGTGAGTATGAATTTTGTGGTTTGAGAAACCTTATTAATTCTTACTAATACTATATATGTGAAAGTGATACCGCCTTAATAGTTACACTAAACACTGAAATTTAGTATACGTGTGCTACATGAGATCAAGAAGGACATAAACTGCTGTTTATTCTGGTCAGTGGACATATTCCGGTTGCGCGAAAGAAGGAACGGGTAAAAGCTAATATGGGTTATATTTCTGAAAGTTTGATTGCTTGGGTACCTCTGTCCCATTCGTATTTCTACCGTGAAGCAGTTGTGTTTGCACGGCTGTGTTTCGGTTTGAAGGGTGGGATATGGCGTGAATTTACAGGGTACAGAGGAATAACACCTGAGTCCTCAGGAATGGCAACGCATGGGGAGTATCATGGGCGAAACAGTATATTATGTTATGTCCATGGTACTGTTCGTGTCTATAAGCGACGGTTACCACTTTCCATCAGGTGGGCCGTCAGCTTGTGTGCCATTCTAAGTCGTATAAAAAAAAAATGTTTTGTTGTGAACGATAAAAATTAATGGACATTTGAATGATAGATACAAATGGGCCATTCTTAGATTACTATATAGGGTACATTTTGTCTTTATATTATGCGGTCAATAGGGATTTAGCTTAAATTTTATTTTAGATTCATTGATTTTCGTTAGGTTTCCTTTACTCATTCCTTATTAACGACATTATTGTCTCAACAGTCAACAACCGTGTCTGCCCTTGTTCGCACCCTGCCTCGCTTGCTTGCCAGTGAGAACTTCAGCCATATAATGATGCCATTTCAAGAGTTCTGCAAGATAGTCTTGCCTTCAAAGGCGGCGAGACAAGAGCGTATCGACTTTAACATACCTGTGGAACCGCCCGTGTATATAGCCGGCATCGAGGAACATATCAGTATACTGCCATCGCTCCAGAAGCCTAGGAAGGTGACGTTGAGAGGTTAGTAGATTAAGGTTTTTAATTTTATCTAATGGCTAGTATCATAATAATGTTTTGTATTATTTCAACTTACTTATTTACTGTATTTCTTATTTTTGTAGATAAATAAATAAAAAATAAATCTTTCTCTCTCTCACTCTCTTGTTTTGCTACACATTTATTTATGATTATACTATTTACTAATTGCATTATAACAACTTGCAATTTACTCATTGCAAATTGTTATAATAATTGTTATTATTTTTCTCACCCGCTTAGAAATTTTTCCATCACACAATTATGTCAATATTATTTTCATATTTTAATAATATTTCTACTTCTGTTTTGGTTATTTTATATTTGTTACTGAATACTTGTAGATTAAGGTTATCTCTGTTATAGGAGACATAAATTCTCATGTGTAGATTGTTACATTGTTATATTGTTTACTTAGAGCACAAGTAAATACGCGACAAAACCAACTTGTAAATAGTAACATTGCACAAGGTTAAGAAGTCCGCTGTGACGTTGAACTGTGTTAAGTGTTGGCTTATGAGATTAAATAAATTATGCTTACCTAATACGATGATAAATATGATTTATAATTTTCTTTTTTTAACTTTATTACTTCTATGGATGTCATTTTAGTTATATAAGTTGGCATTAAATAGATTTGACTTTATGAGCTTGTTTAAAGTAATGGGTTTAGTGGTATCGTTGCTAGCTGGTGGGACCAGACGGCCTACTATGAAATATTTTCCGTTATTTCGGGGCCGAACGAAGCTCAAATTTTATGTTAAAATTACATAAAACAAACCGTTTAAAAATGTTAAAATATCAATCCTTTGGATTTTTATGGTAGGGTTTATGGTATGTTATTTGATTTAATAAGTACGGCATTTTTTTATGCAACTGATTTTTATGAAATTTTATGGAAAGTGGTAATGTTATCTATAGACATGAACAATACCATGGATATAACATAGTATACTGTATCGCCCATGAAGGTGTTGTCTTTGTACCGTGTAATTTTAATAAATTTTTTTCCTGCACTTAATTGATTAATATTATCCATTGAGGCGAATGTCTTAGTAAATATTTTAGGGTCTCATAACATTATTAGTCAAATTACATATAAAACATGTAATTTGTTTATATTTTTGCTTTGTATTAAACAGGTTCCGATGGTAAAGCCTACATAATAATGTTGAAGCCTCGTGACGACCTTCGCAAGGATTATCGCCTCATGGAGTTCAATGGGGTGGTGAACAGGTTCCTGCAGGACGCGCCGGAGACACGCCGCCGCCGTTTGTACATCAGGACGTACAGTGTGCTCCCGTTGAATGAAGAGTGTGGCCTTATTGAGTGGGTGCCAAACTTGGTCGGACTCAGGCCTATACTGATGCACATTTATAAACAAAAAGGTTATATTTATGAGTATTTTTTTGTAAATGAGACTGATAGATAGATATATAATTTATTTGCATTACTTAGAACACAAAAATAACAACAGATTTAAATAAATACCTTTCAAAACATATCTAAAGCCTGACTGCGGTTGCCAATCCGCGTGCCAAGCGTGGCAACTACTGGCAAAACCTCCCAAGGGGGAGGATTATGTCCAGCAGTGGACCGTTAAGGGCTGATATGATGATGACGATGATAATAGATACATGCGTAAAAAAAAAAAGAATAAGAAGGAAAATACAGAAGTAATTAATTGATCATTTCGTAAGTGTGCCACAGTAACTAGACTGATAAGCCTATGCAAAGTCGTTACTATATACAAAATTGATATCAACACTTGTATCATGAAGTTTTAATTATGTTTCTGGTTGATTTCATAAATAATTTCTTATATATTAGAGAAGTTAAATCGTTTCTTCAATCTTGACCAACGTCCCGTGAGACCAGCATGGTGAGTATTCGTACAAAAAGATAATAATCAAAATCGGTTTTTTTTTGATGAGTGAAAATGGTATGGTAACCCCGTCTGCACTAACGGGATACACTGGCGGAGTACCAGTGAAGGGTGATAGATGAGAATGAAAACAGGCCAGTTAGCCCATCATGATGAATTCATCAGGAATTAACCATGATAGTTTCTAGGAAGAACCGCGAGAAGGTGGATCTGGTAGGGTATATTGCTAGCAATAGGATTCTCAGTCTTCATTACTAACAATCTCTTTCCCCCCAATCAAAATAGTTTAACATTAACGAAATTAGCATATAAAATGGGTAATATTGGCTAATTGAGACCTCTTGAATTATTTCGGCTACAAGTCAATCACAATTAAACTGATTTATCTTTATAGGGATTCACACAAGTAATCGAGAGCTTAAAGAATTAATGTGCTCTAACAAAGATCCAGTGGAGAAGAAAAGGCGGATATATGAAGAGCAGTTGCTTCGTAGGCATCCCCCTGTGTTCCAGGAGTGGTTCAGGCGGGTGTTCGCCGATCCATATGGATGGTGATTATTTGTATTTTTAATTTGAATTTATTTTGATGACAAAAAGTTTCGAATTTTTCACGTTAACTTAACCGTTGGCTTCATATGGATTCAAATTTAAAACTAAATGTCTGCAAAATTGAGGGTAACATTATTGTAAGTACGTTATAAAATCGAGAAATCTTGGTATCAAAAATCTATTATAGTGTTTATAAATATTGGTCAATCTGTCTACGTGAAAATTCTTAATAAGACTAAAAATTATGAATCCCGTTTTAGCTATTTATTTGTAACTAGCTTTATACCCGCTCTTTCGTACATTTGGATTTTGGAAGTAGGAAAGTCAATAAAATAGATCATTTCTAGTTAGAGTATCAAGATAAAGCATACACCAGATTCTAAATTAGTCCTTCAGAAACACAATTGTGAAAACTGGGTACGTTCAATTTGGTGCAGTGGTTTTTGCGTGACCTTGAAACGTGACAGATAGTGATAAATTCGTATAGTTATTGGTTTTGGCTTCCATTAAGAACTTTCATATAAATTTTTGTTAGATATTTTTTACGTAGAGACATCGTCTAGTTAAAATTTTATTATATAGGTAAGATAAAGGTAATACATATAACAAAACATTTTCCATTCCATAAATAGTTACATATACATCAACATAACATATGTGTATGTTATTATGTCGCGATGATTTACAACTAATACCGCTTCTAAGAAAGACATTACGTACAGATTTATTTAAACGTCGTATACCATATTTCCCACAATATTATCACTGTTATGACAAATTTGTCGTGTCCATTGCGACCATGCTAACTATGAAGTAAGTAAACACAGAAATATTGAAAATATTTTGTGTGGACTGTCGACGGAATACATTTTTGAGAATGTCACATTATGTTAACAACGTAATAAGTTACCGTCTAATTTAATGGGATAGATAAACAATGGTATATCTGATGGATATATATATGGATGTAAGTAATCGTCTCCTTATGCAGTTGACTATGTTGATATTATGCCACTGAAGTCTAATTAACGAAAATAAATATAATAAATGTATTTTCATTTATTATATTTACGTTAGTTCACGTTATTTAATAAAATTCAATATATTTTATAAAAAGTTTGTTTTAGTGTGAGGATTAATGTTTTCTCTCTTTCTTTACTAGCTTTATAATGAAAATTCAGTTATATAAAAAAATAAGTGAATAATAACATTGTGATATAAAACTTCTCATACATCCATTTTAGCTATTGAACTGTTTTGTTTCTTTCTTTGGTGCTAAATTCCTAATTTGAAAAAGTGACAAAACAGTGTGGTAGTTGAAATAGGTTTTAGTTTTAGGTTTCTCTTTAAGATCGCAACAACAACAAATGATTTCTTCTTGCTTTTTAGTAAAAATACGTAACATAATGTGAATTGTTTTGTACCAAATTACGAGTATATTGGTCAATAAAATTTAAATAATTAAATAAATTGCTCAGATGAATTTTAGAACACTGTAACTCAAGTAAATTTAGTTTATAATAGTTATACAATAATATTTATTTTATTGGTTGCAGGTACCAAGCCAGGTCGGCCTATATTAGAACCACAGCCGTTATGTCTATGGTCGGCTATATTTTAGGTATGATATTCAATGTTTTGTCTTCAGAGACCTCCAAAAATGTTAATTCAATTTGTCAATTTACTCTGTCTGATTATTTTGTTAAAGTTGTAAATTGGTTTTCAGTTGACACAATATGTTTACCAAAGATTATTTAATAATCTATGCAGTCGATATGTTAAAGCGTTGTCTGTTATGAGCCTATAATTCATTTATTCTAATACTATCTTATTATTAAAGATTAAATTAGAAATATTGTTTTTTTATCCTTAAATAATAATGGAGATGTCGGTGAAGGCTGTCCTAGACGGATATATGTCGACCAAATAGGTGATGTTCTAAAAAAAGACTGAAAGTTTTGAAAGAATCCGTAATCGGCGAGCTTGAATGAAGAGGTTGATGAATATGGAGGAAGAGAAAGAGTTCTGTTTGAATCAGAACATTTGCCGTTCCGTCTACCTAAAGAGGATACAGGTCTGACGGATATGTATGTATGATTGTATGTATGAATGTATGTATGTTAGATAATTTCGACGTTTGCATGAATGTATAAGTTACGGTAAAAACGCTCATTAAGTAATTTGTTTATTTCCCAGGACTGGGTGACAGACATGGTGAGAACATATCGTTTGATTCCACAAATGGTGATACTGTACACGTGGACTTCAACTGTCTCTTCAACAAGGGCGAGGCCTTCGAGTGGCCCGAAAGGGTACCCTTCAGGCTTACCCACAACATGGAGGCAGCTATGGGACCGCTGAAACATGAAGGCATGTTTAGGTAATTTTTTTAAAATGTAATATATAATAATGGAACCTGATTATTCCTGTTTACAATATAGGTTGTCCCTGATGACACCAGAGGGAGACATTGTACAGAAGTTGGCTGTATGACTACCTCTCTCGCAATAGTGTTTACATGACTGTGTTCCGGTTTAAAGGGTGGTATATGACAATGAAATTACAGAGTACGGAGGCATAACACCATGGTATAATCCACGAGTACCGCATTGTATTATGTGGTATCCATGATATTATTCATATGGTTTATAGGTGACGGTTACTATTCTATTCTTCTATTAGATACATCTTTAGCTTGTTTATTATTAAAATTATTTATAAAACAAATTATCATTTGTTTATATCCATTATACAAGATCTGCTTAATTTAAAACTAGATGGCGTTGTGTTCAGGTTAATCACAAAAAGATTGCCATTTAAATGCCTTTATTTAAATTTAGAAAAAGCTGCGAGGCGGTGATGCGTGCTCTGCGTGCGCAGACTGCGGCATTGATGTCAGTGATTGGACCGTTTGTATACGATCCGCTGGTATCATGGGGTCACGCCCGATCCGTCGATGCCGAACGGACAAACGAACAGGCGTTACTGCATCTCATGCACATACGGCAGCGGCTTAACGGCATGGTGAGATGGTTATTGTGTATGCAATAATATGTTTGTTAAAGTAAATAGGACTTTTGTCTATACTATGCTTCTTATTTGGATCGTGGTGTCTTGAAATATGGGCAACCAGATGGAGACTTTGTACAAAAATCGTTTGCTTGAAACCTCTATCCCATTCGTGTTTCTACTGTGAAGCAGTTGTGTTTGCATGTTTGTGTTTCGTTTTTAAGGTTGAGATATGGCAGTGAATTTACAGGGTACAGAAGAATAACGCCTGAGTACTCAGGAATGGCAACACATGGGGAGTATCATGGGCGAAATAGTATACTCTGTTATGTCCATGACACTGCTCATGTCTATAGGGGACAGTTACCAGTTTCCATTAACTAGGCCGTCAGCATATATGTCATTCTAAGTTGCATAAAAAAAATCATTCGAGGGATACTGAGTAATATACTCTCATAAGACAACCCCTTTAGAAGCTGTCCTCGTCAATTCGTCACGATGGGCCAACTGAACTTACTTCATCCTCACATATCTCCCTGGTGCGTCCGTATACCGATGGTGCAGGCGAAGTTTCCATTTCATGGTCATAAAAAAAATCAACTAGATTAGAAAAAACCTGTTTAAACTATTGCCAACCGATTTATTGTTTTAATCGAAATACTTCTGTAATGATTTTAGTCAAGATTAGTCATTGTCTTGTGGAACTAATCGCTGTGGTCATAATTGCTTAATTCAAATATTTAATGACATTACAGGTGAAAACGAAAAATAAACAATTGTCACTTTCGCTATCGCCGGAAGGACAAGTGGAGCATTTGATCGTCGAAGCCACCAGCATTCATAATCTTTGTCAGATGTATATAGGATGGGGACCATTTTTGTAACTAAGAAGAAACAATTATAATTTTGTGCCTTTCCGTGTTACAACCCAGTAATATTTAAGTAAGAAGGCTGTGTTAATTGTACGACGTCATTCTTGTTTTTACTTATTGATTGTAATTACATGATTAATACATTTGAAAGAAAATTCTACTTTTGTTTTTCTATTTCATATCTTTATGGGGCCATTTTTTACATGACGAGTGATGATATATGAGCAAATAGTAATTTGAAGGTATGTTACACTAAGATTCGTAAATAGATGAGTTTAGACTGTGAAAATTAGATTAGACCAATCATAAGAGTTAAATTCTCCAAAATTTTATCTTAGGTATGCACTTAATTTCATAAAAGTCAAAAGATACAATCATGAAAAATAAATCGGAGATAAAAAAAAGCTATTTGGGTTGTCATTTTAGTATGTAGGTACTAATTATTATATACATATTAATAATGAAGCGTGATTTTTAAATCCCCGTGATATCTCGACGTCAACCTCTATTTTTTTCTCTAAATTGTATTTGGTATAATTTGTTCCATTTTATTAAGGGGAAACGACGTAGGAGTACATTATACAATAAGGAAAAATATTTTTATCCTAATTTATAAACAAATTAGGTATAATAAAATGTCGATTTATTTTATTTTTTATCTTATCGTAACAGTCAAATAACATTCAAGTTTGCTACATGTGATAGACATTTTAAATACCCAATGGCACGTCTCTGAAAGTTTAGAACAACGAATAAGTGATTTCCAGATTGGGCGAGCTCAATAGGTATCTACTTGTACCTTTGCTAAACTAATTTTGACTCTAATATGAAGGCCTTTGTGTGAGCAATAAATACATGTAGCTACATAGTTTCAATTCAATTTAGTTCAAATTATATATTGCAGGAATATGGGTACATATATTAGGTGAAAATACTTTCTATAAGTCCATTATTTCACATTCTATCATATATATGTATATACATATATGTAGTTTATCAATTACTCTTCAGAAAAATATCCGTGTGGTTAGAATATAATACAATGTTTCACGTCTTTTACATACGAAATAGAACAAAAAATCAAAGAACTATACACTAGTGGAAGTCAAGGAAATCTCGAAATAAAACTCTGTCACCAAGGTAACAGGGGTCTACCAGAGCAAGGTTTTGTCGTTTGATGGCAACTCAACTCTGTCTCATTCGTCATGACATATTTGTCTTCAGGAATGACAATAAATTAGGGGCATCATGGGTTTCACACTATACTTCGTGATGTCAATGGTGATGATCACATATATAGGCTATGGTTACCATTAATACGAGTATATCAAATTAACAATAACCATTATAATCAGGCTTGAATAGACCTAAACGTGTGACGAAATAGATGACGTGCTGAAGAAGGATCAAATTAAAAGTACCTGTAACTGGCAAGCGTATATGAAAGGATCGATAAATGTGGAAGAAGCGAGAGAAGTTTGTTTGAATCGAAGCTTTTGTCATTCCATTGTTTCTGCCTATCCTAATGGGAGACGGGCGTCACAGATATATATGTATGGTCCTCATTTGTTTGCTATTATAAATAGTACCTATTTATAAAAAGTAGCCTAATAACTATTTACGGGGAGATTCCTGATAATTATTTTATTTTGAATCCTGAGGAAAAATCCTTGGCACAATATGGGTATCTATGGGAAAAAATAAAAAAGTCGTCCACGAATGACGTTGAGAGCATAGCTAATATGCATAGCTATGTGGAAGGAAAAGTATTGTTGTAATGAGGATATAACACGATGCTAGCAATATTCCTCTATGTTCGCCTTGGAAACCATATTGGTTAATTCTGTATGAATTGGTCACTATAGGCCAATTATCTGCTTTTGTTCTTACCTGTCGTCTCTCATTGGTGCTCTGCCAGCATATATGGATAGCGCAGGCGGTTTTTATTTAATGGGTGATGATGGAACAGTAACCCCGCCCACACTAACGGTTTACGCTGATGGGGCACCAGTGAGTGATGATAGGTAGTCAGTTAGTCCATCGTGATGAATATGCTTGGAATTCAGCACAATGGTTTCCAGGGAGGACCACGTGGAAGTCGACCAGGTTGGGTATATTGCTAGCAATGGGGCCCTTAGTCTTAATTATTAACAATCCTTCCTCCCCCCCCCGCGCAGGTGGGGTTACCATTCCATTATTACATCTTAAAAAAGAAATGTAGCTATGTAGGTGTAACATACTTACAATACACAAATACTTACAATTCTAATAACGACCAATGTCTCCCAATTCTCCGAACAGATGTAGTCATCTGATATTGGCCAATTGCGATGGGTATCTATACATAAATATTAAAAATAATTATGTAACTATTTAGGTTACATAATAGAGAAAGTTACACTATTACTTATCGTTTGTTGAAAGATAAACAACTTTAGTAAGTCTATGCAACTTTGGTATTGGATAAGTTGTCTAATTATTATCAAATTATTAATTCACTGGATCATTATTGCCTAGCCTACAATGTAAAGGATCGATCAAGCCTGTTGATTTTATATGAAATAATCATCTAAATTATAGTATTATAATCTATTTTCACGCGAAGTCTCTTACGCGGTAGATAGAGAGAACCGAGCACCGAAGACTTATTCTTACATACATCTCTTGTTCCCTGCTGTTATTATTACCGGGGTTACCATTCTGGGGTACTAAGTAGATACTTAAAATATCTATAACACAATATATTTATTCATATAATTATCTGCACACCTATACATGCATAACTAAAGTAATAAGTAAGTATAAGATTGTTATGAAAATTGTAGTTACATATATAGTGGATTTATTTAGTTACGAGACAAATCGAGGATACAGAATAGAGGACACGGAGGGCCTCCAGCTGAAGTCCATCACACTCCATTGTTATACTTACTATTGTTTGTACTCTATTGTAACGCTCGTGATTGATTTGCTTTTGTCTGCCTTTTTTACCATTATCTAATTGCATAACTAGATTTCGCTTCACAACCTTGAATTGAACATTATTATTTGAGTGACAAAAAGTTACCTACACAGTCATTTGTGATTGTATTTTTTGGTTTTATGCACACTTGTAACTGGTTTTTGATTATTTAAATTTATCGAGCTGACCGAACAGGTAATATACGTACAGTAACTTTTTTTTATTATAGGGTAACAAGTGTCTTTACTTGCAACACTTATCTTAATATTAAGAAGTAGAAATGTCAACAGGATAGTACCATTTTTTAATTAACTTGGAGTGACAAATAATCAGACGAGCGTAATGGAAAATTTTATTTAAATGTCGTGTCGTTCCTACAAGCACCTGATAGGAGTGCTACGGTCATCACAGAATATACTCTGACGTCCATGATATACTCTTATATCCTTCGTTTGTTGCTAATTTTGAGGACTATGGCTATGTTTGCTCACCCTGTGATTTTACTACTATATACTTCATTTTTAAACTTGAACTCAGTCACGTGACTGTGTTCAAGTTTAAAAATGTTCTGAGGTGACAGGGATAACTACTTAGCGACTGAAAACTAAACAGGATAGGAGTATACAAACATTCTGACGATTTTAATATAAACCCAACTGTCTACCTCTGGTAATTTAATTGATACTAACTGATAACCTGTATCTACTAAAAATTGATAAAATGTCGGATGTTGGAAAGAAGGGGTCTTCATTAACTGTGGGTGTCGTAAGAGGCGACTAAGAAAGGGCGAGGGATGGGCAGCAACGTCTTAAAACATCTCTAAAACTTAACTGCGGTTGTCAATCCACTTGCCAAGCGCGACAATTATTGGCAAAACCTTCCAAGTGGGTGGCTCATGTTCAGCAGTGGACAGTTAATGGTTGATATGATGAATTCATAATCAATATTTATGTAAGTCACGTAGTGGTTGTATATTGTATGTAGATAAATTTATTTCAATGCTTAGTTCTTAAGAAGTATACGTGGTATAAGTATATACCACGAGGGAGACTTTGTACAAAAGTCGATTGCTTGGGTACCTCTGTCCCATTCGTGTTTCTACCGTGAAGCAGTTGTGTTTGCATGGCTGTGTTTCGGTTTGAAGGGTGGGATATGGCGTGAATTTACTGGGTACAGAGGAATAACACCTGAGTCCTCAGAAATGGCAACGCATGGGTGGTATCATGGGCGAAACAGAATATTCTGTTATGTCCATGGTACTCATGTCTATAGGCGACGGTTACCACTTTCCATCAGGTGGGCCGTCAGCTTGTTTGCCATTCTAAGTTGTATACACAAAAAAAAAATACCACAAGGTTTTATTAAACGAAACCGAACATTTTCCTCAAGTAAGTATTTAGTCGATTTACGCAAAATAACTTTCAACTTTCGCTTTTAAAATACGTATGTTCCTAGAGAAAAGTTATTAGGTTCCATAAAATTTGTCATCGAGTATCTGCTGGGTCAGTATCTATATATATCTGTTTGATTATACCTAATATAAATTCAATTTTGAATAACTGGTTTTGTTTAAGGATAAAATCCTGTTTGATAACCCAAATAAGAAACGAGAATTTAATTTTCCTTGTGGAATATGAAATTAAATACTCTCAGGTTTTCTACCAGGAACAAATATCCTGTTTGTAAATAAATTATTCCGTACGTATTCATAACTTTGTATCAAGTCTTTAAAGGCTACGTAGAGAGAATCGAGTGCCTAAGCATTATCTCTTGTTTCATTCACCTTCACAACTCACCTATGTATACACGCCGACTCTTGATATCGCCATGGGTAGATAAAAGTAAATCTTAGGGAAATATATTTATACCTATATCAATAGGAAATACTTAATAAGGACTATTATTACGTAACTATACACACTCTATTGTCTACGTATTATAATAATATTTATCTGATGTATTTTTAATTTCAAACTAAATATTCTCAAAGAACAGTAAATATGCATGTACATAGTTGTTATATTTTTGGCATAGACTTTTCGCTATATCACACCTATGTCTTGATATTCTAATATAATTGCAAAAGTTTATAACGATATTAAGATGTTTGTTATTCCATTACGCTTAAATTGTCGAACGAATTAAAATAAAATCCTTTGGAGAAGTACGTATATGAACTATACTTTTCATCCTAAGCG